TTTTTTTTTTTTTTTTTTTTTGGAATAGTAATAGGACCTCCTAAATCTGAAACTGGTTAACCACGAATCAATCCTTCTGTTGAATCCATAGCAATTGTTCTAACTCTACTATCACCCAAATGTTAAGCCACTTCCAATATTAATTTATGACTTGTCCCTTAAACTTACAATGCATTCAAGATTGGAGGAAGTGGTCCATCAAATTGTACATCAACAACTGCACCAATTACTTATGCTATTTATCCTGATGTTGTGCTTCCTGTTTTACCTGTCTCTGCTTGCTTCTTAGCAGCTGAGAATCCTATTATACACTTTAGCTTCAATATCTACCTAGACGCATCTATTTGGCTAATGCCCTTGTGAGCATTTTATTTATTTAAATAATTTTTAGATATTCTCATTCAGGATATTCAAAATTTAAATAACCATTTTATCAATTAATTATACGAGTACTTCATCATCTCTCCTCTCATAATTATCATTCAATCATCTATTCCCTTACTTCACTTCTCCTTTTTTTCTATAACTTTTCTACCATCCTCTTTCTTATTCTAAACTCAACAACTACTTCTCTCTCATCAATTAGATCCTCTCTATTACTATTTATAATTCTATCCTTATATATAATTATCATTTTAGATAATCAATATATATTCATTATTCATATCTCATTTTACATCTGACTTCATCTTTTTCAATCCTTCTGTAAGTATCTATTAGAAGCCCTTAAAATTGCCTGTATATTCTTCAAATCCTTTCAAATATTTTGCAAACACAAAACTTTTCAATTATTAAAAATATATACTTAGAAAATTGGAAAAGCTTTGTCTACTTTGATTATCCAAAATTCAATCCTGCTACTACTTAACCATCTCTTACATCAAGCTTTATTATCTATAATTTTTACCTCTTATCTTGTACGAGCTGTTGAAAGAGATTAAAGTACATGTTCTTAAAATTCAACCTGAGCTTTTTGTTCAGCTGCCTCTCTATTATTTTACTATTCAAATATCATACCTTAAACATCCTATTGCATCATTATAAGATTTTAGGAACACCTTTGCCTCATAATAGGGTTACTCTGTGAACATTATTTTTATTAAAAATAAATTAAATAAGTCTTAAATTAGAAAATCCTACTAATACAAAATAATAAGTATTGATTTTCTTTTTCTAAAACTGAATCTCTTTCAAATTTTGTGTCTCTTAAACAGGCTCAAGGTTTTCATTCAATGATAATTCAATTCTCATCCTAATATTCATTATTGAAATTAAAAACTCATTAATAATGTTACTTTTTATACTTAAAAACATAATGCAAGATAAATATCTAGTGTTAATTATTTTTGCACAAAAACTTTAAAAATTCAATAAATTGGGACGACCTTTATGTTATTAAAATTGTCTATAATTTAGAGTTAATAATATAGAAATGAATTTAATTCTAGAATGAGAAACTTCTAAGCATCAAGATCTAAAGATGAAAATTTCTCATTTAAACTATTTTGAGCATATTAACCCAAAAATTTGATTTATTAATTTATGATAGATAAATTATTAATTTTGATATTACAGGTTTAAAACTCTAAGAATGTTTAAGCATATTTATACTATTAACTCAAAGATGCCAATTTGCTGGAAAAACCTGACTAAAATTAATAATAACATAATCCTTTTTAATTTCAGTTTAGGTTCTTTTTTTTGTTTCTTTCAAGTTCTTTATAAATAAAATTCATTTACTTTTAGATCTATCTGCAACTATCTTATTAGATAAATTGAATTATTTTATAAAGGAGATTCATGAGAAACCAATTAAGATATGATTAAAAATAATCTGAAAGCAATAATATATAAAATAAATCAAGAATAAAGGTTTTTTTTGACTTCTCTCATTTTAAGGATGTCTTAAACATTAATTTATGGTTTAGGAAGAGAGGGATCTTTTTGTTTTTTCATTGACGAAGATTATGATTTACTTGAATAAATATATTAGTATACTTGGAAAAAGTATAAAAGTTGTTTAACTATCTAGGTTACTCATCTTCATCATAATTTTATGAATTATTTAAAGATTTTTTGGATTAATTAGTATGCATAGGAGATTCTTTTCTGGAATGTACTATATTTTGAATGTTATTAAAAGCATGATTTGATTAATATTGATCTCCTGCAAGGATCTTTTAGAGACTTATTAGATCTTTAGCCACATTTTGCAATTTTAAACCATCATTTGGTTAAGATAATGCATCAATAATACTATCAACAGAAGCTAGAATAATGATAAAATAAAATACATTTGACATAATCCATTAAATTAGAATTCTCATGATTTATTAATAGATTATTTAATCTTTAAATTTCTTAATCTTATTCTTAATTAATAAGTGTTAATTATTCAATTTAAGATTCATAATCTTGTAAGTTTTCTTTTGTGATATTATATGTTTCTTATCCATCTTGAGTAACACAATCTTTAATTTTACTTTGTCTAATAGATTATATTTATTAAACATTAGGTAGATTACCTCCCATAGAATTAACATATTCTTCTAATTATTATACTCTTTATAATTTTTAATCAAGCATAGTTTCAGTTTCTCTATGAATTCTATCATAAGCATCAAGTTCATCTTATAATTAAACTATAGTTTCATCTCTTTCATTCAATCTAGTAGTTAGAGCAATCATAATATCTCTTTATTTAAGTGTTAATTGTTTATATCTATCAACTTAAACTTTATCTTCTTCCAATTAAGATCTTTCCTTTTCTAATTCTGTTATTTTTTTTTCATATTAAGCTCTAATTATTTTTTATTATTCTTCTATAGCATTTCTAAATTATGGACTATTTTCAATATTACATCNCTTTTTATACTTAAAAACATAATGCAAGATAAATATCTAGTGTTAATTATTTTTGCACAAAAACTTTAAAAATTCAATAAATTGGGACGACCTTTATGTTATTAAAATTGTCTATAATTTAGAGTTAATAATATAGAAATGAATTTAATTCTAGAATGAGAAACTTCTAAGCATCAAGATCTAAAGATGAAAATTTCTCATTTAAACTATTTTGAGCATATTAACCCAAAAATTTGATTTATTAATTTATGATAGATAAATTATTAATTTTGATATTACAGGTTTAAAACTCTAAGAATGTTTAAGCATATTTATACTATTAACTCAAAGATGCCAATTTGCTGGAAAAACCTGACTAAAATTAATAATAACATAATCCTTTTTAATTTCAGTTTAGGTTCTTTTTTTTGTTTCTTTCAAGTTCTTTATAAATAAAATTCATTTACTTTTAGATCTATCTGCAACTATCTTATTAGATAAATTGAATTATTTTATAAAGGAGATTCATGAGAAACCAATTAAGATATGATTAAAAATAATCTGAAAGCAATAATATATAAAATAAATCAAGAATAAAGGTTTTTTTTGACTTCTCTCATTTTAAGGATGTCTTAAACATTAATTTATGGTTTAGGAAGAGAGGGATCTTTTTGTTTTTTCATTGACGAAGATTATGATTTACTTGAATAAATATATTAGTATACTTGGAAAAAGTATAAAAGTTGTTTAACTATCTAGGTTACTCATCTTCATCATAATTTTATGAATTATTTAAAGATTTTTTGGATTAATTAGTATGCATAGGAGATTCTTTTCTGGAATGTACTATATTTTGAATGTTATTAAAAGCATGATTTGATTAATATTGATCTCCTGCAAGGATCTTTTAGAGACTTATTAGATCTTTAGCCACATTTTGCAATTTTAAACCATCATTTGGTTAAGATAATGCATCAATAATACTATCAACAGAAGCTAGAATAATGATAAAATAAAATACATTTGACATAATCCATTAAATTAGAATTCTCATGATTTATTAATAGATTATTTAATCTTTAAATTTCTTAATCTTATTCTTAATTAATAAGTGTTAATTATTCAATTTAAGATTCATAATCTTGTAAGTTTTCTTTTGTGATATTATATGTTTCTTATCCATCTTGAGTAACACAATCTTTAATTTTACTTTGTCTAATAGATTATATTTATTAAACATTAGGTAGATTACCTCCCATAGAATTAACATATTCTTCTAATTATTATACTCTTTATAATTTTTAATCAAGCATAGTTTCAGTTTCTCTATGAATTCTATCATAAGCATCAAGTTCATCTTATAATTAAACTATAGTTTCATCTCTTTCATTCAATCTAGTAGTTAGAGCAATCATAATATCTCTTTATTTAAGTGTTAATTGTTTATATCTATCAACTTAAACTTTATCTTCTTCCAATTAAGATCTTTCCTTTTCTAATTCTGTTATTTTTTTTTCATATTAAGCTCTAATTATTTTTTATTATTCTTCTATAGCATTTCTAAATTATGGACTATTTTCAATATTACATCCTCCAATCAACATTTAACTATTAATTTATCTAATTTTTTCTTCAAGTTTTTTCTTTTCTTCTCTTTCAATAAAAAATTATTTGCTTCTAGCTTCTAAAGCAGCCATTGCAGCATTTTTATCTTATTCTGCTCTCTTTTTATCTTCTTCTAATTAACTTAATTTAGTAGAATCTATAATAGTTTTATTCTTTTCTTAAAGTTCTTTTCTTAATCTTTATAATTCGCATTCATATTTTCTTAAAAGTGCCTTTTAATCTACATCTTCATTAATAGTAGCTTTATTCTTAATATTTTTTGCTCTATTAGCAAATTTAACAGAACTTAAAGTTTCAAGAAATGCATCAATAGCAGGGGATATCATACCCATCATTGTTGTTTTACAATTACCACCTAATGAATCTTCTAAAAGACGAGTAATTTTAGAATCTCTATAAGGAATATGTGTCTTTTATTCAATTAATGCAGATATGACATTACCTAAACAACTTAAAGATTAATTAATTTTTTTTGATTCTTCTAATCTTCTACCAGTTGCACCAGTAACTCTTACTCTTTCACTTCCAGCTAAATCAACTAAATTAAGTTTTCCAACTTTTATTGATTTATGATTATCAATTTCAGTCATCTATTCAACAATTATAATAAAGACAGCATGTGATCTACTGCTTACATCATTCATTTTTGTACTAGCAGTAGCTCTTGATGAAGCACCTTTTTAAATTAATGAATAAATTTCAGACGGATTTCTTACTGCCCATTCTGAGAGACCTTCAACAAATACTCCTCTTTTTTTATCTTCTCTAATATGCAAATTTTATCTATCACTTCTTAATAAATCACTAATGATTTCATTATAAATTTAAAGATAACTAACTCTCACCATAAATGTAGTTGATTCATTAGATCCATTAGAAATATGTTTAAATATTTCTTCAATTGCTCTTGGTATGATACCTCTTTATGGATCAACACAATTATATTTAAATCCTTCCATTGTATATGTTTTACCAGTACCTGTTTAACCATATGCCATAATAGTTGCATTAAAACCTTATAATGCAGATAGTACTGCATGTCTTGCTGTATTATCATATACTTCTTCTTATGTGTTATCTTAATCGTATACATAATCAAATGAAAAAGTATGCATAGTATAACTATTAGGATTATTAAGATATTCTTCAAGATGTTCTGGATCCACTAAATCAATATTATAATATTCATATAGACAGATTTTCTTATGATCAGGGGATACTTAAAGAGTTGAAATAAAACGTCCATCTATAACTTCTCTTTATAAAGGTGGTCTTACACGTACAACTACTTTAAAATTGTCATTTGATGTTAATTGCTTTGCTGAATATGATGACATAGGGCTCGATTCATAAAAATTAGTTTAAGATGTTGTTTAACTTAATGATGATGTTGACATCTTTGGAAAAGAGGTATTCATGATCGTTAAAATTTAAATATATTAATTAATAATAATATTTATATAAAAATGAATTTCTTTCATCCACTTCTACAAACTCTATAATGTAAGAATTGTCATTCTATTTATGTAGTTATGCGTTTCAATCTTAGTGCAGATCGTTAACAAACTACTCTTAATCTCCTCAATCCATCTATTAAAGTTGAAGAGAATGAACCACTTGTTACACCTTTATATCAAATGACGTAATAGGAACTACTATAACGACATATTGTTGATTCTACATCACATGGATTATAAATCTAGACTTATAATAAAGAATAAGATCTACCTAAAACTATCAATAAGAAAATGTATGTTGTTTAAATATCTCTTAGAAGTAAAAAAACCAATACTTGTGGACATCCAGATAAAGAACATTATGCTAAAGGAATGTGCAATAATTGTTATCATAGAATAGGCAGAAATAAACAACCTTGGTTATGTTCACACAAAAAATTATATGCATGTAAATTATTATCTCTATTAACCTAGGCGGATTATGTTAGAATTGCTATATCAACTAATATAATAAAAAAAGAAGAGTTGAAAATTAAGATTAATTAGATTCAGAACTTAATAATTAATCTAGCATACCGAAAACTGACAATTGATTCTTCATTTTATTTTATTTGTATTTTTTTATATCTTTTTTATCCTATTTCTCACAATTTAATCAAATAAATAATATTCTTTATTAATTAAAGAATATTATTATATTTAATTTTAAATTTACCATATTTCTATATTTTCCTCTATTTATTCATTATTTTTACTACTTTTATATGTATTTTTATACTTGAATATTTTAGAAACAAAAATATTCTTAAAAACTATTTTTATTTATAAGAATTTAAATCTTAAATTTTTCAATTAATACCATTATTCTGATTTTTACATAGAATAATAGTTTTATAAAATCTACTGAATTTTATTATAGATTTTCATATTTAAGGTTTAAAATAGTGTCTTATTATTTGATTAAATGAGAAATAAAGTTTTATTCTTTTTAACGAATATAAATATTTAAAATAAAAAGATAATACTTTATGTCAAATAAAAAAAGCATAAAACAGAAAGAGAATATATCTATTGATAGTAGATTGAACATTTTAGAAAGTAGTATACTTATAAAATTTAAGCTAATTTGAATAGAGTTTGTATGTAGCATGATGCTTTGATGCCTATCGTAAATGAAATTCCTCATGTCTAAAAGTTAGAGTAATAAATAAAAATACTCGTAAAAAAACAAGAAGAACTTGAAAAGTTTAGAGATAAATCAAGAGAAACATCTACGAACACAAGTTTTAGTGATTTCAAAAATAATAGCTAAAATAAACCCTATGAAAAACAGTTGAATGATTTAACATTAAAAATGAACTACTTAGATAATCAATTATAGGAATTATAAAAAAAGAGTCAAGGAAGGGTGGAATAATAATTTAGAATGGTTTCAGATACCCAAGATTTATAGAGATTAGAATAATTTGTCAATGAGGAATTACACAATTTTAGAAGTGAAGTTCAATTAGAATATAAGAATATTTATAAAGTATTAACTTATAATTTAATATAAGGAACTTAATGGATTAAGATGTGATCTTGAATATATTATGAATAATACCAAAAAAAATAAAGTCACTTAAAAGATTTAATCCATGAATGTTGGTCCAGATGATAAACTCTTTGTCATTAATTTATTAGAATAAGAGACCATCATTGAAGAATTAGATCATTATGAAAATGAAAATACATTCAGATTATTATATGAATTAGATTATTTTGAATAATAAAGAGAATCTATGTCAACCATGGATCCACAACAAACTCAAAGAGAAAGTTTATATTTAGAGGAAAAATTGATTTCATTAAAATATTAATTAGCTGCTTCGAAGAGAAAGTATTTATTTGAAATTAAAAAAATTGAACATAAATTTTAAGTTATTAATGAAATTATAGAATAGAATTAGAAATATCTCAGCTATTAATAACAAATTCAGACTTTAACATAGAGAATGAGTAAGATTGTAACAAGAGTTCATTAAAATATAGAGTGTATCTTTTAAAAGATCAGTTCTTTAGACAAGAGATGATAATAGTTAATATATATATAAATCAATATCATATTAATGTATTAACAAGTTCATTTAAAACATTAAATTCATTTTCAATATTTTTGACTCTATTGTTTTATTCTTCTAAATGTTCAAAAAGTTTTTAATTACAATCATTTGAGTAATCTTTCAATTATTATTCTAACTCATTAATTATACGATCTTTTTCCTCTATTTATTTTTCTGATTACAATTTATACTAAAACATTTTTTTATTATTAGTATCTAATTCAATCTAAACAGCTTTTAATTATTATTTTAATCCTTAATCTACTAATGTTTGGATGTCTTAATCTTATTAGACTTCGGATCCTTTATGTTCCATAGACAATTGTAAAATTTCAATAAGTTATTATTATCCACCTACTAATTCAAGGATTTAATTTAATGAATTAATAATAGGCATTTCAATTCTTAATTTATTTAAATAAACTGTTTATTGGTAATATATTGAATTCTAAATGATTTTAATTCTATGAATAGCTATTATAACCCATGATGCTTTCTTAAAAGTTCGATTATTTTGTTTATCACTCTTTTCAAACTATAAATCAATAATTTAAGAATTCAATATTTTTAGATTGTTTTATTGTCTCAAAAATTCTTCTAAAAATTAAGTAAGCATTTAAATTATTAAATATTATTTTTCATTCTAGAAAAGCTTATTTTTATTTTATTATTTTTCTTTCTAATAGAACCTTATATAAATAAAAATTTATACTCTTCTAATTCAAAAATTCTTTATTCAAACAATATTTTCGTTTTATCATCAATCAAATTAGGGCTTTAGTGAATAGAATTATTAGTTAAAATTTATGTCTGTAATTAGCTTTGTTAAAGATTTTTTTACAAATCCTAATTATAAAATATGGTTACTTTAATTTAATCTTTTAGCATTGATTTCTTTTATTATAATTCAAATATTTTTTCAGCCATTCTATTAAAGATTTCAGCAAATTCAATAATTTATTGCATTTAAAATGATTAAGGATTTGTAACACTTGTATTTTTGATTTAACAAAGAAGATTATTTAGATCTTTTTGTAAGATACTAAAATTTTCTAATTCTTATTAGACTGTTTAAGCTTCTCTTTCATCAAGTATTGTATGATTGTTTAATTATTATTCTAGATTTTGGCTTTCATTTTATTCTGCCATATGATTTTTAAAGTTCAAAACAATTGATTCATATTTCATTTACCAATCTTAATTTTATTCATTAAGTATTTAGATTTATTATTAACACTCTTAATAAATTTATTACTTTTCCTGATTTGCCTATTCTAATTGTTATTCTAGTTATTATATTTATTCTAAAATTTAAGTATTATTATTGATAAGTTCTTTAAGTTTAACTTTTCTTTATTTCGATCTTTCTCTGTATTTATTTGCATATTATATTAACTATTCTTTTTCAGATAGATATTGATTATAATTATTGAATTAAAATTTAACTTTATCTTCATACTCTTTGAATGCTTTTTCTTATTGAACAATTTTATCTTGTTGAATTTAATATTCAAAGAGTAATGCTTAATATTGCAATTTTAATTATGTATTTTATTAAGTGAGTTATGAAGATGTAGAAATCAGTTATTAGATTCGTTTTTCTAAGGAAGATTACTAGAATGTATTTTGCAAGTAAATTTACTTTAATTTAGAATTCTTTTTCATAAAATTGCAATTTGCCTTCTAAGATTTGACTTTAAGATCTCAAATTAACAACTTCACTATCAAATTATTCTCCAAATCTATTGAAATCATTAAAGGAGACACAACTTTTGGTGTGATCATTTAATTTAAAAGTAGATTGAGTATTTTTTGAAGTGATCGTATTAACTTGATTAAGACGCTTATCGAATTTATCCATAAAATAAATAAATTATAAGAGATAGAAATGATAATGTTATTCAAGTTTAGAATATTTATAATTTCAAATTACAACTTCTACATTCAACAATCACATGAGTATCAGTATTCAATTCAATTTAATTGATTTCTCCACATTATTCACATTCATATTCTACATAATTGCATTTGACAATAATAGAATCAAAACAATATTTGAATTGAGATTTAAGAGACTAATCATATTCTTCTCTACAATTAATTAGTATTTTATAAGCTTCAATTAAAGATTTAGCCTCTTCAGCATTTCCATTTTTATCAGGATGACAAAATCGAATTTTATTAAGAAAAGCTTTACGAATGGTTTCAGGAGAACACTTATGATCAACTCCTAATAATTGATAATAATTCATTTAATATTAAATAATTTCAGGAATCATTATCAATATCATCATTATCCTTATTCTCTTCTAATTATACAGGAACTTCTTATTTTGGAGGTTCTGCTTTTCTTACTATGGTCATATCTCCAACATTTCTTATCTATTAGATTAATATATATATAAATATATACCCTAATTAATTGTTTAACTCTAAGGAACGGATTACCTCTAGTTTTTAATTCAAATCCCCATGTACAACTATTCACTAACCTAGATGCAACATTAGTGAGATGATTAATCAATTATTATTCGACTGTTTCAAATGAATCATTCATATCCAATATTAGAGTTTCTATAATCATTGAATTAAATTAAGATTTAGTAAAATCTGATGGTTCTTCAAGAGGTCTAGAAGATGGAAGAGCAGAATCAGTTGCATTAGGTTCTGTAGGCATTTTTTTGGTTTAAGGTATTTTTGATTTAGTAATTACTAATTAAATATAAGAAATTATGTACTCATTTATAATTCTTAATTTGTTAATATAGTATCTTTTTCTTTCTCTTTTTCTTATATTGTAGATATTATATCTCTATCTCTTTCCAGTGTAAATTCATACATTTCTATTAGAAATTATGATAACTTTTCATAAAAGGGTTCAATCTCTTAATTTAACATTCCTTTAGTTGCTGCTTGAGTATTTTCTATATACCAACCACCAAATTATTTAAATCGTTTCATTAAAGTAAAACAACTCATAAATACTGTTTAAGGTGCTTCAGCAAATTCTGGATCTTCTACTTATTTTACTAATTCTTCTAATTTAAATGCCTTATTTACATTGGTTTGTCCAAATGGAATACAATGTTATGCATCATACAAACCAAATCTAGCATTCTATACCCATTCCAAAGCCTTTATATTATTTTACAAATTAGGTAATAACAATCCAAATACTATTGCTATTATTTCTGAATCTATTTCTTGTAATCTTAATAATAAAACCTCATCATCTGTTTATTTAATAGGTAATCTAAATTGTTTCCATTTAAATATTTTACCATAATTCTTAGAATCTTTATTTATTATTTCATATGTTCCATCTTTTCTTAGTACAAAAGCAATTATTTATAATCTTTTATCACTACTTAAATAATATTAATCGTGAGCCATTGAAAATCCTAATCTATTAAAGTTATTAACTGATGCTCCAAAATATCCTTCCTACAAATCAGGATATTCTGCTCTCTTTTAATTTGCAAAATCTTCCTCATTTATTTCATTACTCTCAGCCTTCTATTCTAATTCTCCAATTCTCTAATCATATGTCTTTTTCCATTCATCAAATTAGCCATCTAAAAACTTACCCAATGTAATTGAAATTACACTCTATACTGGTACTAAATCCTGATAAAATATTCTAATTGCTCTCTTATTTGAGTAATTGATCATTCTCAAGCTCTATCTATCCTTCTTCTTTTAGATTTATTAATCAAATGGCTTTCTAACCTTAGGAATCTATTCGAAGTTACTAACGTTAAAAGCTGTTTTCATTTAATTATTTAGTTCTACTAATCTTATTACTTCCTCTTAAGTCTTACCTACTATATAATCCATAAATTTTGTTTATAATTCATTCATAAACTCATTTGGATAAAATCCACTTGTAATCACTTATTAAATAATCTATCCTTATAAAGGTTTTAAATATTCTTTTGCTATTGCATGAGCTTAAGCCTTATGTATCACTTTTTGCATTCTCTTCTATTTCTCTGAATATTTTTTTAACACATCAGTTTTTTAATCAATCAATTCTTTCTCTCTCTCTACTGTAACATCCTATTTATTTTTCGCATTAACTCTTCGTTTCTCAAATGCTTCTTTAAATCTATACATAGCCATAAATTCTTCTTCTTATTCTATTTCTAAACATGCTTATTCTAATGTCTTTGTGCAAATAACATTCAAAATTGGAGTTACCTCTCTATCAAAATCAAATAGTTCGTAATCCTCTACTTAAGTTGCAGCATCAATTCCTGTCTTTTTTGGAATAAAAGGAGGATCTTCTGGTTTCTTAAGTAATTTATCAGTCTATGTATATAAAGTATTCTTTTATTATTCACATTGAGCTAGAGTATCTGTTAAAAAGAATTCCAAATTAACCTATATTCTTGGATTTGCTGTAGCTTTGATATCATATGTGTCTATTACTCAAAATAATGATTCATACCTTCTTTTTTTTTTTACCTTTTAAAATTATTTAATTAAGCCGACATATTTTCTACTTTAATACGCTCTTTTTCTAAACGTATATATTCTTATTCTTATTCCATTGGAGTACGTTGCTTAATTTTCTAAAATTTTAATTCATACATACGTGATCCTTCATCAAATTTTAAAATGTCTGCATTGGTTTAGATATTTGATTTTGCTCATTTATTCTATATTTCCCTCTACTAGGCACTACTCTTGGTTCAGCTGAAAAGTTCTGTTGTGTTGGTTATATCTGCTAACTTAAAAAAGAAATTAATTGAGGCAATCCATCACCATTCTAAGCAGAAATGGATAAGATTGGGACTTCCCCTACTCCCAAAAAGTTTCTCAATTCTCCTTCTTCAATAGTTTGAATATCTGCTTTAGTCTGCAAGATAATTAATTATTCCTTTCCACTTATCTACTCTAATGCTGCTTTGTTATGATGCAACTGTTGCATGTTGCTACCATCTAAACAGAAGATCATCACATCTGAATTTGGCATATCTTCATTCACTTCCAATGGTAGATTATTGATTTAATGCTGATCATTCAAAACTTTAGCTAATGTAGTTTTTCCACTACCCTCTAAACCTACTAATGAAATTTTATATGACATTAATTAATAAATATTTTTTCAAAATATCATTGTTACTCTAATTCAGTCAGTTAAATCTTATGTAATATCTTAACTTAGTTAGAATCACAATTCAGATTGATTTAATGCTTTTCAATATATTCTGCAAATTCAGCATACAAATGTAAATTATTCAATTTATTTTCGAATTATTACAATCCTTAATCATCTCTCTACAAAAGATTCAAAATTATTTTCAAATCTGGAACAATTTAAATCAATGTTTATGTAAGATTTGTATTACCATAATTGTATAGATATTCATATTTTGAAATTAATTTTATTAAACATTATTGAGTAGGAAAGTTTTAAATATAAAACTTAATCACTCTTGTAACTTCCTCTACTAAATCATTTTACTGAGTTTCTATCAACCTTTCTAAATAAGGCAATTAATTTTCTATAAAATCTGCATCTATTTATCCAGCACCATATGTAAATTGACATAATTCATATAAATAATTAATGTCAACTTAATGATTGAATTACAATTATTAGTTTATTGTTTTATTATAATACTTTTAATTCTGAATTTGTTATCCTATGTAAAATATTAATTTTATTGGAACTTTCTTTTATGATATTACATTAAAGAGTGCTATGGCATAATCCTCCATATTTGCTATCTTATCTATCAAAAAAGCAATTAAATGATCATCAATTAGTTCTTATTTCTGCAATATATATAATATTAGATCTAAATCTGATTCATCCAACTCTTTCACTAAAACACAGTCAAATAATATTGTAGAGACTAATTAGGAAGGAAGACATTAAGTTAATAAGCTTAACAATTAATCCATTTATATTTTACTACCTATTGTTTATAAATAATGCAATAATAACTCATTATGAATATTCAATTAAATCATCTTTAACATATAATCAAATTAGAAAAAGTTTGATCTCTCCAATTACAAAATTATTAAAGAGCATATCAATTCAACTGTATGTTATTATTCTATATCATTTAATAATTCCTCATATAAAAATTATAACACCAAATCAAATTATAATGCATTATAATGAATATTACATAATTAGATTATTAGTTAATAGCATTTACAAGAGAATAGACTAAATAAAAGAACTTCAATTTACTATAAGTTATTATTCAATAATAAAGATTTCATTAATTATTCTAGGTCTTCATTTGATTCCTTTATCTTCAAATAGTATTCTATATATTTTTACCATGTATTTGTGGATATATCATTTTATTTATCCAAAATTTGAGTTACAAATACAATCTGATTATGATTAATTAAATGAATAATCATTGAATTCCTTATGTCTGAATCCAAAATTTATAAGTAATTTTAATATGTTTACTCTACCTATTCAAACTCAATTTTACTTAGAAGGTTTTTCATACACTTTTTTATTTATTTTTATAAAAGCATTTGAGGTTTCTACATTGATTAAGATAATTTTTAATTGAATTCTGCTATAAATTTTAGAATCTATTTATTATCTGAATATTCTTAATAAATATTTTCTAATTATATAAAATGTCCCACGACTTCATGTATCTGCTTTAATTTATGAGGAATATTGATATTATCTATTTAAGTCTGTTTAGTAATTTCTGTGTAAAATATCACAAATTCATTTTTATATTTATCATTTGACATATACTCAATAAATGCATCTGTACAATTTACAATTGTTAAGTAAGAAAGTTGTTTTTGTATTGAATGTGTCTCACTAAATAAATGTTTCTTTAATGTTTCCAGAAAATCAAAAAAATAACGACTGTTTCCTAATAATAAAATCTCAATCAACTTGAAAATACTTTACACTATTTTATATTTAGCATAATATTATTACATTTCTATATTGATTAAGTTGATTTATTTAAGTTACTCTTTAATAATGCACTCAAATTAGAATTAATTAATCCTGCTATTTTATTTTCTAGCAATATTTTTAATTTTGAGAGCTCCTCTAAAATCAAACTTAAGGCCTTGAGTGCATAAATATCATCAAAATCATTATCTTATGTGCCATCAGCAATTCTCATAAAAAAATTTAAAATTGCCAAAACATTTTTTTCTGTTTCTTATTTATTTTCCCAGTAACCCTTACATGATTAACCAATTTTAGTGAGCATTTCATCATTTAGTACTTAAATATTCACAAATATTATATTATCATTTGACAATTACTTGATTCTATAACATATTCTTAAAAATCTATAACTGTAAGGCAAATAAAATATTGAGACTTTTTCAGTTAGGGTATGCAATAACTATATGATTTAAGCATGATAGCTACCCTATTTTTGATTTCTTTCTATTAATCTATTTTCACTCTATATAAATATTCTTACAATAAAAAATGCTCGTCTAAATTTTTTAACTTATTTAAATGCTGTAATTATATCAAAAATTGTAGAACAACCTTCAAATCCTTCTCCTTTGTACTATTTATAATTTTTATAGTATGATTTTCCAGCATTTCTTGAGTTATTTCTGGCTTCTCTAGATCTCCAATCATCTCTCGAATCAACTTAAATGTTTTTCAATATAACTTACTCCATTTAATGATTTATTTTTAGATTTTATATTTTTTAATTGGTTAACAATAGCATTGACTTTCATTATTTAAATTTATTAAGAACTAAGAATGTTAAATATATTTTTTTTTTTAAAATATTATATACTTCTTGATTATGATCTAAAGATGATTTATTTTTAGTTTCTTTACAAAATTGTTAATAATGAAATTTTAAGTGAATTAAATGAACAAATATTATAATAATAAATATAAAGATAATTAATATATAATAGATCATCTTTTAAACAACAGAAATGAATATCAAAAAATCAAGTATTCATAAATTGTTATAGCTAATTTTAAATAAATTGTTTAATAGTAAAATTTGATAAGCAGATTTATAGTTTTAATAATTTATAAAACTTAACAGAAAAAAATTAAAGATAACCTAATATTTTAAAAAATTTTTATTTTTTATCTAAATTTTCATTTTTTTCATTTACTTAGTACAGTAATTAATATTAATATACCTTAAAATTATTATTTTATGATTGAAAGTCAAAGAGAAATTATAGAATGGAATTAATTATTTTCTATTTCTTATAATTGTTATTCCTTTTATTTTTTTGATTTGTATATTGTTTTATTGATAGAGCCTATATTAGAACTCAGATTCTGGAATAATAATCTTAATATTTTAAATTAAATAAAGGAAAGAAGATTGATTCAAAATTATAAATAAATACCTATTATTCGGCTATGAACTTTTCATCAAAAAGTTGATTTAAATGAATTATTATTTCCTTCAGTAATTATGATATTATGATGAGTATTGAAATTATATTTAGAGAATTGATGAATAATGCAATAAATGTTAGATATTAGAATAATATTGAGTTTATTCAACATTGATTTAGATACTTTCATTTTTAAATAAAATAGTTAAAAAGCTTAAGATAAAATAAGAGTTTTTTGCATATTAGGCTTACTAATAGTTCTATATTAATCAATATTTGTTTATTTTTTTTGATTAAAAACCTCAAGAATTGGAGTAAGCTACAATGACTACTTAAAATTTTTGGTTTCTTATATATTTTAATAAGAATTGAATTATATTATTTTCATAAGGATTTATATGCTAAAACTCTCAACAATATGATGAATCATACCTTATTCAAACACTTGTTTCTAGTTATTACTTAGAGTCAAATGCATATTAATATTTAGATTATTTGCAGTATCATTGATATTTTGATTTTGATAAATTGGCTAATATTTTATAGATTATTAAGGAATGACTTATTATTAGACAAAGTATAAGGTTCTTAATAATTAGAAGTTTAATAAAAAAGAAGAAGAATTGAAGTCTATATATGATTCGATAATAGAGGTGGAGGAATTTATGTTTGATATCCTTAAGAAATTATCTTTGAGTTAGGTATGAAAAAGTTGATTGAAATAATTACTAATTATTTTTATATTGTTTACATAACTTTTAATACGGATTTATAGCAAAAAATTTTTTTCCGAATTTGGTTTATTAGTTAATTATATTTTATTATTTTAACTTATTTTTATTTTAGTAAATTTCATTTAAAATAGGAAGAATTTATGCCAATTTTATATTTAATTAGAAGTAATGGGGCATTATTATAGAAAATTTATTATCTAATAACAAGAAATATAATTAACTATTATATTAAAAATTTTAATCTTGCTTCTTTAAAGAATAGAAAGCAAACTTTTCAGAAATAAAAGAGATTGAACTTATAGAAAAATATAGAACTAAAGATGAATAACATCTTTTTAATTAAGAAAATTTCAATAAAATGTATCATAGTCATCCACCCTTGAGTTTAAGTCTGACTTAAAGTCTACATTAATTTTCAAATCCTAATTGGCTCAAAGTTCTCATTTCATTTGATTAGATATTGGCTCCACCTAATAAATACTCTATTGTATCCTCATATTACGCTTGCATTCTTTGAGCAAATATTTGTTCTGAAAGCCCCTTTACAAAGCCATTAAAAGGTATATCAGGATCAATTTATATTTATAATTGCACATCACCTGTTGGCATTATTACAGTAACATTGACTGCAATAGTATTTGGCTGAGCATTTTGCTATTATTATCCTCCAATAGGTAATCCCATTAATTAATTCATTTTTACTTAAAATAAAAGTAATAGAAAATATTATTTTTTAAAAATCAAATTACCTTTAAAAATAAAATTTATGTATGTCATATATGATATTAAAAAATTTATCATATTGAAAACTTTAAATAATCATATCAAAATAAAAATTAATTGTTTATTGTTAATTAAATCAATTTTATACTATTTGAGATAATTCCAAATTGAATGGTTCTTTTTAACTATTTAAAGAAAATTCATCGTTTTCTTTATTTTTCTTTTTTAATTTAACAAGTATTTGGACTTTCTCAACTGCAGTTTCAAGTAAACTATCTAAATCATTAATTCTTTTAGTATCATAAAATGGATCAATTGATTTTATAATTCTATTTAATAATCTTCTATAAGTTTCATCTAAATGATAATTTTTTAAATTTACCTTTCATTTTAAGTAATTAAGATTTTATTTATGCATCATCCATTTATAATTTCATTTTTTATATTTCTTCATTTCTTTCTTTTAATAATTTATTTATTTCACTCATTTTTGTATTATGTTCTAAAAATATTATTAATAATTATACCTAAATGTTTTTAATGATATTATTTAACTGTTTAAGCAAATTAATGTTCATTTTCATTCTAATTCTTTTTTAACTATTTTATTTCCTCTTTCAAATTTTAATTTTATACCTATAATTTTGTCAATTTGCTTTCATTTTCAATCATTGATTATTCTAATAAATGAGAATTATCATTTAATTATTAATTTATAATATTTTTATCTGATTCTATTTAAAGATATGATTATTCTAATTAAGTATATTAATTTTATAATTAAGATATCTATTAATTAAAAGTTTCATTTAATTTCTGTAACTCTAGATTTTCAATTTCTTTTTATTTACTAATACTGATAGATTCACTTAATTAATTTTAAAGTCTTCTATTTTCTTATGTAAGACTTGAATGGTTATTTTCAATTAATTTATATTACTATTCAAGCGACTTACTTTATTATTATAATTAATTATTTGTATTTATTGTATTTTAAAGTCTAACAAAAATTTCTTCTTTTTATTTCATTACAGTTTCTGATTACAATCTTGATTCTTCCAAATCATTGTTTAAAGTTTAGACTTATAATTAATATTATTACAATTCTTATTAAGTTTAATTAAGGATTGATAATTATAATTATTAATCATTTATTTATTACTCATATTATTAAATAATTAAATTAGACTAGTTTAATTTTTCTTCAACTTGTTTAAGTTTCTATTTATTTTATTAGATAGTAATTTCTAAATTTTACCTTTCTTTCTATTATTGTTCAAGTAGAATATCATTTTATGAGCACACTAAATTTAAATTACTCAATTATTTTTTTTATTTAGAATTGGTTTCGAGTAAATTTTTATTTAATTCTTCAATTTCAGCTACTTAATCTTCTAAAATCTTAATCTTTTAATGTGACAAAATTTCTTTCTGCATAATTTAGGATAGCTTACCCTGTAAATCGACAAATTCTTTTTACTGAGTAGCAATCTACTCTAACAATTCAGTTTATTTTTAACTAAACTGTTAAGCTTGTTCATTTTATCTTGCACTAAACTATTAAAATGTTTATGTTTATTGATCGCAATAAACTTTTAATTATTCTTCTTGTACTAAAGTTAAATCTCTTAATCTTTTGAGTTCTATATCATTAAGTTTAATTTAATCTTTTAAAGATAGAATTTCTGTATTTAGGATTTCAATCTCCTGTTTAAGTTCGTGATTCTTTTCAGATGAGATTTCCAATTATGAGTCTTATTTTTTCAATTTTAATTTTAGAATTTCTAGTTCTTCTTCTAATTTATAAATTTGATTTAATTTTGTTTAGGTTATATCATCTTTTTCTAATTTCAATTTTTCTAATTTATTTTCTTCCTCCTTAATTTTATTATTTTATTCATTTATAGTTACTTTAGATTAACTTAATTAAGTTTACAATTCTTATATAATCTATTCATTTTGATCATTTTACAATTCTAAAATGTATGATTAACATTATTAAGTTAATGTTGTAATCTATTTCTTTTATTATTAGATTGTATCAACTTAAAAGTTATTAGTTTACTCTAACTCAAGCTATTAATCTTCCTGATGTTTTAGTTTAGATTGTAGTTATTATTCTTTTTAAATAAGTGAATTAACTTTTCCTTGATATTCAACATTATCTTTTTCGAGCTAAGCAATTTATTATAAAAATTCATTTTATTTATGATTAAACTATTAAGTTAATTCATTTTATCTTTAAGTGAATTATAATAAGGTTTATGTTTGCTGATTACAATATTAATTCAGTTGTTCTTCTTAAACTAAACATAAATCTTTTAATCTCTTGATTTCAATTTCATTTAATTTTATTTATTCTTTATTCTAAAATAATGTTGTATTTAGAGATTCTATTTCAAATTTTTATTCTTAATTTTTTTCTATCAATAAACCTATTTAAGAGTCTTATTTCTTGAGTTTTAATTTAAGGGAGTCAAATTCTTCTTCTAATTTATCTGTCTAGCTTAGCTAATTATAAATCTCTTTATCTTTATCGGATTTTAATTATTAAAAATTATTTTCTGCTTCCACTATCTTCTAATTAAGTTAACTGATAGTTTATTATGATGAACTAATTACATTTTATAATTCCTCAATTAATTAGATATTTTAGCAATTTAATTCTTCTTGTTAATTTTTTAATGCCTAATTATCTGTTTAAAAAGAGTTTAATTATTGATTCATTTGTAAAAGTTCTTCATCTTTTCTATTTAGAATGTCATTTAATTTTTTTAAACATACTTTTCTATGCTTGCATTTTTCATTTAAGTTAACAATCTCAGATTATAATGAATTAATTTAATCCTTATATTAATTTAGATGTTCGACATTATCAAAAACTTTTCTATTAACAAGATCACTAACACTTTCGTGATCATTTTTGAATTTTCTTAAATGATATTGTAAATGTGGATCAATTAAGTTTTTTTCTCTAACAGTTTCAACAAAATCCCAACTGTTTTTAAGAAGTGATCTGATGGTTTGACTTAGTAATTATGAATTTTTGGATGTATAGGATATTTCATCCTAAAGAAATGAAGATTTAATCTTTCTATCTGGAGATAATCTAATTTAAGCAGCATTTAGGGGAATTACCCTTTAATCAGATTCAGTTTGTTAAAGTCGAGGGGATAGCAAGTATTTTGCAAAAAATGTTTCACTGTCAATCATTTATATTTAAATTTATAACGACAACTTTTAATTTAATGTATTGTCAATTTATAATAATGAGCAATCAATAGCCTTTTTATTAAAATCCACATTTAAGATAATTAGTAATGTAAAATATTAATCCATAATTTGGATAAAAAGCATATCATTTAGGTTTGACCTACTAAATCTTTGCGCTTAACCATTCTAAACCTTAATCTAAACCAACTCCTGTTTTAGCACTTCCTCCATAACATTAAGATGGATTTTTATATGATTTCAATTCCAAATAATCAATAAAAAATTATGGGGTTTGTGCATCAGGAGAATCCTATTTATTTGCATACACTAAAATTGGAAGATCTTTATTAAATCCTGGAGTATCTAAAAGCAATTTAAACTCATCAAGAACTATCCCAAATCTGATTTTATCAGATGAATCAATTACAAAAATTAAACCATCAATCTATCTATATCAATCTCAATACTTTGGTTGCATACTATTCCCACATTCCCCTATATTAATTTTGTCCACTCATATCAGAGAATTAAAAATTCAGATTAAATTTTTCTACAGAATCCCTATTAAATCCAACTGTTGGAGCAACTGTTGCATTTTTCTCATTTTTTAGAGCATTTATGATGCTTGTCTTTCCTGAATTATCCAAACCAACTACTAATACTTACACTTTTCTTTTTCCAAAAGCCCCTCCCATTATTAAAACAGAAAATAATTTTAATAACCAATTAAAAAATGCTGATATATATTAAGATAATCAATTCTTCTAAATATTTTTCAACTTCAAATTGTTTCCCAATAAAAAAGAAATTTATTAATATTAAGGATTTCTTACTTCAGTGTTTGAGTCTTTAAAAATTAACAATTACTTTATTTTCTTAGCTTATTATTTTTCTTTATGTTATTAACAACATCATAAAATCTAAGTGGTAAAGCCTTCTATGAAATTATCTTCAAAATAAATTTTTATTGATTTTCTCAATTATTTCCATATTTATTATAAATTATGGTAAAAAAAATTTAGGATTCTTTTAATCACGCTTAAAAACTTTACGAGTATTAGGAGAAGAAAATAAGAAGAGATAAGCCAGCTTCTGATACATAATTGATGCAAAAATTACTTCATTCAGGAACTATTGCAGATAAAATATCAGCCTTGTCAATTTCAATAAAAGAAAACCCAGATCATGCTTTAAGTTCCTTAAATAAATTATTAGAAATAGTACAATGATTAATATTTATGTTTAGGCAGCGTTACCTTCAAGAGAGAAAAGCTTAAAAGCTTTATTTTAACTTAAGGATTTGTTTGTGCATTTAATTTTAAAGAGAGGTGTTCCATGCAATTTTGAAGAATCAAATTTAAATGATGATTTATAGAAATATTATTGGCATGGAATTAATGAGGCTTTATTGAAAACCTGTGAAGTTCTAATAAAGGCTTCTTAAGATGTTTTACCATATGTTCGAAGACAAGTTATTTTAATGATGCTTGAATTACATTGTGCTCATCCTATATATACAAAAGAACTAATTAAAGAACTTATTAATAAATTTGGTGACAAAGAGAAAACAATAATCACATTACTTACTAAAAAGTTATCTGGAGAATTATCTGTAACAATTCTAATTTATTAAAGAAAAAACCTGCATTAACATATCCTTTTTTAAAAGAGGCTTATGGCTTTATGTATCGACCCAATTTACCCTAAGAAGCTTAGTATTATTGTCTTAATTTTATTAACACAATCAATTTATAAACCTAAGAAACCAGTACAGTAGCATATATGCTGAAAATTTTCTTCATCTTTTTCAAAAAAATTATGAAAGTGCCTTAAGCTGATCAAAAATGTTCTAAATTGTTTAGTCAAATTTTAAAAGGAATCAACAAGACCCTTCCATATGGGCAGTCATTTCTAGATTAATTAAAAGAATTATACAAAGAAAATGAAAAATTGATATATAAATTAATTGCAACAGCGGAAAACTTTAAAATAAAGATATAGACACTTTATTTTGTTTATTAAATTTCAGACCTAAATGCTCATTATTATAGAAGTCTTTATGAGATAGTATTATTTTAAAAAATATTTTAAGTTATTGTCTTAAGAAATCCAAAGTACAAGTTTAGGGGAATTATTTTTTGATTTGTTATTTTTATCAATTAAGCAAGATAATGAAATTGTAAGATAAAAAGCAATCATTAAAAGATTATTATAAATTTCGATGCATTCTAATCTGGCTTTTACGATCACAACATTGATTTGTGTTTAAAAATTATGCATTGAAATACCTTAATTATTAGAAGAGACTAAAGAATGTTAAGAGTATTAGTATTATAAAAGAGATCCATTATTTTCAGGAGCTTCATCCTTTGTGAATGAAATAAAAGCATTTACTTAACATTATCATAATAAAGTTCAATAGATTGCCAAATAAATTCTAGATAAAGATCAAAATATATCATAAAAGGTTAATCCTCTTTTAGAATATTCCTAAAGTGCTTTTTTGGCAAAATTTGTAGAGGCCAAAAATAGAGTTACAAATAGAATATCTAATTTATCAGGATCTGTAATTAATGAAGAATAATTTAAATTAAGATATGAAAAATAAAGATAATTAGATAATCAACTTAAATTGCAAGTAAAACCTTAAAGAAAAAGTAGTATTACAAGCGAAGATGCTTTTGCAGATGAGCTCTTCGAAAAAGAATTATAAAAAGGAAATTTTTCAGATGAAGATGAAATAGATTTGAGTATGGATGAAGATGAAGATGAATTAGATTTATTTGAAGATGAAACATAAAATGAAAATTAATCTAAAAAAATTCCAAAAATTATGAGAAAGATATACAAAAGACATAGATTGTTAAAAAAATGATTGATTTATTGTTATTTAGAAAATGTTAATTAAATTATAAAGGAGATATTAATCTTAAAAATTTCTATAAATAATAAGTTAAGTTTTTAAACTATTACTTAATTAAGAGAAATCTATTAATTATTGTAAAGAGAGCAATAATAATATTAATAATATTAATAAAATTAATAAAATACTTAATATTGAATAAATCATAATCTTTTAAATGGCATAAAGGTATCTAAATGTCTTTTAGTTGTTCTTGGACTGAAGAGATGTCTATGATAGTTGATTTGTGTTGTTATTAATTAATTCTTAGAATTATTGATATGATCTAAATTATGAGTAGTTTATTTTTCAACACTTTGATTTTTTGAGAGTGAAGTGTGTTGTCTAAATTTCTTAGATTTAGAATGAGTCACTTCAAAAAAAGGAACAAATGGTTCAGAAATAAGTTTTTTATGTTTTGGTGAAAGAACTCTATATTAAATTGATTATACCTCTTTGTGGCAAAAGCATAACTTAGAAAAGATTCGTAATCTTTATCTCCTTTGTATCTTTCTTCAATTGATTATGGAGATAGATTTTATTTTTTTCTCTCATTTGGAGATATTCGATCACTTAATAATCTCTTTAATCTTAATTGATGAAACTCTTTTTCTGCTTAATGATTTTAATTATTTTAATCGAATTGTTTGACGATTTGAACTGGTATTAAATATAATTCACATTAACAAGATTTTGAAATTGCTCTATATTAGCGTAGTTATTAATTTCCAATATCTTAATGTCCAAATACACATCCAACTTATAATAGGGAAATTGAAATTTATTTTGTTTTATTTACTGCTTTAACTAATTCAACTTCCCCTGATTTAATAAAATAAATATATTCTGGTACTGTATTCTCATAATATATCACTGAAAATATAGAAAACTTTTAGACAATAATGTGTTCAATCATTCCTTTTAATTTACTATCAGATAATGTTCTAAATAAGGAATAATTTCTCAATAATTAAATCTTTTCATTTCTTACTTACGAATGATATTATTATAAAATATTCTAAAAGTCATTATTTGTTAGTGTTAATAATAAACAATCAGTAACACATAAAACTGTTGCTGTTCTTCTTACATGACCTATCAATGCAATTTCTCCAAATTAATCCCCTTAATGACACATATTAACAATCTTTAAGCTTGGAAATCTCTTGTAAATTAATAAATCTAATGCTTTATCAACTTAAAAGCTATTTGGTTTATGATTATATTCATCAATAATTGCATCCTAATCAAATTATTTTAAATTTTTCATTCCTAAAAAGTTTGAATATGCTTATTATATAATAATATCTCTTAATGAGTCATTTGAAGATTTTGGACTTCCTCCAATATCACCAGAATGATATTCATCTAAAATCTATTTATGACTTATCATCCTATTTTTCGGACATAAAATTGCAACTTTTCCTTACATTATAATATAAAACAACTCAACATTATTAGATCCTATTTGATAATTATAATATAACTTACCATAATGAAATAAAACTTCTTCTTATTTTGTTTCAATTAAATTTAACTTCTTCAACATTTGATAATATAACAAACTATCAAATATTTCTCTTTTCTCTTTAAAAAATTTAAGATCTGCTACAATTTTACTAATCTATTCTACACATTCCTTCTTTTTTGATTTCTAACAAAATACTTATTTTAAATTATCATATAACATTATTAATTATTATTTTTTATTATTTGTTCATATCTATATTTTGCTAAAAAAATGATAACTAAATTTATTTATACTAAAATTAACATAAAATGCTTGTCTCAATTTAATATAACTTTTTCATATTCATAAAGTTAAAGTAGAACAAAGGAACTATTTAAAAATAATTAATATTGTTTTTCATCTTAAGAAATGTGATGTTTATTATATATTCATTATATAATTACAGGATTAATCCGACATATTTGTAGTAAATCCAAACATATTTCGGATTAAATTTAATTTCTTTTTTTTATAATTAAGAATTAAGAAATCAACAAAATTAAAACTGAATACTAATATAATTTTGAATGCTTGATGATTATAATTATTGAAGATTAATATTTTTATTATCTATCCAATTATGTTGTTAGTTTTAAATAATGAATAACTGAATTTAATAGAAATAAATTTAGAGATGAATAATTATTAATTTTAAACATTTCATTCATAATTATGTATAATTCTATGTGAATCCTAATTACTATAATGATATAGTTTCACTTTATTTTATCTTGGTTCTATTTCCTAATTGATATAGTTGTCCTAAATTATATTCAGCTTTCATGCTTGGAGTACATATTTATTCTTTGATTTCATTTGTAAATATTTTTAATTGAATTTCTGGGTCAATGGATATTTTTAAATAGATTTTTTTTTATTAAAGGTTTGAATAAACAAGATTTACATTAATCGTCTTGTATTAAAGTTATTTTTAAGGTAATTTTATTTATTTTAATTGTAACTTTATAAAAAGTGTAGAATTTTCTGTGAATCCTAAATGAATTAAATCACTTGTATCATTTTATTTTAATTATTTCATTTATTTTCCATTCTCCATTTGATATTCTAAATTCTCTTCATAATTATCTTTATTAATATTAATTAATACACTCCTTCTATGAATTCATCAAATTATATTTCAGGATATATTGAAATTTAAAAATATTTATAAGATGGTTTATTATTTTCTAAAACCATCACATTAATTATATAAAAAAGGTTACTATTTGTTTAACGTTAAGTTTGAACTTGTTATGTAAATTAATTATTCATAAATATATTATATAATTAACAGAGATTTTATATTATCATCATTATTTTATAAATAATAAATAAAGAATTTATATAATAAATAATATAATAATAATAAATGTTCGATGATGATTATTATAGAAGATTAATAGTTTAATCATAAAATTAATCAGTTAGAACAATAAATACTGATAGGCCATGGTATCCTAAGATGAGATAGAAACCTGCAGTGAGACCTTTGTTTAGTGAAGATTTTAAATTTTTTGTATTGCCTCCTAATAAGATGATTTCATTATTAAAAAGGCACAAAATAACAATACCAACAGATGAATAGATAAGAGAATTTCTTAGAAATCATTCTTTAAAAAATATAGTAGATTATGGAGTGAAATTAAAAAGCAGTACTGAAATAAAAGTGCATCCTCCTTCAGTGATCATTCAAGCTCCAAGAAAAAGAGCAAAAACAAAACAACAACTAACAATAAATAGAAAGCCTATGAATATATTGCCTTTTCGAAATGTAACAGAACCCAGTAANTAATGATATAGTTTCACTTTATTTTATCTTGGTTCTATTTCCTAATTGATATAGTTGTCCTAAATTATATTCAGCTTTCATGCTTGGAGTACATATTTATTCTTTGATTTCATTTGTAAATATTTTTAATTGAATTTCTGGGTCAATGGATATTTTTAAATAGATTTTTTTTTATTAAAGGTTTGAATAAACAAGATTTACATTAATCGTCTTGTATTAAAGTTATTTTTAAGGTAATTTTATTTATTTTAATTGTAACTTTATAAAAAGTGTAGAATTTTCTGTGAATCCTAAATGAATTAAATCACTTGTATCATTTTATTTTAATTATTTCATTTATTTTCCATTCTCCATTTGATATTCTAAATTCTCTTCATAATTATCTTTATTAATATTAATTAATACACTCCTTCTATGAATTCATCAAATTATATTTCAGGATATATTGAAATTTAAAAATATTTATAAGATGGTTTATTATTTTCTAAAACCATCACATTAATTATATAAAAAAGGTTACTATTTGTTTAACGTTAAGTTTGAACTTGTTATGTAAATTAATTATTCATAAATATATTATATAATTAACAGAGATTTTATATTATCATCATTATTTTATAAATAATAAATAAAGAATTTATATAATAAATAATATAATAATAATAAATGTTCGATGATGATTATTATAGAAGATTAATAGTTTAATCATAAAATTAATCAGTTAGAACAATAAATACTGATAGGCCATGGTATCCTAAGATGAGATAGAAACCTGCAGTGAGACCTTTGTTTAGTGAAGATTTTAAATTTTTTGTATTGCCTCCTAATAAGATGATTTCATTATTAAAAAGGCACAAAATAACAATACCAACAGATGAATAGATAAGAGAATTTCTTAGAAATCATTCTTTAAAAAATATAGTAGATTATGGAGTGAAATTAAAAAGCAGTACTGAAATAAAAGTGCATCCTCCTTCAGTGATCATTCAAGCTCCAAGAAAAAGAGCAAAAACAAAACAACAACTAACAATAAATAGAAAGCCTATGAATATATTGCCTTTTCGAAATGTAACAGAACCCAGTAAATAATCTATTTCTTAATATAAACCTTCATGTCATAAGAATTTTAGAATGTCTAAAAGTGAGTATTGTGATAAAGATGTGTATGGAATGTTAAAGAAATTAAACTTTTCACCAATGCAAATGGATGAATCACCAAGACAAACCAAAGAAAATACTAATTTTAACACATTGCCATCTTAAACATATATAAAGCCGATAATACCAAAAAGCGTATTACCTTATCCTCCACGATCAAAAAAACAGCTTCGATAATTACTGTTAAGAGCTATTAAAAAGATAAAGAAATTAGGTCTAACAATTAAGTATGTAATGTAAAATAAGATATTTTCAAAAAAACCATATGAAAAACCATTATCCAAATAATTTATTCATGCAGCAAAAAAGAATTAAATAGATTAAATTTATAACTTTCTATCTACTAATCCTTATCTTGTTTTTGATTTTGATTTTTATAATATGACTGCATTGCATTGGGCTTGTAAAAAAGGTTATGTAGAATTAGTAGAATTGCTTTTATAATATCATTCTGATATTGATGGAGTTGATATCTTATATAGAACACCTTTAATTCTATCAATCTAAGAAAACCATTTGCAAATTACTCATATTTTATTGATTAATGGTGCATATCCTTGGAGTACTGCTATTACAGATTTGAAGACTGTTTTAGAATAGAATGAAAAAGCTAAAAATCTATTGACTAAAGTTAGAAGGGTATTATTTTATTCCCATTATATTTTTAGTTGTAAATCATGGCCAAATGGACTTAATAAAAAGAATATCTGAGTTTAATCTGAACTTAATTACTTAATTTATTAAAATAAATATTTATTAATAGTCACAAATTCTTTCGACGAGAAGCAACTGGAGAATAACTTCTAGATAATGCAAACCATTTTTTTCGATTCTCAACTATTTCAAGATGTTTACGAAATTCTTTCATTTGTTCTTTGAAATTATAAAAAGGTCTTCTATCAATTTAAGCTAATCTCTTTAAGATCAAATGATTGGCTTCAGATATCTCTACTGAATTTGGGTATTTCCACTACTTTAAAGCTTTCATTTTATAAATTTATTTATTATATATAATTTGACTAAATTATCATTAATATAATATATGATGGTTTTATACTATAAAACATATTATTCATAAAAGATTTATTTAATATTAAATATTCATTATTAATGAATTAGCTGTTGTTAAATGAAGGTTCCTAAAATTAAGTTAGAAGTGATCAACCTCATGCAATGAATGTTAATGTTGTTGTAAACTTATAATAAGCAAATTTAAATTTACAATTAACTATTGATCCCGAAATTCCATTTAATACATTCATTAATGGAATCAAAGAATAAATATTTGCTTAAAGAATGCAAGCTCAATATGAAGAAACAATAGAATATTAATTAGGAAATGGATCTAATCTATAATAGAGTGAAACCAGAACTTTATAGAATTTAGGATTCACAAATAATTGCATACTTTATGTCAGACTAAAGCTTAAAGGAGGATAGTATTGAATTCCATATAAAAAATTATTATTTTATTTGAAAATTTTATTTCTATTAAACACATTTGCCCAATATTTAAGGCTAAAAGCATAATAAGGATAGGTATTATCCTTTTAACTTTAATCAATATATTTTTAGACTTTTTATTCTATTCTTATAAATTCTTTATATCTTTTCTATCAGAATTCTAATGATATGTTTAATTAAGCAATACAATATGAGTAATTTCCAAATAATTTTTCTAAATTAGAAACATATCAGCCTTAATATCATTTCTATTAGTATTTATTGTTCTAACTAATTAAACTATTAATCTTCAATAATAATCATCATCGAACATTTATTATTATTTTTAATTATTATTATTTATTATATAAAATTCTTTATTTATAATTTATAAAATAATGATAAAATAACATCTCTGTTAATTATATAATATATTTAATGAATATTTAATTTGCATAAGAAGATCTATCGGAATAATCTGATGAAACTATAGACTATAAATTAGGAAATGGATTCAATCTATAATTAAATGAAACCAGAACATTATAGTAATTAGGATTCACAGATAATTGCAAACTCTATATTAGACTAAAACTAAAAGGATGAAATATTTAAATAAGATCGAAATTTTATATCTATTAAATTCTATTTGTTTATTATATGCAACTTAAAAAATAATGAGAATAAAATAATACCCTTCTAACTTTAGTCAATAGATTTTTAGCATTTTTATTCTATTTTAAAACAGTCTTCAAATCTTTAATAGCTGTACTCAAAGAATATTCATTATTAATCAATAAACTATGAATAATTTGTAAATGGTTTTCTTAGATTGATAAAATTAATGTGTTTGACTAAAGATATTCAATAATATTTATTCTTTTAATTGATTAATTTTATGATTAAACTAACATCAAAGATTTATTTTTATTAAAAGATACCATTTAAATATACATAACTCACATAGATTTACAATTAAAAAATTATAATTAGAAATTCGCTTATAATCTTTATTGAATGCAATATAAAGAGAAAATGTTAAACATAATATCCAAAAAATTAATGATTGAAGAATATTTTTACAAATTAATAATAAAATGAAAATAAGTAATTATTTTTATTAATATTAATCATATATTAAATAATGTTTAACTAAATTTAGTAATACATATGCATATGTATATATTTGATGAAGAAAATAGGTTAGTAAAAAATGATATGATTATTAGAATATGAATAATCATAAATCATATTATTAAAATAATCTTCTTTTTTTATTTTTACGTTCATCCTCATCAATTTCATATAATTATATTTCTTTTTTAAGATTAAGTTGACTATATAATTCTTTAGTTGAATCATTGAATGATTCCATATCTTAATGTAAAGATGATGCTTCAAATCTACTTTTTTATAATTTAGCATGAGCAGTTGAGACTCTTTTTAATGTTTGATTAGTCATTTATCTTTCACTTCTATGTAAATCAATATCTTTTTTTTATTCTAGAATAGTCATCCATTCAGCAGGGAGTGGTTCACAAGTACAATAATCAGGATTAGGTATTTAGATTCCAAAATGTTCTTATAATTTGATTCTAGTAACATTAACAGGACCTGAATCAACTAATCCTAAAGTTAACTTAATAGATTATAGAATAATTATTTACATTTAATGACCAACTTAAAATTGGATAGCTATCTTTAACACTAAAAACTTTCAAAAACTCTTTTCTAATGACTCTTTCTGAAAGGAGATCTTATAATTCAATTTCCAAAGTGCCAATTTTAGCATTGTCTTAATAAAGATACATTGGAAGTACTTTTAATTAATTTACATATTCAACCCAATCTTTACGTTAATCACTAAAAAAGTAAAATAAACGCATACGATTAAGAGTCAAAAAATAACCTTTATCAAAAAGTTATCCAGCGATAAGATCCAATTTAATTTTGAATTTCTAATCAAATATATTACATTCAATATAATAATGTTTAGATAGGTCTACATTTTATGGAACATCTCTTATAGAATGGATTAAAATCATAAATCTAAAACGATTAAGTGTTTTAATAATAGTATTATGAATCATAGGAATGGATTAATTATTTAGTATAAGTTGTTTAGTTGCAGAAATATTAAAAACTTATTTTGATTCATCTAACCCAGATTTTACAGATTCATTATTCACTTAATTTGCTTTAAGTGTTAACATTTAATTCATTGTATTAGAATCACTAGGTAATCCTAATTATTTATTAAATTATAATTGTAGTTCAATTAATTTTTCAGTTTCTTTATAAAGTGTATAACATTATTTGCAAACTTTATGTTCATGATAGAGATTACTAACTTCTAAATTAGTTATATCTGATCGTTCAATCCAATTAAATATTTTACCCCTCCAATAAAGATGTTTATCAGTTTAAATTATCATTTTTAATGTCATTTTATATTATAGATATTATTCTGGATAAGATTGTTCACAATATTTACAAATCTTTTGTTTTTAACACATATCTGCAACTTTTGTTTTATTTTTTGGAGTTAGAACTTATACTATTTATTATTATATAGGAGAAGATGATCCTTCTTCATGTATATTCTCTCCATAATGAGTTATTGATTTCCACAATATTTTATCTGGACTTTTATCAATAATAAATCCTTTTACATTTATAAACCACCAAATTCCACTTTCATCTTTTATAAAATCAGCTGCAAATTCTTTAAATGAAACATGCAAATGAATATAAATATAATTTAGAATATTTTTGATATATGGAACTGTTTCATCAACATATTTCCCACGACAAGTATTAACTATTGTACAAGAATTTTGTTGATTTACATTTGTAATATATTTCGTGAATTCAGATTTAGGATTTATTGATTATGAAAAGTAATCTTCTTTATTAGTTACTATATAACAATATGGATTTTTATCTTTACGCCAAACAGTTCTACAAATAAATGCTTTAGGACCATTACTTTTAACGAATTTTTATATAAGTGTAAGATCAAGTCGATTAGAGAAATTTGCATTGATTTAGGTTTATAAATCTCTACAACATACTAATTTAATTTCATTGCCAACTAATTCCATGTTCCTGAATTATTATTTTTTAATAACTGCAACTAATTCATCTGGAGAAGTGTAATTAGCTAATTTACTTACAACATTTTTGGATGTAAATGTATCTGTTCTAAAAACATATCCTCTAGAATCTGAATATAACCAATAATTTGGCATTTCACGATCATTCAAAACAATAGTGTCTGGAACCCATAATTGTAATCTATTGACAATAGATTAATTAGATTATTCAGTATCTGGTCGACGAGCAAGAAATTTATAAAAATGAATGAAACGCTAGAAATCTATTGAATATTGAAGTTCTTTTCCTTGTTCATCATATAATATATTGACTTAAGCCAATAATTATTCATACTTTCTCTTTACATCTATTTGTCTTTGTCTTTATAATAAATAAGGGTCTTATATATTCTATAACTGCTTTATAGTTTCTTCTCTTAATTGCATTATTAATTAAATGAATGAAGAACTTACCAAAGAGACTTTGATTGTTCAACATTAAGATCAACATCTAACTTATACTTAAATATTAAAGGCATTATAACCATTAAATCATAAGACATTCAGATTCAATATTCCTGAAATCTCAATTTTCAATTAAGGTGAAGTAGAATTGTTCATTTCACAAAGAAGAACAAATCTTAATGGTCAATATAAATAACTTAGAAATTTGCCTATCTATAGACTTAAAGTATTGATGCCTAAAAATGGATGTATATGTAAGTATGTCGATTAAAATCTTCAAATGATGACAGATTTTGAATTAAATATATTACTTAATAAAAGAAGAAATGAACCTATTTGGAAAGACATACTTTATTTATAGTCTTAATATTTAATGGATTAAAGGGTTCTTTATATTGCAGAATAAGATGATTCTACAACTTTATATAAAAGAGCTTATAATGAAGTTGGAATCTTAACTAAAGATATTGTTATTGCTTCATCTTAATATATTACAGATGAAGAAGAAGATCATTATGAAAGAAGTCTAAATTAAGAGTAATTGTCATAATATTACACTTATAAAATTATACACTTTCTTTAAAAAGTCAGAAATATTAAAATTACACATGGAATCTTTAAATGGAGTATAGAAAAATCACGTCATTATTATTTTATTGACTCATAAAATGTTAGTTTTAAAAATATTCTGGTTCAAGATTAAAAATTAAATTCTAAATAATTAAATCCACTCCAATTAATTGATACTATCAATGATGAAGTAGTTAAGCAATATACAACCATTTTAAAAAGTGAATATGAAAAAAAAAAAATGGAGTTTGGTTTCAACGAAAAATAATTTAATATCACTAAAGATAAAGAAACTGAAAATGTATTTAAAGAGATACATAAAGGTTCAAATATTTAGTATAATTAATTATTTAGAGATATTGATTCCTTTACTAAATATGAGGGTATTCAAATATTATTATTGAATAGGAATATTATTAAGATAAATTAAATAAAAACATACAATAAAATTGGTTCGACCAAGATAAAGAGTGTTGACTATTTAAAATTGCTAATCTCCACATAAAACATTACCAGTCAGATCATTTACATAATAAAAATAGAGAACCCCTACTTATAAGCATTATAAATCAAATTTAAAATACAATACTTTGCCATATCTATTATAATGCTGATATATATAAATGTTTTTCATTATTATTCCATTAAAAATTTATCCTCAATTAAATCAACAAAATTGGATTCTTTGTTAAGAACTGTCAAGGATAGGGAATTGAATTATGCTAAAGGAATGATTTGATATAATACATAATGATTAATTGTTTTTTTTTTCTTTAGTGTTTTTTTGAATGGTTCTTAGATCACCTAGAAATACATTGAGTATATTATCAATATAATCAACTTCATGATCTTATTCACTTTCTAGTTATTAGAGTTATTCTGAGACATCAGTGACATCATAAAGATGTAACATTTAACGTAAATATTTATTTTCAGTTTAGAGAGTAGCTATGATACCCTATTAACTATCACGATATAAAGATATGATTACCTCAGAATCATCATTAGATTATAATTAATCTTATTAAACAAGTTCAATAATTTTGAGCAATTTGATTTTCAAATATTTATTTCTTTCATTAAGTAGTTGATTACGTTTCTAGATAGAATAAGTTAAATACTTTTTCTTTAAGCCATTGTTCTTTATAATAAAGTGTTTTTTAAACTTCTTTATCTTTGTTAAGTAATTCAGTTTTGAGTAATCTATATTTTTTCATAACTTCTTCTAAGACTCTGGAATAATCTCTAGTAACAGAATCAGGATTATGATCTCTTCTTTCTTTGAAAGTGGATAGATTTTCATTTCGACTTCTATTATTACTAGGTTATCTTTAATGTCCTTTTTTATTGTATTCATAATGCAAACTAATTTATGGAGTACGAAAGAGAGTAGGTGAACATGAGTTTTCACCTAGATAGAATGGTGGAGTACTTTCTATTTTGGCTTTTCTTTGATTAGGAGTCTATTCTCGTCTTTAATTAGGAGAAGTAAAGGAATTGAAATTCTATTGTTAAAGAAGGGGTGGATCTTTTTTTGATTGAAATTAAAGAGTTTTCTTGAATATAATGTAATATTTACTTTGAATTCATCTTGTTTTTATTTGATATGTTGAATAAACGTATTGTTTTCAGAGAGTGTTTTCATTAATTTGAAATTTAAATTATATATGGGTGATAAAAGTAAAAGATTAGATTATAAATAATTTTTATAATGTTAATGTTGTGGATTGTATTATTAGAATTTGTTTAAGGATTCAAAGAACGTCCTTAAAATATTGTTGAGTTAACATAGATCTTATCTGGATATGAGTATAAGGGTTTATGGAAATCATAGAATAATGAATAATAATTCCATTACTTGACAGTTGAATAAGGAGATGCTTATATGATATTCTAAACAAATGATACATCACATAATGGGTAGGATGAAATAATAGACCGATTAGAATTTTAATTATTGAATCCCAAATACACAGAATTAAAATAAGTAGTCGGAATATTTCATTTGACAAATTACTCAGAAACTGATATGTAAAGTCTGATTTAATTTAAGTTCATTCGAGAATAGTAGTCTCATAAACTATACCACAGCCTATAAATTTAGAAGAAACTATAATTCAAGAGACAATTGTGAAATAGTATACAATGTTAGCATTGAATTTAATGAAAATACTTATGATAAAGACCATGCTAACATTAAAGTGCAGTTATATACTTAAAATAAAGCAAATGATTCACATTGTGATGTCAATATTAAAATGGATTTGACTTATGACAACACAAACTATTTATTAGAGATTATTATGTATTGTACAATGTCAGTGTTAATTTGTTTTACATAATTTTTATGTGTCACAAAACTTTGTAAGGCTCTACTTGAGAATGTAGAAGATGCAAGCAAGGTAAAAATCTTGATTTTATGATATTAGATTTCACTTGCTGCAGTTGGATTTCTAACAGTTTAAGATTCATATATTTGTATGCAAAATCTTTACAAAGCATTAATTCATTATGTAATAAATAAAATTGAATATAGCAATACTTTTAATACTTTGTATTGCCTGCCTTCTTTTACTTCCTGTTAGCAACTACCTGTGATATGAAACTTATATGGATAGTTTGGAGAAGTAGACATTTAGAGGATTTATTTGATTAACAAAGGATGAAAAGGGCAATCACTTACTTCTTTGCTTAATTCTGTAAATTTCTATAAAATAATTTAGATTTCAGTCTTATCTTTTATTTTATATTGATGTACTACTTTAATACTTACAATTGGTTTATATGTTTAACTGGATTAAATCTACTTCCTTAGATTATACATAATATTCGTCTTGGCAATAATCCTAAATTTATTTCTTATTTCATTTTTGGTATACTATTTCCAAGTATGATCTATTAAGTATCTAAATTATATAATTAGATTTATTATCGTGCATGTCCATCTAATATAGTTGGTTTTGAACCTTCACTTGCTTTTTGTATGATCTTTTTGAGTGAATACTTGCTCTAGATTATTATCCTTTATATTTAATTTAAATTAGGTCCAAGATCCTTTATTCCTAAATGTTTCTTACCAAAATAATACAAATATCTTAGAACACTTAATATTTAAGAAGATGAGGTATCTGAAATTTATATAATATTCTAGAATGAATGTGCTATATGTTTAACATCATTAACAGAAGATCCATTTGATTAGGAAGCTCCTACTGATAAATTAATTATCAAATAGGCTATGCTTACACCTTGTAGTCATTGGTTCCATCCATCTTGCCTTCGTAGTTGGATAGATATTAAAATGTAATGTCCTACTTGTCGTTCAGAGTTACCACCTTTATTAGAATGAAATATTTAATTAAATTATTAAAAATGCAACGAGGACAACCAACAACACTCAAAGACAATTTTGCTAAGATTGTTATTCCTAAATAATCATCTCAACCTAACATTAATCCAGAATATAACAATTTCTTTCATATTCCTCCAAAATTTTAGCAGTAGCGTTTAACTATTAAATAAACTGTGACAACTTCAAAATCTATAGAAGAGAAACGTTATAAACAACATAAAAACAATATTTCGGAAAATACTAATAATCGTACAAATAGCAGTTCCAAAAGTCGTATACTTGGAACAATGTAAATTGAAGATGATTCATCATAAAGTTCTTAAAATGTTTTAAAACTTAAAAAAATAGTGGGTGATACTCATTTAATTCCAGCTAACATTCTTCAACAATTGTAATCCTAATTTCATTATATAGATCTAAATAGAATCAAAATACTAATCTCACCAGTGATTCTTAAAGTCCTGGATAAAGAAAACCTATACAGAAAAATAATGAACTTTATAATCTTAATACCTAAATTCAATCAATCATTATCAAAAAAAAATATCATTCCAAATGGGAAATTTATAAAGAATTATTGTTAAAATAATGTAATCTATTAAATGTATACAAACATTAATTTATTTAATCTACTTCATTAAATGATATATCTATTAGAATCATTAATAGTTTATTCGAGATGATGAATAATATATCAATTGAAATATTATGTGAATAAGAATCTAAATTCAATGAAATTATTGATAAAGTCAATCATGAAAAAGAAATTTACTTAAATAATTATAAAATTATTGAAAAAGAAAGAGATGTTTTAATTGATACTCTCAATCAACTTAAATCACCTAAATAATCAACTAATACTAATTAAATTGATAGTATGGATACTATATAATTAAAAGAAATGTAGAATGCTATGCAAATTAAATTGTAGCAAATGAGTGATAAAGAAGCTAAACTAATTAAATTGGTTTTAGCTATCAAAAGAAGTGGAATTGATATTGAAAAAATATATAATGAAGAAGTTCTTAATGATGATAGTCTACTTGAATCTAATAATTAATAACTTTTAATTAAACATTATCATTTTGATAAAAATGAACATGATGCTGATAATTCTGTTGTTAATGATTCTGATGAATCCAGTTTTTGCTTTCTTAATAAATTTGAAAATGATTCTATTATAGAAAGTGTAAGATAATTTTAATATAAAAACATCACTAATCTCGAAGCTAAAACCAATAATGTAAAACTTAAATTAGATCTATCGAATATATAATCAAAAACATAAACTACTCAAATAAAATTGTAAAATAATAATAAAACATAATCAACATAAATAAATTAGTAAAAGCTTAAATAACCTGAAAATTAAGTTACTTCTGGTTTTCATTAAGAAATTATTCAAAAATTAAATGAATTTTCTGAAAGTTGGAGAATTTAATCATTAAAAGATGAAAAAAGAACTAAATCTTGAAAATTTATAATTTATTTTTATTATTTATTTAATTATCATTTTACTACAATATAATCTTCTTTAATAATTTATAATTATAATTAATTGATATATATATTTTGAACCTCTTTATTAAAATAATTATATTATAAATGAGAATTGAAAGTGGTAAGTTCAATAATTTAGACTGTAAAATGTTCATTAAAAAGAATGAAAATCTAGTTTTATATAATTTATTATTATAGATTAATGATGATAAATTATAATAATAGGGAAATTCAGGATTTTAGAATAATCTGTTTTCTTAAGGGCAATTTAATTTAGATAATTAGTGTGATGATATTATTAAAATTAAAGTGGTTAAATAAAAAGAGACAAATATGATTATTTTAATGGTTTAATTATAAATTTAATAATAATTATGTGTTATTTATATAATTTGAAGTGTATTAATTATAAATAAATATAATAAGGATATATAATAAATAAAAATAATGATAATAATAGAAATATAGGAATATAAAATCATTTTTTAAATTGTCTAATAAATAAAGTAAGATTTGTACTTGGTTTTTAATTTTTAAATTTAGACAGCTAATTTGAAGGATAGAAAGTATTTAGATAGTTTCTTCAATTTTTTTTGTTTAGTGAATTAATTAAACCTAAAATATTAGTATTTTTTACTTAGAAATAACAATATCATAATTATTATAAGGGAGATAGACATCAAATAAGTATAATTTTTCGAAATCGTTATCTCCAAATTCAGCTCCAATAGGATTCTATAAAATAGTTTATAAAAATTTACTTCAAATCCACTGAAAGGTTAAAATTAAGAAGGAGCAATAGAAACTTTAGTTCCAGTTTTGGTTGATTTTTTTCGATTGGTACCTTTTCTACTTTATAATTCTGGACTATCAGTATATTATCTATTAATTCCAGGGACAGATTTGAGAGTATAATTGGAATTGGTGGATTTACGAGGTATAGCAGATGGAGTTTAAGTATTTTCATTTTATTTAATTTAAGAACGATAAGAATTAGCAGTAATATTATTAGAAGTGATTGGACTATATGTTTAAGATCTTGAAGAGTTTTATCTAATAGAAGTTTATCTATTATCTTATCTAAGAACAGAATTGTTAAATGATTCTGATGCATTTCTCTGATACAATTAATATTTATTTTGTAATTCATTCATTTAATTGTCAAAATTATAATTGAATGTTAATTTCGGATCTTTATTTCTTTATGGTTGATTAGTTAATTCTAAATCATTATCTAATGAAGGTGAATTTTCTGAACTTTCATTTTCTATAATAATATTTAATGATTTTTAATCTTTAATTGATTATTAAGCTAGATTTCCAAATCCTGCAGTAGCAAAAGTATTTTTTTATTAATCTTTTCTAACTAAACTAAGAAATTTATCATCATCCATTTCTCCTTAATGTACAATATATTTATTTTCAGCAGATTCCAAAAATCTATAGTATATATATATAATACGCATCATTGATTTATGATTGCTACTATTCATATAAAGATTTCTCTTTTAATAAAGAAGTGCTCTTTAATAAGGATCTCTCTCTACTAACTCTACTAAAACTCTACGCAGAAGCATAAGATTCTTTAATGTGAACGTCATCATATGGTAGATTTGATTGACTAAATTAATTAGAGGATTAAAAATGATTATCTGAATATAATTATAACAAATAGTCTTAATTAGCCTCTGCATCTTTTAAAAATTCAAAAGCTTTAATATCTTTAATTTATCTCCTATTATCTATTCATATATTGATCATAATAAGTACTTACATTATTTTCTATGATTAGTTATTGGATAGATAAATGTCTTTATTACTTTTTCTCTATCTGGTCTATATGTCAATAATGGACATTTAGATATTAAATGATCACCTTAATTACAACAGAAACATTAATTTGGTAAATCATTATGAATCAAAATACGATCTTTAACATTATAAAAGTATTACTAAAATATATTATAAATTATCTTACTTTATCACTGAAAGTTAATAAATTTAAGAAAATCTCTCTTCTTATTCTTAATAATCGACATACTCCTTCACTTATTACTGTTGCAGATCTTGGTAACTATGTGTAAAATGATATTTCACCAAAAGTTTAAGTGGACTAGATATAATTATAAATTCAAATATACTCCTAAAATCTATAATTAAATTCCCATTTTATTTATTACTTTAAAGTTACCTTCAAGAATAAAATATAATGAACAATCATCATATTCTTATTCTGTTATTATTATTTGATTTGGTTAACAAATCATATCTTCACAATAATTTATTAATGTATTTATTGTATGTTAATTATAGAATTTAAAATATTTAGTCAGTAATTATGATCTTTATACATAATTAAATTCTTATAATAGTTATCCTGATAATTTAGATACAAATTAATTATGGTAGAATTTTGGTTAATTTAAAATATGATTTGTTATTTTCAATTTTAAATTTGAATCTAATTTATTTATAGCTAAAAATTCACTCAATTATTCTGACATTCTATTCTTTTTAAACAAATATACAAACTAAGTCAAAAAGTAAGCAAACATAATAATGGCACTAAAAGTGATTAAACAATTGAATAATTATTCTTTTTATTCATTTGGTACATAATTTGAATTGAATGAGTATATTTATATAATCATATTTAAAGTAGATAAATATGATGTAAATTATTCATGATCTTAATTGAATAATCCATACTGATAACAAGTAATCACATGAATAACTAAAAACATTTTGATTATAGAATTTATCACCTATACAATAGGATGAAATAAATTGAATTCAAATTTTAAATGTAATTCTATCTCATAAAATCGCTTTATTAAACTTAATAGAGTTCCGGTTAGTAATAGGAATCTAAAATTCACTACTAATGTATTCAAGAATATTAATCCAATTAATGTGATCTAATATAGAATGTAATGTTACTGAATCATGTAACAACAATTATTTATTATATCTAATTGATATTGATTTAAAATTAGTAATGAATTGCCCATTCTATGGAAAAGAACTACACAATTATATTACAACATCCATAAATTTTAATACCAAAAAGATATAATTCAAATCCTGAATATTAAAGGCTGTTGACAAAGGTATATATATTAACATTAGATGCAATATTAGATAATATATTATATTCCAACATTTTAATATCCATGAAGAAGGTAACAACGTCCCTCTAATTAAATTTATATCAAGTACAATAATTATCTTTTGAATTATTTTCTTTATCAAACAAATACTGAAATTATTTAGCTTTACTATCTATTTTAAATCTCTTTCTCATTCTATCTATGAAATACATAATCAATTTGCTTTTGTTCTTTTTATGCATGCTTTCCTGTAACTTCTAAGGAAATGTTAACATAAATGGACTTTCTTCAGCTTCACTAAATGGAGTCCTTGATCGTAAACTTATCATTTGACCAGAATTATTTTAATATATAGATTGCGATAATTTTGATTTATCTACTGTTCTCAAAGTAGGATCTCTAACAGATACATCATCATCTGGTTAAATAGGATGAGAAATGTTTTATAAAGGCTCATATTTAAATGGTCCTAAATTAAATTTCACTTTTTGAATACCTCTTATTTCACTTGCATGAAATCTACTCATTTTATCAGGTTCTGTTTTATTTTTTCTTAAACTACTTGATGAACATTTTATCGATCTTCCACTCATAATTAATTTTTATATATTATTTTCTAATATTATTCTAAGTTTTTTACAAAAATTGATCATTCAATCACACCCATAATGTATTACTTCATCATTTATTATTATAATTCAATTTCTATATATCACTATTTAAAATATTAAATGAAAATATTTATTATAAGTGTCCTCTTAATTACAATTGCTATAGCTTAAACAGAAGATGGAGGTTATGATTAAATTAAAGCATGGAGAGAAAGAATATAATTCAAATAAGATTATGAGAAATTATAGGATATGATTCAATAAGTTGATCATATTATTGCTTATTTAGATACGGAATAAGGAAAGTAATTTCATTCAATTTATTTTAAGAAATCTTACTCCTAAACAATATGAAGAGTTGCTTAATGAAATAACAATTATAGAAGATGAAATCAAAGTTATAACCTCATCTTATAAAGAAGACGATTTATGATTATGTATTTTATTGCGTCAATTATCTTAAAAAAGAAATCTTAAACTCTTCTAAAGTTATATTACAGTAACATCAAATTATATCCAATTAGCTTGATTTCTTTTATTTGAGTTTAATAAAATTCTTATTCATGAATCTGATATTAGTTTATTTACTATTGATCAAAATATCAATTAAAAAAAGAAAATACATTTTATAATATAATATAAAAATAAATATTCCAGAGATACATCTTTCTTAATGGTTTTCCAAAAATATAATATCGATTTATGAGTTATAAATTTAACTTATAAACAAGATAAATAAGATAAATCAATTCTTTTAAGATGCTTTCATCATTTTTTAATTCAATTATTTTAATTTTATCTTTCTTTGTATTTCTTTATTAATAAATCCTTTTACATAAGGTGATTCATGAACTTTTCCAGGGAGTAATAAACTTTATTTAAAAGATACTCTTTTTGCAGAAGTACCTTATAATTATAAATTGATTTACTTCTGCTAGAAGTCGTGAAAAAAGATTTGTCAAGACTTTATTAAGTATGTTATTTTGATTAAACAACTTACTTAAGTTCTCTTTATGAGGGTATTTTATTTCTATCCTCAATGAATTTATAACCACCATCTCTCCAATCATAAACGAACCTAGATAAATTTCTATTGGTTGTTATTAATGGTAAAGCAACCATTGATTTAGAATCAATAACTTTTTATGGCGGTGCTTTTGTAAGCGGATTTTATTTTGGTAAACTTGGAGTAGAAAGAGTATCAAGTATTTTAGAGTGAGGAGTCTTAGGTACATAAGGTTTTTTATCTTTTAATTGCAAAGGAGTCTAAAGCCTAGGACTAAATATGGATTTTAGTGATTCTTTCCTTTATAGATAAGCTTCTCTATTAAAATAATGATCTTATTATTAAGTTTGTAATATTACCTTTAACCTTTGGCAACGGATAATGCTTAAGTTTTGCTTTAGTTCCATCTATCACTTCAGTAGTAGTATCAATTTAAGTATAATGTTAAATTGATTGATTTTTTCCATGTTAAAAAAGGTGTTTTCTCTAATCTGCTATTATTCTATCACGTAAAGATATTTAACTTCTTTATATTGCCATAAGTCTTTCATGTTATTACTTATGCAATTCATTAATTTATTCTTTTAGTTTAATCTCATATACTTCTAATCTTAGAATATGTTTTTCAATTAGATTAATTAAATATGACTTATAAGAATTTGATAAATTACTTTAATTAACATTCTAAAATATAATTAATTAATTAATCTTACCTCTTATAATGCTGTTCTTTGAATACTAAAATTATTAGCCTACTTATAAAATTTAGTTAATTATTCTTAATAATTATTTAATAACTGTTAATCTTATTCAATTTAATGTCTAAATGAATCTGCTGCCTTCCTATCTATTCCATCAATACGTTAAAGATTTTCTTAATTTTCATTAATAGTAAATTTAATTTACTCAATTTCCCATTTATACTTAAAGATAGATTGATTAACATCTTATTCATTATTAAAATGATCAATGATATTTTCTTCATATAATTTAGTTTATTCCTTATCATTATTAATTATAGGTTTTTAAATAGATTTATTATTCAATTGTTTCTTTAGTTCTGCATTTTCATTTACTAATTAATCATAAATTAATTTAAAATCTTCTTAATGATTACTTTACTGTAAATTCTTAATGAATCCTTAATTAAATTTACCTGAAGCCATTTAACAATATTCTAATGTTTGAATAGTATCTTCATAATTTGTTATAGAAGGTGAAACACATCCAATAATTAGTGTTTTAGAATCTCCACTAAAAGAATCCTTTAGAATTTTAGTTAATTTACTGTTTTTATATGGAATGAATGGCTAAATCTGTTTAATCTATGCCTCACTCATTAAGGAAATACAATCATTAAGAACCTATAAAGATGACTTTTATCCATTTTTATCAAACCAACCTAGATCAGCTATTATAAATTTAGAAATAGATATTTGATTATTAGAACCAATAATATCTTGAATGTAGTTTGTAAATATTAGAATTTCATGTTATTTAGTTGATTTTTATCGTTTTCCATACTATAATAAATTAATCACTTCTTAAGTGCTAATTACATCTATTTCTCTCATTCCATTTATTACTAATGCTTAACCGATTTCATCTCTTATTTCAAGATTCCCATTCATATTGTTTAATAAATCATAGAGTTACTCTTATTAAATTTCCAAATATGAAAATTTCATCTAAATCTTCCTCTTTTTATTATGTATAGTTTAAAATAACTAATTTAGAGATCGTATTAATAATCCATAATCTTCATTCACTTTCATAAGTCTTAATATAATCTATATATGTACGTATGAGACTTTCCTGTTCCAGAGGCCCCGTAACTAAAAAGTGTTACATTTATTCCATCTAGCAAAGAAAGTACTTATTACTCAAGAGTCTTTTCAAATATTTCCTTTTAAGAAGTTGTTTAGTCAAAAACCCAGTTGAATTTATATGTCCTTTTAACCTGTTTAACTTCTGTCTCTACTGGAGGAATTACTACTAAACTTTCTTAATCTGTAACTTTTAGAATACTCTTATCAGAAATCTCAAGATCTTTATCATTCTATGGCCTTATACGAATAGCAACCTAAGAAAATTTATACTAATTACTTTTATGTTTTCAAGTAACATTTTTAATATTAATGATAATTAATTTCAAATTCTTAACTAATTCATCCATATATATACTAGGTTAAAGACAATATAAGAATATTAGAAAATGAAAATTCTACTCATTTTTAAAATAAACTATTTCTAAATATTTTCTTCCTTTTTATTATTATTATTATTATTATTATATAAATTAATTCATTAAACTTTACATTCAAATTATAACTACTTCCGAGACTTTTTTAATAAAGACAGCATCAATTTATCGTCTTAAGTAGGATGATCTATTTATTTATATCTTTCATAATAATATGTCAATAAAAGACACTTTTCATTTGAGACATCTTCTTCCTTTTTTACAATTTCAACTGGATACATTTAATTATATGATTTCGCAAAATATTTCTATAATATTAAATCCAAATTTAAAATTTCTGTTAAAAATACTAAGTTTTAAGATTAAAATAATTCAGCAAGCTATGGTTACTCTCCTTAAGTAGCTAAATTATGTACTAATTCTTCCTAGTTATTTTCATCTTTATCATATAAAATCAACAATACATTTCCACATGTTTATTTCCATAATTTTTCTGCTAAATCATTATATAATCCATTCTTTCCTAATAACAATACTCGAGACTCAATTTAATGTATTATGATTGCAGCATTTACATTTGGAATGATTTAAATATTACTTAATTCTTTCTTTAGTAATGGTTAAACGGAACACTTATAACATGAGTTTTCAAGGATTTATGATATCTTAAACAAAAGTTCTTATTTCAAAGAATAAACTCCAATGTTTATTGATCCCATAGCTTCTTATATTTGGCATTTATATATAGAAAAATCTTTTCCAATTCTCATTCCTATCTCTTAATTGCAGAATTTACAATATAGATGACTAAATTAATCATATTTTTTGAATTGATCTTCTTTACAATTATCTACCATCTTAAATGTCAAAAAACTACTTAATTCTTAATATATACTTTAACTATTCTCCTATCTTTAAAGGGCATTTGTATATCTCATCTGATTTATTAGCAATAAAGCAATTACAAATACTACATATATACATATATAAATATAATCAATTTTCTCAAATTGATTTCTAATTCAAAAACTATTCTAACCTATATATTTTTCCCTTTTAATTAATTGAAATCGCATTTTTAGCTATTATTTATTTTTCAATCATCTTACGAGCTTATTCCTTCAATATTTTATTCAAATATTACGAATTAATTCTTGTCTTATTTTTTTTCTTCTTGGGAGAGAAGGATTTCTTTTTATCTATTGTTCTTTATTAATGAACAATAAATTCTTTATTATCAAACTTTTTAAGAGTGCATTTATTTAGTAGTTTGAAATTCATTCTTTCTTTTTAGTTCTAATGGTACCTTAAATTAAGAAATGTTTTGATTCACCTTATATTTAGAATTAATTGATAAAAGTGTCTATTTAATAGAACTTAAATTAAGATATTCCACATTAGGAGTTTTTAAGATTTCGATTTGTATTTATAAAGTAAAGGGATAATCAATTTTTACTAATTTGAATAATTAGTAATTGATTCGGTTATTTTCTTGAAACTATTTATATTATTGATTTGGGTAATATTGGTTTCTCGAGACAATGATAATTAGAATACTGTAATTTTTTTATAATTTGATTATTAGTTAGCAAATATTAAATGATCAATTATTTAGAATTGAAATAGAATTAAAAAAATTAATCTTCTCACCTATTCTAAGCTTAGAGACTTTTGCTAAGAATGTATCGAAGATCTGTTTGAGATGAAAACCGGTAATATTGAAATAAAATGATAGAAGAGAAAAGCATGTTTAAATAATGGATTTATTTAATAAAATCGATCGTTGGGTCTTTAAAACTGTGGTTATTAGATATGAAAAGAGAAGTATTAAGATGTAAAATTATCGAAATAGTCAAAACTTCATTTAATTATTATAATAAAAAAATATATAATATTATTGTTTGAATATTATTAACAACCCAATTACAAATATAATTAATTCTACAGTTATAAATAATGAGTCACCATTTTAAAAATGATGGTAGTTAATTAGCTTACCATGCTAGTCCTTCAAGGACAATGCAAGAGGTTAGTGAATTATCTAGAGAATAAGCTATTAAGAAACTTTAAGAGAAGAAAATATAAGAATTGGAATATAAAATCAAACAATAGGAAGTTGTAATATAGAGATAATAAGCATAATTAAATGATGCTTCTATGGAAGCAGCAAAGATTAGTAGATAATTTTAAGATGCTTTGAATGATTTAAATTAGTTAAGATAATCAAGTGATAAGAAGGATTAATAAATAGGAATGTTGTTAGAAGAGAATGAAAAAGTAGTTAAGGTTTTAGAGAAGTTAAAATCGGATTAAAAAGTAATTAATGGAGATTCAAATAAAACTATATAAAGTTTAGAGTAATAAGTACGTGATCGTTATTAAGTTGAGAAGCGAATGAATGATGAAATACAATAGAAAACATTTCAAGTAAGATTTAAAATAATGTAGATTGCAAGTTTAGAGTAGTAACAATAAGAATAATTATAGGAAAAGGAAGCAATAATTAACGATTTGAGAGAGAAATTAATAGTATCTGAGAAATAATGGTCAACAGATGCATCACTTGGACATTTAGCAAGAAAACGAGGTAAATAGATAGAGACACTTACACATGCAAACAATGAATAGTAGTTGAAAATATAGGAGTTATAGAATAAGGTTTAAATGCTATTAGAATAGAATTCTAATTTATAAAACACTATTTAAAAAGATTGCAATAGAATTGAAGATTTTAAACAATTACTAAAATAATTAGAAGAGAAACATAGAGAATAGTTAGAAAAGTAGAATGAAATGAATGAATAAAAAATTGAGAAACTCAAATAATAACATCAAGTGGAAATGTAAAATAAGACGGATACTTTGGAAGTTATTAAAGGAGATTTAAACTAGAAAGTAAATCAGAACATGAAAAATTCTACTTAACCAATAATAGAGGAATTGAAATCAGCCAGAAAAACTATAAAGGATTTACAATAAGAAGTTTCGAAATTAAAATTATCTTTATATAAATCTCTTTAAGGAGAGGCTGAAAATATTTAATATGAATTTGAATAATTGAATAAGAAAAATAATTAATTGAATGAATAAAACTTTTAATTGTAATAGAAACTTAAAAAAGAAGATCTCAGCAACAAAGCAAAAATTGCAGAACTAGAAAAGGCTAATGAAAAATTATAGTCAGTACAATAGATAAATGAGACAAAGATTGATGAATTGTAGTAGAAATTAAAGGAATTACCTAGATTTAGAGAGAAAAGTTTAGAGAACATAAAATTTCATGTTGATTCAACTAAATAAACATGTGAATTAGAGACTAAGATAAGAAAATTACAAGATAAAAATTAATCGTAAAATTAGGAAATAAAAGAGAAGGATTAGAAAATTAGTTCATTATAAGATTAAGTCAAGTAAGCATAATACGAAAAAGAGAATGAAGTATCTTTAATAAGATTAGAATCTTCACAAGAAATTAGAGAAACTTAGGAATAAATGAAAAGAGAGTTACAAATTCAATAGAAACTGTTTAATGATGCATAAAAGCCAATTCAAGATTAGATGAAGTAAGCAGCCTTAGAATAACAAAAACTTAGATAACAGATTCAAAGATAACAGAATGATATTAAATAGTTAGAGAATAGAATTGCAAGTATAAATAAATGCTATATTTAATAATAGATTTGACCAACGAAAATTAATAAATAAGGAATAAGTAAGATCAATAGAGAATAGTAGAAGATCAACTACTTAAGGATAAATAACTTTTAGAACATAAATTATAGGACAGATAAAAAGAATTGGAAAATTGGAAAGATAAATATACAAAGACTACTAATAATATTGAAAAATAGGTAGAAAGAGCTGAGAGGGAATAAAATAGAGCTGAGGGTAATTAATTTTTTAAATCAATAAGGTTTACGATTGGAAATTAGTAGAATGTAAAAGTAGTTAGAATAGATGGCTGAATAAAATAATGGCTTGGAGATCAAATTGTAGAATTCTTAGTAGGAGTCTCGGGTTCTTAAAAACTAATTAGTTGAGGGTTTGAAAAGGGATTGTGGATCAGGAATCAAATCAAATACCTTTATAAAGACAAAGTGAAGGACTATCTTCTTTAATTTTTATCAAGATGAAAATACTTTATTAATTAATTAATGAATTAAGACACGACCAATGTGATTTTAGTTGTGATTACTAACAAAGCTAATAAAACTCTCGGACATGACAAATATTTCAAAGTATTCAGTCAATTCGGCACCATCCAAAGAGTAAGAATACTTTAACTTTATATAGATGCTCATTTTCGAAAGATCATTAACATGGAAGACATTTATTGAATTTGATAATCCAGAATCCGCTATTAAAGCAAGATAAGCTATGAATGACAAGCCTTTTTGTGATGATACATAATTAACAATGAATGTATATGCAAGCAAGCTTACCTACATCACATTTTAAGAGAACAATACTGGGGGAGTTGGTAAATTCATAAGTTTACATAGATTATACCTTATTACGTAAGTAATAATAGCCAACCTCAAAACCACCATAATAGCCCATCCCAATATAGTTCCTATAATCATAAATGCAATTTCAGCATCAAATGTCCTAATAGATACAATAAATCAATTCTTTGATGGGATAATTATAGTAGGTAAGTGCTGAAGGATTTTCTACAACTATGATTACTTCAACTGACTTATAGACATAAATAGAAAAACAACAGTAGTTGCTTAATTAAATATATGAATATCAAGCTAATTTTTAAAATCTTACAGATTAGTATCAAAATTTCTTGTAAGGTGTTAATAAATAAGAAGAAACATAATCTAACAGTATCTAATCAAAACAATCAAATCGAAAGAAACTAACTTTGCCAGCAGATTAAAAGAAGAAAACTGATTAAATAGAATTTATATAAAGTTATAGAGAAAACAATACAGAGAGCTTATTTAATAGCTAAGAATAGAAGATTGATGATGATGATTTGAATTTCTAAGGATTGGGTTTAAGAGAATCAGATGATGAAATTGCAGGATCTGAAAATTGTGATGATGAGGATGATGATGAAGGAGATGATGAATAAAATGAATTCCTTAAATACTTTGATTAAAATTCTGACAATAGATAAATTCATAATTTCTAAAATGCTTTTCAAAATAATGACAAACCATAATAATAATTTTAATAATAATAATAATAATAATAATAATTTATATCCCAATAATAATCAAACCAATCCTAAACTTCATCTTAACCTAACTCAGCTTCTAATTTGGACTAATTTAAAAATAAAATTATTAGGATGCCTGTATCAAAAAGTTAGACCTTGCAATAAGTAGAAAAATAATAATTAGATAAAATGCAATAAAGTGCTGATAAAATTGAAGAATACATTAATCCTAAATTTTTACAATGTATTACTATATTTAATACAATAGCTGTGAGAAAATCAAGAGTTATATATGCAAGATGGTTTGATAAAAAAGTTGTGACCTCTCAAATGCTCTATAACTTATTTAGTATCTATGGTAACATTGATAAAATGATCTACTTAAAGGAAAGGTCAAGTGCTCTTATCTAATATGTAACTTAGGATCATGCTGCTATTGCTAAAGAATCCCTTAATGATATAATGTTTTATGGACAATCCATTAAAGTAATCATATTATTGATTTTTAGATCTTTTTTTCAAATTATGAAGAAATTTAACTCAAAACACAACCAACAAAACCTGGAGAATTCACTTAAGATATTAAAACCCAAGAAGAGTATTTTTAAGGAGGAGATGAAACACATAGAATCAAACCTGATAGCACATATACTTTAGCCCCTCCTTGTGATACAATATAAGTATCAAATTTAACAAAAAATTCATGTCAAATCGCTGTTATTTAACAATACTTATAAGATTATGGATAAATTAGATAGTCCAAGTTAGTCACTAATGCTACAAAGTACATGGCCATTCTCAAGTACGCAAGCACAGAAGTGGCTATAACTGTTTTGGCTAAAAATAATGGATTAGAACTAGATGGTAAGTAAATTTAAATAAATTTCTCAAAACAAAAACTCATATGAAAATTTTTTATGTTATTAATATGATATAAAAAAAAATCGTACTCAAACTCGCTATTAAATATAATCCACCAAGTCTATTTGTTATTTACCGATATAATTTAAGAGATAAAAAACTTCGAAGGTCTTTTAATTTCAATAATTTAGATATCGAATTGAGCTTAATTCCTTAGTTAATTTACCAACTCCAGAATTAATCACTTAGCAATTATACCATGAACATGATGAATATTTAAACGATAATAATGTTGAATATGAATAAGTACTAAGATTGGTTCAAATGTTATATGAACATCAATAATAAAAAAGTGGAACAAGAAGATCAGTCATCAAAAACCTTGATTAGGTTGAATCTTATATAGAAAGTGACTAAGATGAATTAAATAAGAGTATTATGATGGAACGTGATGATAATTGGTAAACTCCCCCAAATAGAAGAACAGGTAATATGATATCATTTAAATCCAAGAAACCATCTATCCAAAAGATAATAGTAAATTTAAATAAATTCCTTCCAGTGAAAGCATGAGTTTGAGTTTAAGTGGAATGCAAAATTTTATGTAAGGATAATAAAAAAAGACCAATAATCTTACCTATTTGCCAATCAATAACTTTGATGATTAAGTTAACAAAAACAGGCGATTTGTAGAAGACTAAATTCAATAAAACTAATAAAGTTATTTTAAGAATAAATTTATCGAGCTACCATAGCCCTTACTAAACAGAAATAATTAAAGAATCAATAATTATTATTGAAATTAAAATTTTTATCTCTTTCTCTTTTCGTTTGTTATTAAATTTTTGTCCCAAATTAGTATTAGCAATTTCTGAAAATATTTTATATTTTCAACTTTTGAAAATCTAAATTCAAATTTGAAGATTAAATCATTTTAAAATTAATTTCTTTTTTTTTACAGCTCTACTTTTTGAAACAGATGCATGTATTAAGATATAATCAACTATTTGATTCTGTTTTGTTTTAATTTTTCAAGATATAATTTTTAATAAATTCATAAACACTTTTTTATATTAATCGCTCAGAAATGTTTGATATATGAAAAGGTGATTGATAAAAAGAGTAAATCAATCTTTTTAGACTGTTACAATCATTTATGATTCCCATTATAAATAGAAATTTTAAAATAAGTTTTTGATATTGTTCTATGAAAAAAAAGAAAATCAATATATTTATTAGAGGGCCATTTATAAATATAAAAATTATAAAAATAATTCTGGGCTTCATAGTAATTATTTTCTTTTTTTATATATTAGGTTCTTAATACTTTATTGATGAAATTTATATACTTATGCTATCATTAGATTAACAAAAAAGTACTAGGATTATTAATACTCCTATTTCCCAAAAGTCTTGATAAGTCAGTCTTTTTTTTTTGAAGTTCAAATAAAAATTAATGATGAAATTTTAGAAAAATAAAGAAAAAACTAAATTTTTTAAAAAATTTAGAAAGATAGAAGTACACAAATGATAAAAAGCGATTTATATATAAAAATCAAATATATTATATTCAGGCTAAGATCCCCTTTTATAAAAAGATGAATGTTCAATAGAAAAGTCAAATATATTAAAAGTTACTGATACTTATTATTCTTTTTTAATCAAGTTTGATTAAAAAAAGAAGGCTATAATAATTTAATTATTAATCGATCGATGACGAGAAGTAAATTCTTTTAAGAAATTTTATAGTAAAAAACAGTTTAAAATAGATTTGACTTAGTTCAGAAGAAAATTGTTGAAAATTACTTCTCTAAAATACATTTTCCCAACAAAAAATTTGAAATTAAACTAAATGAATAACTTCTAATCTTTATTTTATTTTTATGAATTTTAGGAAAATTGTTTTTACACAAAGAGAGAAACATTTTTATCCTCTAACTTATATTAAGATTATTGACAACTTTAAAATTAATGGTTGAGAAATTTAGCAATTTTGAAAAAAACTCCAACAAATCCAGCAAGCATTTTGATAAAATAAGAAGCTATTATGTTTTTCGAACTATTATTAAATGGAAAACTTAGTAGTTATCTAATGAATTTAGTACATGTAAATTAGAAAATTTAATCTCTCTCTACTATAATTTAATAAACCACTCAAATTTAAAAAAATTGATTTTATAAAATATATATTAGAAAATGAATTTCGGATAGATCGATGATCTAGTCTTAGTAGAAGATAATTAGTCAGGAGCTACAAATTACAATTAAAATAAGGATGCAGAATTTAAACCAAGATTTCCCAGTATTCCAAGTTTTCCTCGTACAGGATTTCCACCTGCTCCTAATCAAGGTTTTCTCCATTCTCCAAATCAAGGTTTTGCACCTCCTCCAAATTAAGGTTTTGCACCTCCTCCAAATCAAGGTTGTCCACCTCCTCCTAATCAAGGTTATACACCTGCTCCTAATCAAGGCTATACAGCTGCTCCTAATCAAGGTTTTCCACATGCTCCTAATCAAAGTTTTACTCCTACTAATCAAGGTTATACACCTCCTCCAAATCAAGGTTTTCCACCTCCAAATCAAGGTTATACACCTCCTCCAAATCAAGGTTTTCNTACACAAATGATAAAAAGCGATTTATATATAAAAATCAAATATATTATATTCAGGCTAAGATCCCCTTTTATAAAAAGATGAATGTTCAATAGAAAAGTCAAATATATTAAAAGTTACTGATACTTATTATTCTTTTTTAATCAAGTTTGATTAAAAAAAGAAGGCTATAATAATTTAATTATTAATCGATCGATGACGAGAAGTAAATTCTTTTAAGAAATTTTATAGTAAAAAACAGTTTAAAATAGATTTGACTTAGTTCAGAAGAAAATTGTTGAAAATTACTTCTCTAAAATACATTTTCCCAACAAAAAATTTGAAATTAAACTAAATGAATAACTTCTAATCTTTATTTTATTTTTATGAATTTTAGGAAAATTGTTTTTACACAAAGAGAGAAACATTTTTATCCTCTAACTTATATTAAGATTATTGACAACTTTAAAATTAATGGTTGAGAAATTTAGCAATTTTGAAAAAAACTCCAACAAATCCAGCAAGCATTTTGATAAAATAAGAAGCTATTATGTTTTTCGAACTATTATTAAATGGAAAACTTAGTAGTTATCTAATGAATTTAGTACATGTAAATTAGAAAATTTAATCTCTCTCTACTATAATTTAATAAACCACTCAAATTTAAAAAAATTGATTTTATAAAATATATATTAGAAAATGAATTTCGGATAGATCGATGATCTAGTCTTAGTAGAAGATAATTAGTCAGGAGCTACAAATTACAATTAAAATAAGGATGCAGAATTTAAACCAAGATTTCCCAGTATTCCAAGTTTTCCTCGTACAGGATTTCCACCTGCTCCTAATCAAGGTTTTCTCCATTCTCCAAATCAAGGTTTTGCACCTCCTCCAAATTAAGGTTTTGCACCTCCTCCAAATCAAGGTTGTCCACCTCCTCCTAATCAAGGTTATACACCTGCTCCTAATCAAGGCTATACAGCTGCTCCTAATCAAGGTTTTCCACATGCTCCTAATCAAAGTTTTACTCCTACTAATCAAGGTTATACACCTCCTCCAAATCAAGGTTTTCCACCTCCAAATCAAGGTTATACACCTCCTCCAAATCAAGGTTTTCCACCTCCAAATCAAGGTTTTCCACCTCCAAATCAAGGTTTTCCACCTCCAAATCAAAGTTTTACACCTTCTCCTAATCAAGTTTTTCCAAGAGCTTTTCCTAATGCAGGTCCTAATCCAAATATTCGGCCTGTTTTTCCACAAAATCCTAATGATGTTAAAATACAACCTCCTCTTAATGATGATAAATAACAACCTTTTACTCAAATTCCTTTTCAACCTCATTTGGTTAACGCTAGTGTTTATCATGATAGAATTATAAATACCAAATAAGATAAAATAGATTTAGTAAAAGATTTTAATAAGTACTTAAATGAAGGCAATTTATTATTTGCTTAAAATTGTTTAAAGTAAATAATAGATAATGATATCAGAGTAAGGATAGATTGACAATTATGATATCATTATAAAATATATTATAAATAAATAAATGAGCATTGAAGATGCGATGCAAGAAGCCTTAAAGATGGGGTATTAGATTGATCAAAAAACAGTAAAACATAATATGGATGTGCAATTTGTTAATGTGGAAATTGTTAATTCAAGAGTCGAAGATTTCAATTGGCTACTTCTTATAGAAAGAGATCTTTAACATAAAAAATAAGTGTAAGGGAAACTCCAATCACAGTAATTCGTGGTTTTTACGAACTTTTGAGAATTCTTATAGGTAGATGCAAGGTCTGCCAAATTAGTTTGTAACAAACAATTAGAGATAATATCGAGGATTCAGTTTGACTGGAACTCCTGCTCGAACGTATAATTCTGGAGTGCCTATCATTCATCATTTGAAGGAAGCACTTGACATTAAGAGTTTTTTGCAGATAAGCCTAAATAAACAAATGTACTATTCAAGAGACCATATGAACTGCATAAAGGTCCTTTAAGAATACAAAATTTAGAGACTTAGAATTAGAAAGTTTATTAAAGATTAAAAATTTAACCTCAAACTGCAGTTGCTGAATAAAATCAGATCGAACAAATTTTAAAAGTGTAATTAATTTATAAAATATTAGAAATTTATCAATCCCAATGAATACAATGTACTAATCATCTTTTGGAGAAATGCCAGATTTGACTTAAACAGCGGATAGACAAATATGTAAACAGAGAAACAAGAAAATCTCCAAAGCATAAATCAAATAAATTTGCCTTTTTAAGCTATATCAGTTATAAAAATATTAATGAATACTTATAATTTTAATCAGGAGTAAATCAAGTAATTTAAAGAGCTCTTTGCAATGTTTGACAAAGATGGAGGAGGAACTATTTCAACCAATGAAATAGGTAACTTAATGAAAGAATGCGGAGAAAATCCTACACCTTAACAATTGAAGGAAATGATTGAAGAGGTTGATGTGGATGGAAATGGTGAAGTAGATTTTGATGAATTTATTGGTTTGATGGGAAAAAGAATGAGGGAAGAAGAAACAAACGAAGAGTTGAATTAGGCATTTAATATACTTGATTTAGATAAAGATGGGTATCTCTCTAAAACAGACATACAACTTGGACTAGTTAAATTAGGGTAGCAAAAACTGCCAGATAACGAATTGGATGAGCTTTTTTTGAAAGCTGATCTTGATAAAGACGGAAAGTTTAGTTATGATGAATTTATTAGATTTATGACTCCTAAATGATTTTCACAAGAATACATTTATGAAACAAGTGTATAAGGAAAAAAAAACCTGAATTAACAAGAATACTGAGATACCATCTCTTTTTTAGAAACAATATCTTTATTAAACTCAATTTTTTAATGTTGATTTATTTGAATCATTCTAAAACAATTCCTTATTATTTTAGACTTCTAATTACCAAGGCCTCATAATCCTTTAAAAACACCTTTCCATCTCTGTCTTCATCTGCCATTTCCATCCATAATTCTACATCCTCTTGCGTTGGTTCAATAGACATTCCCATCAATTTATATGTTTCCTGGAGCAATTATGGAACCTAAATTATATGCTTTTTAACTTACATGCTTTTCTGTGATAAATCCATTTTTTTCAGTATCTAACATTCTAAATATTCTTCTAGCCACTTCCAATCTCTCCTAAACTACCTGACTGTATGTATTTCTGACAGGAGGTGAATTAGGAATTGATGAAACTTAATTTGTGACTATACTTTATTGTTGAACTGTAATGACTTTACTATTTTGATTACTTGAGACTTATCTGTTGAATGAGCTTGTCTCATAAGTTCTTTGTTAACTTATTGTTTGTTCAGGTACCACTCTTTCACTTCTTTCACTTCTATCAAAATTACCTCCAAAGTATTTTATGCAAAGAGCTTCAATATCTTTATCAGTCACCATACCACATTACCGTCCTATAATAATTATTAAGTTCCATACTATCGATGATTCTAGAAAAAGCGGCAATGTCTGTTGGAGTTGGATTAAACCCTTTATTCATGGCCCTATAACAATCTGATTGAATGTAGCCAACTTCAAAAGAATCTAAAGTGCCGTTTCCATCCCCATCATAAATTTGCATGATTTTCTTAGCTAACGCTTTGCACTCCTCCTTTGTCATTATTCCTCCAAATTGAACTGTGTCCGACACCTTCAAAGTTGAATATTTGATGTCTCTATTATGATCCATTTGGCCACTTAATAATTATTTAATATAATATTATCACTCTTAATAAATCTCTATTGAGTCAATCTCAATTATTATATCCCAAAAACCACTACATCATTCAGATTATTATTTATCGAAAAAGCAAATAACTGAAATTCCAAACTCACAACCTATTTTACTCTTACTCTCGATTCTTCAATGAATTGTAAAAGGAACATCATACCTCTTATTTAGAAATATATCTTTCAATTATACCTGTTATTTTATAAGATATTTAAAATATCTTAAAAAGTTTGGTATATTAATATTTGTATTGAATATTATAAAATGAAAAAAAATGAATATTTGGTTCAGATAGCTGTGATTGAAGCTAGAGATCTAGCAGCCAAAGATTCCTCTGGTTCATCTGATCCTTTTGTTAAAATCACTGTTGGCAATCTTCCAACCTAAGTAAGTACTGCAAAAATGAAAGCCACCACAGCGGTATTTAATTAAGTAAAATATTTTAAAATCATAGAATTTCACTTTCGAGGGTTTAAGAATGTCAGATGTGGATTTTGAAAATTTTGAAGCAAAAATAGAAATGTATGATTAAAACTAATTTTTTCAAAATGAGTTAATTGGAATTCATTCAATTGGATTAGCAACTCTTTATCGAAATCCTTCTCATGAAATTTACAACTCATGGCTGAGACTTACACATCCAAAAGAAGTAAATAAAGTGTAAGGATATATTTTGATTTCTGCATACATTATTGGATAAAATGATGCTCCTCCTGTTCATGATGCCAATGAAAATAATGTTGAAGATGAGCCAGATCCTTTTGGAGGTGTTCCAGATGATCAGTTAACAGGAGAATAACTTTAATAAAGAAGAGAAAATTAAAAGAAAATTGCAATGGTTTGCAAACCAATGCCTTATACAAAACTTGCTTAATTAATGGTTAACATAGTAAAAGCTGAAGATTTACCTATTCTTAATGGGACAACAATTGACAGTTTTATCTCTGTAAGGGCTAATGGCATAACATAAATTACAAGTGTTTTAAAAAATTAATAAAAGCCATAATATAGAGTTAGAATGATGTTTCCAATTAATTTTCCTTTATAAAACGATAAAATTATAATAAGAGTTTGGGATAAAAGAGTTTGTATGGCAGATACATTTATAGGTTAGATACCGGAATTTCCTTCAGAAAATGATTTTTTTAATATTACTTATCTGTAAAGTAAGGGAGGAGTTTTACCATTTAGATGGTTTTCACTCTACGGAATTCCTACTAATGAAAGACCATCAACATATGAATCAAATGTTTTAGGTTATAAGAAAAATCCAAGAGGAACTTGCTATATGGGTAGGGTTTTGCTATCTTTAAATTTAACACCATCTGAAAAGCCTGAAAAAATTGTTTAACCATTAGGTATCTATCGTGAACCAGCCATTGAAAGATTTATGTTAAGATTGGATACTTACGAAGTGAACTAAGCAAAAGATCTTGATGAATTTATCTTTATTAGAGTAAGAGTTGGAAAAGAGTATTTTGATTCTTCAGAAGCTGACTGCAAATCTCCAGGACAATTTGTTTGGAGAAATAAAGTAATTCTTAAGGCCTGGGAAGTTGAAGTTCCAAAGAATCCAAGTGAATAGACAGATATATTTGTTGAACTAATGAATAAAGAAAAGAAAAGGGTTGCTTATATTAGAGTTATTGCTACAAGTCCAGATTTAACAAATGATAAACCTTAATGGTATGAATTTAAGGACTTAAAACTTAAAGGAGAACAAGAAGGAGTGCATAGTTATGTTTTGATGAACCTACTTTTTGGCTAAATTAATATTATCTCCTAAATCCCTAAAATTATTGTTAAAAAGAATATGGTATTACCATATATTTGTAAAATTTATCTTTATTGTGGTTTTGATTTCTGCCCTGATAAAGTTCATAATGAAATTTCCTTAAGTTATGAAATTAGAATAGCAAATCAGGTTTATAAATCCGAATAAAATAAAAATAGTAAAAATCCTATTTGGAATGTTTGTATAAGAATTCCAGTAAGTATGGAATAAAATTTGGAATTTGTATCTAATTTGGTGATATCCTTTTTCAATCATAAAGAGTAAAAATTTCAATTTTAACTAGACCTATTGGATAAGCAAATGTTTCAGCAATAAACTGTAGAGTATCTGAAGAAGAAATAATTTAACCAATATATTAAATTTTTCATATTCTTCAAAATGGCAAATCAAAAGGAAGAATAATTCTTGGTGTGACATTGTAAAGAAAGAAAAAAAATGATAAAATTGACCCTAAAATTAGCATATCTGAAATCATAACCCAATTTAAAGAGTATAAAGTGGTTTTTCCAGTTTATGCTATTAGATCGTTACCTAAAAAACTTAGGAAAGCACAGCTTTTCGCAAGAATATCAAATCCAAACTAAGATTCAGTTGAAAATGTAGATTCATATTTATAAGGAGATGAAGAGGAAACAAGATTTAGTCCTGGATATACAGATCCAAATTTTTTAAAATTATTGATCTTGGATATTTAATTGCCAGAGAATCCACTTCTAATGCCTTAATTAAATGTAGAGATATATAGTAAAGAAAGTTTATCTCAAAAATATTACTTTTCAATTCCATTATATAATCATTACCCAGGATTAGATTAAAAAACTTACAACAAATTAAATTCATATTATTATGCTACTTTAGAAAGTGGAATGTTGAGTGCAAATGTTCCTCCTCCAGATTTAACACCTGAAATTGATGAAAATTAAACAGAAGAACAAGAACAAGAGGATTAAGAAGAACCAAAAACAATATTTACAAAAAAATCAATAAAACCAAGCATAAAAGAAAAATAATCAACAAAGTCAAAGTAATCAACCAAATAAAAAACTGAAGTTTTAGCTTAAAAATTAGAAAAGTCTAGTGATGTGATTTAAAAAAGAATGCGAACAAGAGGAATAGAAAATGCTTATGTTTAAGATGAAATTGTTTTGGTTCTTGATGATGAAGATGTGTTACGAGAATAATTATTAAAAAAAGAGAAATAAGCAAAACTAACTAAACTATTAAAAACATTACCAAAACCTTTAAACACTGAATTAAATAAATAATTTTTAAAAAAGGCCATTTTAGAACAAATCTTTAAAATACAAGATTTAGAAACATATTTTACTGAGAGAGCAATAGAAATGTCTGATGATGGTATTGATTATGGTAGACCAATAATAAAAGGTTAATATGATTCCGAGATTTAAAAGGGGCTTCCATTTTAAAGATATAAAATATATGAATTAAATAAGAATGCATCTGGATAAGGTTAAGAAACTACTGCAATTTTAAAAGCAGATGTCAAATTAATTAATATAAATACATTTAAATAGACAGTTAAATAATAATAATAATAAAATGATGAAAAGAAAACTAAGAAAGCTGAATTAATAGAAAAAGCAGAATATGTCAAAAGATTAAGATCAGCTGATTATCCTTTTGATTTTTTTGATCCAGTTTTTCATGATTATTTGAAATAGCAATAATTTAGATGTAAAGTGAGAGTTTACATATATAGAGGTTTGAGCTTAGCTGCCTAATCAGAAAATATTGATGCTTATCATTATATGGCAGGAGAATAATCAAGAAACTCTGCAAATCCTTATCTTGAAATTGAAGTTGGAGAACCTGGAGCTGATCCAGGAGAATTTGTTAAAAAAGTATCAGATCCTGATAAATTTATTTAAAACACTCTTAATCCAACATTTTTAAGATCATTTGAATTAGATGCAATTCTTCCTTAAGATTGTTTTCTTCATATAAGAGTATTTAATAAAGGAGGATTAACAAATAAACTTATAGGTGCAGTTAAAATTGATATTGAAGATAGACTTATGGGTGAAAAGAAATTAAAATCAAGACTTTCATGTGAAGCATATAAAGATTACTTTTTAAATGATTTAGAAAGATTGAAATATACTGAAAATGCTGATGATATTAAATTAAGTTATTAAGCTGAAATTGCAAATCTCACTTAAAAAATAGAATCTATAACTACACTAGAAATTCCAGTTGAATATTAATAATTAAGACATCCAGATAAACTAGTTTCTTAGGGTTAATTAGAAATGTTTGTTGAAGTACTTCCATTAGAAGTTTCTCGTTTAATACCTCCAGCATTATTAGTAGAAAGGTTACCTTAAGAATATGAAGTTAGATTAATTGTTTGGGAAACTTTTAATATACCATTAAATCCTATTAAAAAAGCTGTTGATATCTTTGTTAGATGTGTTATGGATTCCTCAGCTACTGGTACAGGACAAGAAATTTTTAAGGAAACTGATACACATATGGGAAGTACAGATGGAAATGGAGAATTTAATTGGAGAATGAAGTTTAATTTTAAAACACCTTGTTAATTTCCGAGAATGAAAATTAGTGTTCATGATTTTTCTGTTTTTGGTGCTAGTCCAATAATTGGAGAGGCAACTATAAGTTTAAAAAGGTATTATAATTTATATTATCAGAGTATTAACAGTTATGAAAACTTAAGCAATTTATGAAATGGCTCCTACTTAAATTAAATTAAGTTTAGCTAAAGAGCCAGATGTAGAAAAAGGAACTGTCATGTTATAGATGACAATCTTATAAAAAAGTATGGCTGAAGCTAAACCTGTTGGCGAAGCTTAAGAAGAGCCAAATATTGATCCCTTTTTAAAAAAACCCACTGAAGGTAGAGGTTTAGGAGCTTTTTTTAAAGGCATTGGAATACCATGGGGAATGATATGTAAATAAGCTTGCATGATTTTGCTACCTATGTTTATTTCAGCTTTGGTTTCTTTTATACTTTTTGTTAAACCAGGTATTTTAATGCCTCCGACACCAGGAGCTTGATTAATTAATTTTTTAATAAATAAGTTTTATAATATTTATTTTATTGTAGAAGTCTTATAATTTTATTTTTTATATCTTGAATATAATTCTTCTTTTAATTATTTTTAGAAATATTTAATCTCAGTTAAATCTATTTCTTATTTAGTTTATAATTCATTCTTTTAATTATATATATTTACAAATGATATTTAAATAAAATGCTTTTCACTTAATAAATAATTAATGAACTCTTTTTTTCTATCAATTTACTAATCATAATTTATGAATAAAAACTCCAATAATAATTATATCTTATCAATATTTTCTGGCTTGATTTCTCATATATTTAGTTATATTTATATTTAATTATATAATTTATAAAAAATATGATTTTTCGTGATTGTATGAATATCAATATAATTAATCTTATTTATTAAATAAATAATAGAAATGTCCAACGAATTCCAAACATAATTGTCAAATTTAATAATAAATTATAAAGTGTTTTCACAATTTTAGAATAATATTGCAAAGTTTTAAATAGTCTGAGTAGAATTAAGTTTGACAACACTTAATATAAGAGAAATTAAATTTTTTAAGTAAAGAATTTTTAAGATAAACTTATTTTTTTTTAAAAAAGCTAGACACATTTTTAGAAAAAATTGTAGATCTAAAATTAAATTAATGCATGAAGAGCAAAGAAAATTTAAAAGTGCAGTTAAGGTGCTTAACTTATTAAAGTAATAGAAAAAGTTAGAAATTGTTATACATTTGAATTATAATAAAATTATGACATTAACTATATTAATATTAGTTGGGCTCATGCTGTTTTTAACTCTGATAGGAATTATTTTGATAAAATTGTTTTGTAACAAAAAATAATAGGTGGAAATTAAAAGTCCAGAAGCTATTTAAAATAATTAACATATCAGCTTGGCGAATTAAGATGCAATACCAGAATCTCATTAATCTTAAATACAAAAGCAATAAAATTAAGTAAAAACAGTTAAATAATCAAATATTCCAAATAGAAAAAGTAAACAAAAAAAAGAAAAATAGTTAATTGCTGATATTGCATTTTAGTTTAATGATGATAGTGATAACGAAAATGATAAAAATTCTTCAGGAACTGATTAACAATAGTCAGTAAATATGAGAGAATAGGGAGGGTTTAATTTCTAACAATCTGAACATAATTTAGAAGAGTTAGTAACGCCAACTTAAGTAAATAGTTAAGAAATTTGAGTATAATTATATATATTTTTAAATGTCTACAGATTGTAAGAAATATTTTTCCCCTCCGATTAATAAAATGAAGAAGGATACATTATTGGATTCAACATAAGGAGATTTTATTTTACTATTTTACAAATTATAAATATTAAAAGCTTTGAAGAAATAGAAAACTAATAAACAATTTGAATAAATAAGAAAGAATTTAATTAATTTATGGAGCTAATTAAATGATTATAAATTAAGATAAAGCTACAAGTATTAGGAATAGTTGCGAAAAAAATTGATTTATAATTTAGAGAAACTTGTTTTTGGTTAAAATATAATAAATTAGAGGAATTGATCATTTATAGCTGCTTTATTATAATTAATTAATATAAAATTAAATCATTTCAAACAAGATTGAAATTTACTTGGATCCTAATCATAAATCAATTTTAATAATAAATCCTTTGATAGCTTTAATATTAATTTGAATGAGATTTATAAATTGTTGATGGTTATATATAGATAATTGTTGGTAATGAGAATTTTTTTTATTATATAAAATAAAATAAAAAAAAATTTATAAATATATTCAGAAATAAATTAAAAGATCATACAAATATGATTATTATATTATTAATGTTAAGAAAATTTTAATTATTCTTATGTTTATTTTATAAGTAATCCTAACTTAATAAATTAGAAAAAAATTATAGAGTAAAATAAATTAAATATATAAAATTCATGAGATTTAGTTCACTCTGATAGACTTAATTATAATAGGTGATATTTAAATCATTCATTCCCCACAAAATTCTGCTAAATCCTTTGATTATTTAACTATATAATCTCCTTTTTTTCTGTTTGATTAGATTAAAGGAAACATAGCAAATCCTTCTTTCTTTTGAGTAATTTATGAATTCTCATTAAGCAAATCTAATTGGTTTGTTTCTAAATTAACTTGACAAAAGATTTAAGATTTGAAAATAACATTGTTTTAGTTTATCAAAATTTGTATTTCAATTAAGTTTTCAAAAGATTTAATGTTGTTTATAAAACCATCATACAGACCCAATATCGGTAAAGGTTCATCAAATGAATATGCAAGTGTATTTCCAGTAACAAATTAAAGATTTGAATCTAAAAACAAATATTTTAGTTCAACAATATTTTAAGAAACCTTATTTACACTTGCTTATTAAAATTATAATCGTTTATAAAAAAGATAATATGATTACTTGATCTTAAGAAATACAAATTTTTATTGTGTATTAACGTTTAATGCTTTACTATGTTTATTTTATGTATGGCTTATCTTTTTTTTTTGATTAACTACTTAATACCAATTTTTATTTGTTAAAATTACTCCTTCAAAGCTTTCATTTTCTTTTATTTCAACATGAAAGCCAATCAATTAATAGGAACTTTTGAAATCAGATATTTTATATAATTGTTGAATTGGAATTTAGTGTAAAATGTCATCTGTTAATTCTTTTGCATCTTAAAAATTTATATTGTGGCTAAATATAATTTATAATAAATTACCATTCATATATAATTAAATTGCAATCAGTAAATGTAATTTATTTTCTTATTACATATATCTTAGAATATGCCCAATCCTAATATACAATTTCTTAATAATCTCTAAAATCGTCATTTTCTTATGTTTTAGGATCATAGAAAACAAATCTTTTAAATTCTACTTTTTTGGTCGAATCTACATAACATAAGATATATTAATGATCACATTCTTTATAATGGAAAATGAAAGTATTTTTTAAATTTTCTACTAACTAAATTTTTAAAAATTTTTACATCTTAAAATAATTCCTATTAAGGTTCTGATTAAATATCCTAAATTGTTTTTAAAAAAGGATGAAAATTGACTAAAAATTATTTGCAATCTATATGAATATCATTTTTCAAAGAAAAAAATGTGGTTGTAAGAATAAAGAATTTTCTAAGATGTATTTTATTTTCACTTAAAGGGGGTTATTTTAATATTGTCTTATCCTCTATCAGTACTCTAAAATGTAACATATTTTCAATTTATTAATTAATTTGACACAATCTTATATTTCTTTAATTAGATAAAAATTATTAGTGGAATTTTAAAAACAAATGTTAAGATTGAGTGTCTTTAAAATTAATTTTTATAGTTTGAATTAAATGTTACCTTGATTTCCAAAAACATATTTTTGTTATAGAGGGATTTATATTATTAGTGTTCAAATTNTTTCCAGTAACAAATTAAAGATTTGAATCTAAAAACAAATATTTTAGTTCAACAATATTTTAAGAAACCTTATTTACACTTGCTTATTAAAATTATAATCGTTTATAAAAAAGATAATATGATTACTTGATCTTAAGAAATACAAATTTTTATTGTGTATTAACGTTTAATGCTTTACTATGTTTATTTTATGTATGGCTTATCTTTTTTTTTTGATTAACTACTTAATACCAATTTTTATTTGTTAAAATTACTCCTTCAAAGCTTTCATTTTCTTTTATTTCAACATGAAAGCCAATCAATTAATAGGAACTTTTGAAATCAGATATTTTATATAATTGTTGAATTGGAATTTAGTGTAAAATGTCATCTGTTAATTCTTTTGCATCTTAAAAATTTATATTGTGGCTAAATATAATTTATAATAAATTACCATTCATATATAATTAAATTGCAATCAGTAAATGTAATTTATTTTCTTATTACATATATCTTAGAATATGCCCAATCCTAATATACAATTTCTTAATAATCTCTAAAATCGTCATTTTCTTATGTTTTAGGATCATAGAAAACAAATCTTTTAAATTCTACTTTTTTGGTCGAATCTACATAACATAAGATATATTAATGATCACATTCTTTATAATGGAAAATGAAAGTATTTTTTAAATTTTCTACTAACTAAATTTTTAAAAATTTTTACATCTTAAAATAATTCCTATTAAGGTTCTGATTAAATATCCTAAATTGTTTTTAAAAAAGGATGAAAATTGACTAAAAATTATTTGCAATCTATATGAATATCATTTTTCAAAGAAAAAAATGTGGTTGTAAGAATAAAGAATTTTCTAAGATGTATTTTATTTTCACTTAAAGGGGGTTATTTTAATATTGTCTTATCCTCTATCAGTACTCTAAAATGTAACATATTTTCAATTTATTAATTAATTTGACACAATCTTATATTTCTTTAATTAGATAAAAATTATTAGTGGAATTTTAAAAACAAATGTTAAGATTGAGTGTCTTTAAAATTAATTTTTATAGTTTGAATTAAATGTTACCTTGATTTCCAAAAACATATTTTTGTTATAGAGGGATTTATATTATTAGTGTTCAAATTTCCATTTTTTTCAAAATATAGAACAAATGCATCATTCATTCTAATTAACAATGCGTTTGGGCATTCTTTGTAAAATTTATCAATTTTTGATTTCTCCACTATTTTAGTATAATAAACTTTTAATTTAAATGCAATAACTACTTCCTATATAATGCATCCATAATTGCAATTATCATCAAAAAATGTCCCTCCTATACAAACATAAGTATTCTTATCCTAATTACTAAAACCATCGATTCTATTTTTTGTGACCGAAAATTATTTTCTTCTACTAATTAATTTAATTATTTATTTGTAATCATAATAAGAACCATCATCTATTCTTTTATTATAATTTTAAAATTAAACAATTTCCCATTCAGGCTAATAATTTTATATTTCCAGAAATTAAATTTCACTTCTGAATTCTTCATTTTCAGTGAAACCAAAAAAATATATTAAAGCATTTTATTCAGCATCGAAAAAATATACACCATTAAAATATTTAGGTAATGAAAATTGCTTCCTTTTAACTATTTAGAGTTTTTAATTATTTTATTGTCTAGAATTTTTAATTTATTCTATTTTTTTTTCACAGAAATAAATTACTTAAATTCTATTGGTCTCAATCAATATTAAAAATCCATCATATTCTTCATTTTGATTTTAGCTGTATTCTACAAAATATTAATTTTAATCCATGTCAAAATCTTATTCTAAATCTAAAAATGCTAAACTTCCATCCTTATCAATCAGCGGAAATTCTCTATGTAGATTTTATCTAGATTATTTTTCAATAACTCTTGGTTTTTGAATTTAAAGCGCCGTTAATTATCTTTAATAAAATTCTTTTTTTTATTTCATGTTTTTTTCAACAAAATAAGGGTATAATTTTTCATAATATTCTATTATTCTATCTTAATTTAATTTTTTTTTTGGCAAATTTTTTAGACATCCCAAAAAACAATAATTTGTGCATTCAATATACTTTTAAATTGCCTTACTTTAATTAGATATAATATCTGGATCAATTTTTGGTATTATTATTAATTTTCCTTAAGTAATTTTATGAAATGATTTAACTAAATCATAAAACACATATGGATCTATAATTAAATTGCTGGAAATTTCAAAAAAAAAAATTATTATACGCGGCTAAAATTCTTTTAATTTTTCCTTTACAAAATACTTTAAAGCTACTTTTATTGATTCTAATGAATTCTCAATAGGAATATTGTAACTAATATCACTTGTATTGTGACTTTATTATGTTTCTATTTTTTTTTCATTAAGGTAAAAGGTTAAAAATTATAGATTGTCTTTCTTCAAAGGTTCAAAATCCAATCTATTTTTTTGAATAGAGATTAAACTTATTTTATAAGCATCACTCTTTACTTTATATCTATATGTACTACCCTAGGTTTATTAGCAATAAGTCTCCATTTCTCTTTAATTTGCTTTCTGCAAAAATTAAATAGATTACTGAATTGAGAAATCGATCCCTTAATTCAAAAAAAAAAAAAAAAAAGTTTCTTCTCCATCCAGAATCTAGTGTATTTAATATATGATACCTAATCTAATTAATTTTATAGACTAATAGCAATTTTTATAAAACTATCATCTGAATAATTTTCTGGAGATTGCTCTAATTCAATTGCAATTTTCGGATAATTCTCAATTAATGGTTCATAATATTTATCTTAATCTAGTATTTCTTGGCTTTTATTGGTTATTTTGAGTTTAAACCTGAATTATTCATTTTGATCTTTCATTGAATTATAATCTCTTATGAAATTGATTAATTTTTTATATGCGATAGCTTCAATACTTGAGTCTCCTTGGCTTATCTCATTAAATTATTTATATAAGGTAATTTCGAGTAATTAGCTTAACTCATTCTTCAATTAATATTTACACTTTGGGATGCTTTAACATTTTGTTTGTTTTGGATCTGTAGAAAGTTGGCAATTACAATTTAGTAAAACTTTCTATAATAATTTCAAATTAAACATTTATACATTTGGAATCTAATCGATTGTTATTCTATTTTAGTTTTATTCTTTTTTTTTATTGTTTAACTTATGCTCTGAACAAAAAGAGGATTCAATTTCTTGTTAACACATAGAAGAAATTAATTAAAAAAAATAATGAAATCTTTGAGACAAGGAATATATATTTGGTGGTTATAAATCTCTCTATTACAGAAAGTCTATCTGGGATAATAAGGTTCAACAAAAAAAGAATACTATATAAAGATACTATGATATCATATTTATTTCATTTTTACGATTTTTATTAGGACACATCACAAAAAAGAAAGGAAAGAAGTATCATTATTTCTTATATTATATAAATGAAATAAAAGCTATTCTTCTTACTTATTTTTAATATAGAATAATAAAGATTAATTGTTCAAGAACTAAGTATAAATTTTGTAGATTGATCTTTAATTAAAAGCTATTATGATAAGAAAATAGATTGTAACAGGATTTAAATTCAAATATTTTTTAAGACTTGGAATAGATATTTAAATAATATCGAAGATATTGATGTTATATTCTAATTGTAACTAAATTTTAATTCTTTCTATCAGTCGATTTCAAGATAAATTAATAGGATTTATTATATTAAAATTAAAATGATGAAAATTATCAAATTAAATAAATAATTATGTTTATCAAATCTAAAATTACTAAAAATCTTCAATAAAATTAATATTCAAATATTTATATATGATTTTTGAATTGATAGTCAGAATCTATTTCAATATTTAAATATTTAAAATATGTTATAGATATAAAATAAAACATGATTTGAATATAAGATCAAAATTTAAAATTGTAGAGGTGGAAAATTATCATACCTAAGGAGTTACTTTTATTTTAATTAATTCTTTTTCCTTAAACAAAAATTATGAATTTTCTCAATTAAACATATATTTAAGGAAAATAAAATAAATATTATATTAGCCTTAGGGTATTTTAATTTCGAGATTAGTATGAAATAACAATACTTTTTTTTTCTTAAAACTCTTAAAAACTTTAAATTAATAAACTAGATAGTAAAAACTCTAAAAAGTTTTTGATTTAACCTTAATAAGAGAATATTTTTTAAATAAGTAGAAAATAACAATTAGATAAAAATAATTTATTAATATATTGTATATTTATGCATTTATATCATTAGGGGGAGATTACTTCTTCTACTTATTTAGTTTTTGTTTTTTCTAGCTTTTCTTTTTCTAAGATATTGGATAAAATTACTTAATTTATTTTAGGCTTACTGCTATTCGAATTCTTCCTTTGAAATAAATGGGATTTTTTTCTATTTTAATCTGCTTTGAACAATTATATCTTATAATTCCTTTTCAGCATTAACTTAATTAAATAAGATATTTTACTTCTTTTAAATTTAGAATGAGAAATATCAAAATGAATCAAACTAGTATTTTTGGTTAAACCAGTTTTAAGTTTTTCATAAATATTTTTATCTTTATTATCATTATTTTCACTAAAATTATTATTGCTAATATTTAAGGATTAAAGAGTGCATGATGAATCTGATAAATATACTTCTAACATTTCAGCAGTTAAACTGCCTAATTAATTAGCAGATAAATTTAAATGCTGGATACTCTTGTTTTAACTAAGTTTGCTAAAGAAATTGGCTCCAGCAATATCATTAAAAGAATTTAATGATAAATTTAAATGTTCAAGAGATTTATTGAACAGAAGAGCATATGCTAAATTTTTAGATCCAACTAATCCTATAGCATTATTAGATAGATCTAATTTGAGGAGGATTTCTGATCTCATTAAATATTTTGCAATTCTTATAACCCTTAGAGATAATTTATAACAAAAAATACCCTTAATCTCCAATTTTATTATGAGAGAGGTTTAATTCAATTATTGAAATGTCAAGATTAATTCCTGTCATTAACAATCTCAAAAGATCATCATCAATTAAATTAGATGGTAAAGATAAGGATTACTTATATAAATAATAAAATAGATACAAGATTTCTACAATGTTTAGAAATTGCTTCTCCTAATTCAGCTGCTTGACTTAATTTCATTCCTAAGATTTCTTTTCTTGTTTAATCAATTCCAGTTGTCTAAATTGTAGATATTTATATAAATTTACTTTAACTCCATATATAACTGTCAAATTCTATAAACATGGTAAATATTAACATAAAAATCCTATGTCAATATTGCATTAAGTTTAAGAGATATTGAGTGAATACACCCAATTATTCACTGCTTTTAATATTGCTTATAATTCATCTTTTTCTTATTAGGTTTCTAAACTCTATTTTTCAATTCAATTTTTACTTTTATAGTTTTTATATATTCCTCTAAGAAATTTTCCATGTAAGCTATCTTATAACTGTAACTATGTTTGCATATATTTATTGTTCTATGAGTACCTTTCCATTTTGTTTCACATGCTTATTTCCAATAATTTTCATCTTCTATACTATTGTAAGTTATTGTTACAGGTAAAGTTTTAGGTGCTTTAGATATAATCTAATAATTATTCAAATTGAATACTTAATATTTTATTTTTTCTGGGATCCCAGGCAATTATGAATAGAGATCAAAATTTAGGGCCACTTACTCTATAGCTAAATCTAAAAGAGTGGGAAATTCAATCTTTCCTGTCTATTAAGGTTTATTTTATGCCTTTGCTAAGAATATTTATTTGGCTAACATTATATATATAATATATATTATAATCAGCAATAATATGAAAATTATTAACTATCATATTTCATTCCTTCAGATAATTTTATTAGTAGTTCTTTTAATTTACTTTTGAATACAGGTTTAAGAATAGAACAAAAGATGCCTGATTATTCACATCTTTCTATATAATTCTAATCTGATGCATCACCTGAACAAGCAATTAAAATTATACGGGGATCAATTTAAATTAATTTCTTTGCTAATTCAAATCCGTCCATTACTGGCATATTAATATCTAAGAAAATTAATTGATAAGATAACCCTTCTTTTTATCTATCAACAAATTTTTATAAACAAGTCATTCCATTCATTGCTGAATCAGAACTTATATTCATCTATTCCAATAAATATTATAAAACCATAATATTCACTTCATCATCATCTACAATTAAAATTGGAGGTTTTTAATATGTATTCTCATACCAAATCTAAATTAGAGCTTCTATTTTTTTTGCTTATAATGACTACTTTCTACCCAAACACTTTTCATCACTTTTTACCTTTATTTTTGTTTAATTATTTACAGAATTAGTCATTATATTTATCGTTTTTTAAGATCTTCTTAATATAATCTTTTTACTACTCTCTACTTAAGGTAAAGCTATTGACATAGCAGGAGATTTTTAAGAATTAATTCCTGGGAAAAAATGAACATCAAAAGTAGGTAATCCATTTTAATGATTTATTAACAATTATGATTCAGAAATATCTTCAGCTGATGGTTATTTGTTTTCTATTTCAAAATAAAATTTTGAACCTATTCCCAATTCAGATTGAACTTGAATACCATTATTTGATAATAATTTAGCTAATTCATTACTTATCATCAATCCTAATCCTATTCCGAAAGGATTCAAACTCTAATTTTCATCATCCTCTATTTTAGAATACTCCTAAAATAGATATTACAAATTTTCTGGTTTTATCCCATAACCAGTATCTTAAATACAAATTTTAATAAAATTTTTTCTTTAAGCACTTTCTGAACAATCAATATAAACTTTGCCATTTGGTTTTGTATATTTTATTGCATTACTTAACAAATTCATTATTATTTATCTTATTCGAAATTTATCAGAGCTAACCCAAGCTGGTAATTTAGAATCATAATTAAATGTGATCATTATATCTTTCTTATCTTTTAATGAATCAAATATTGAAATTGTTTTTTTTATTAGTTTTTCAAGGTTAAACTTACGATAAACTAACTTTAACTTTTTGTTTTCAACTTAGGCTGAATCTAATATATCATTTATTAAATTTAATAATAAATGACACGAATTTAAAGAAGGTTTTAGATATTTTATAACTAAATTTTCATCTATGCAATCTTTTAAACACATCTACATATTAATTATTGCATTTAAAGGATTTCTCATATCATGAGATACTTTTCGAACAGTCTTTATCATAAAATTAATTTAATTGGTTGACTATGTTGAACTAAATTTTTTTCTTTTTGATATCATAATAATAGAGTTATAATGATCTAAAATAATGTTCTCAATTTAGATATTATAATTTTATTAATTGTTTAACTAATAACAAAGCTTTTTTGATAAAGAAACTTTACTTTTTTTTAGATGAAAAAGTATTTCTTTAAGTGATAATGTTTGTTTTGCATCTTCTTCATAATTGGAAGCAATATCTCTGATTAAATTGGTAGTATTATCTCTTGGAGTAATTATTCTTGTCTAGTTATAGAAATCTTATACACCTAATAATTATTCTTCTTTTAATTAATTAAAGATCTATTATCTGAAAATTGGATTGAAATTATGATCTAACAAACAAAATTCATCATGTTATATATGTTTAAGAATGTTTTCAAGCTAAATTATTTTATTATGACTTTCAAATCTAAAAATTTAACTTATCAAAATATAATTAAATAAAGTTCTTATCACTCCAACAATAATGAAATCTTTTTTGCTAAATGCTACACAAAATATTTAAGTAATAAAAAATATAGATGAAACTAATTTAACATGTTAGACATCCTACTTGAGTATGCAAATTAACTAAATGCCCGCAAATATCAACCAATTTTACTCCAGTAAATAGTGAACGATTATCTGAGCTACTCCTTTAAATGCATTAAAAAGTATATTTATTAATTTATTTTTGCCCTATAAAAAATGTTCTGAAATTAAAACGATTGCATGAAAGCAAGTTAATGATAAGGCTAGAATCAAATAATAATAGTTTGAAATCAAATAGGATTGTATGTGAATAAGTAGGCTATCAGCAACAAGCATTATCTAAAGTATTTTAGCACTTCCTATTGTTTTAATACATGAATTCATTTAATTATTATATAAAAAACACATTTAATTGAAATATTGTATCAAAAGAGAATATGACATTTCTTAATGAAAAGTTATGAAGAAGATAACGAATTGAAATGTATATTCTGGAAATTGTTATGATTCCCTCAAATGGTTTTTTGAGATTTAAGTCAATTATTTATGAATAATTGAATTTTAGTTTTTAATAGTGATTATATATATATAATATGTAATATATACATTTAAAATTTTATGGAATCAAAATTAATAGTGTATTGCTTTAAAAATAAGTAATTAGTTACTTATTAAATATAAAACTAATATTGTTATTGTTAAAACAGAATTAAGGATGCATTTTCAATGAAGATAAATAATATATTTTTTTTAATTTTATGAAGAGGAACAACTCAACTAGTTTCTTCAGCCCATTTATTTTCTTCTCTGATTTGTTATTCTTCTTCTTATGTTAAATCATTTTAAATGTTGAATGTTTTTCTGATTTCTTCAGGAGTTTTGCCTGAAAACTTAAATCATTTAATACCTTTAATATAAGTAGCTACTTTAGCACAAGATAAATCTAATAATGACTTGATGTCTAAATAATTGGCAGCCAAAATAATATCAAATAATTCCTCTAAATTAGGTATATCAATAAAATCAGCATCTTTTTGTTCCACACAATCAGCCCTAAAAAAATTAACAAAATTGTTACAAGTTGTTACTTCTTAAAGGTTTTTCAATTTCAGGAGGATTATCATTTCTATGTAAATCACAGTATTAAATCACTTTCTTTAAGATACTGCTTTTAACATTAGGTAATGGAATTTCTTCTTCACTACCTGTATCATCAATAATTGTGTTGATTAAATGAGATTTACATGCTACTTCTTTATCAACCTATGTAAAAACAATTAATTACTTCTATAATCACTCCATCTTGAGTGCTCAATTTTACTTTATTTTCCATTTTTTTTAAAGAATTATTTAAAATAATCCAATTATTAAATGTCTTTAATTAAGGATTTTTTAAAGTATTTATCAGATCAATCTCCAACATTATAAAAAAATAAAATGTTCATAAAAACTATTGATATAGGTCTAACAAATCTAATTCCTAAAATTATAAATTAAAATAACATCCTTATAAGTGCCTGTATAAATAAGGATCCTTAATGAATATAATAGAAATCCTTATCTTAATTTTAATGATTAAATTTGTTTTTAACGAACTCTTGAATTTTTACATTAAGCCAAACTTTCTAATTTATGGTGTCAGATTTCCAATCAAGGATCTTTCAAAAGATTTTAAGTCTCTTAAAAATATGACAATCAATGTAAAATAAATAGATTTTATAAATTTTGGAATTATCTAATTTTACCTTTATATGATTGGATTTCTCGATTTTTTTAAGATATAAAAAGATACAGAAACTACTATTAAAAAGAAGTGTTCATCTCAGGATTTCATTTTAATAAAAACTTTTAATTTAATCAAAGTTTATAAATTTAAAAAAAATAAAAAAAGAACTTAATCATTTTTATGATAGATTTCTCCTTTCAATATAATAGAATAGTACGCTATCTCATCTTCTTATTCTTTCTTAAAAAATCTTTCATAATGAATAAATTCTCATCTTGAAGATCTTGTTTGCCATATTATTGCTATTTTATAAATATATGTTAATTTAATTTATATATATTAATAAGATTGCTTTAAACTTTAAACAAAAACTATTATTTATAAAAATATAAATATTATGATTGAAAATCAAAATGATTATATGGGTAATTTCCACAAAAAGTGGGCAGAATTATAAATTTAAAGAAATAATAAAAAAAAGCCAACATATATGAAAATTATATTACTTTAATTATCTGATTGATTTTTCTTTCTTAATTCTCTATTTATAAAACATAAATTTTTAATTGGTTATAGTTTGTCAGATAATAATATTAATTTTCACTTTGTCAGCTTTATTGAAAATTAGATTTTCAGATCAACATTAAGAATCATATTGTATTTATTTTTTTATTGTCTTACAAAAAAAGGGTCTACTTGACTTCTGAACAATCATTTACTCTAACTAAAATACTTTTAAATTTAAATTTAGAATTTTATTTTATGAAATTAAGTTATATTTAGAAAAGATTTTTGTATAAAGTTAATAAAGTTATTTAAGAACTTATTAATGGCATTTTTAAGTTTAGTGTGCACTTTTTGGTGTCAGCAAGAGAATTTTTTCTTTATAAAGATATTAAATTATTGATTAGTTATCAGTCATAATTAAATATAATATTCATTTAATTTAATCATGGTGTTTAGGAATTAGTTTTAAATTATTAGCGCGAATAGTTTATAATTTAATTTCTTCTAATCTTAGATAATCTCTGACTTTTCTTTAAAATGTTAATCCTTTATTATTGTTTATTTTTTATTATAAAGAATTGGCTCCTGAATATAATTAATCTAATAATGCTTCTGTGATTGAAGCATTTGAAATGTTATCCTAAAAATCATCAATTTAATCACAATTAGAATTAGTTGGATAGGATAGAAATCTGTTGTGTTTTATAACACCTTCAGAATTCTTCTTTTTAGTAGTCTTTTATAATAGCTATTTTAATTGGCTCTTAGAATCTTAATCTATTAATTCAATATCATTAACTTATTCTATTAATTTATTTTAATATTCTTTAAATCTTTGTGTTTATTAAAAAGGATTTTAAACTCTTTGCATTGGTTTTTGTTTATTTAAACCTAATTATTATGATGTATTTGATTTTATTTCATTTGAAGTTTTTAATTTATTATGTTTCCAATTAATTATCTTTCTATAATTTTACTCTTTAACCCATTATAAATAGATCTCTTTCTTTTTTAAATATATATTAAGTATTCTATCATATATTTAATCATTATTTTTCATTAGGTTTTAAAGATGTTCTGAAATTGTCCAGAATTGTGTAAATAAAAAATTGTCTGAATTCTCTTTAAATTATAAATTTAACAGAAAATGATAATATCTAGGGCTAAAATTTTAATGGTTAGAATAAGAAATCTTTTTTTCTTTTAATACTGTCATTGTACGCAATTAATGAAATCGTAAATTTTGTATGTAAAACTCAGATGATTTATGAAAAGCCATTTCTAAGTTATCCAAAAATTTAGTTTATTTTTTTTTTTCATCTATAATCAATCTTCTTAATTGTATATTATTTTGTATCACCTATCTTATATATATTTACTAACATCTTTAATTTTTTTCCATTTTAATAAAGCGTTCTCTTGTTTTGACAACTTTCTTTTGTCTTTCTTTACTTGTAAAGATAATTCATAAAGTCTTTCTCTCTTATTTTCAGCCTAATTCTTATGCTTTGTATTCTTCAGTTTGGCTAATTTATCTTCCAATAAGTTTATTTGTAAATGTTCTTTATTAGTAATCGAATCTTTAAAAGAACAAATAGATTCCTTGTGAGATTTTACATACTCATATTTATCATTCATATTTTCTATTGCAGTTGGAAAATTACTATGATCTATTAATTATTTTGTATCAAGATTTCCTGCTAAAAATTTACGAAATGAGGCTTTAAATCTTTAACCTCTTGGAGCAGAGAAAGATTATATAGGAAATGCAATTAACAAATCATCTACTTCTTTTTAAATCTGTATCTATTGGAAGTTACAATTCTTTATTAGATTTCTATATTTATTTGACCTTGCATTGTTAGATTATGAATGCTTAGGACTACTGCTTGGTGATTTATTCATAACTACAATAAAAATTTTGATATATTATTTATAACAAAGTGATATTCTAAATACAGTTTCAATTACATATTTTGAAGCTCATAACAATTTATTCATTTCTAAACATAATTATTTGAATGAAACTTCTTCTTCTTGATCTTCCTTCTCAAAATAAAATTACTTATAATCTTATCCCAATTTCTTTTAACTTTAATTCGCATTTCCTTTTTTTAAACACTCCTGACTATTATTAAAAAAATTATTGGAAGTTTTTTGCTACTTAGTTTTAGTTTAATATTAATTATGACTGCTAATTCGAAAGTTGTTCTATTAATATATAAAATAATAAAAAACTTAGGGAGTTATTGGTTTTATAAGTGGCTAACTTTTTTATCTTGAAAATTATCGAGATTATATTGGCGGCTTGTCCATTATACTATAAAAAATATTGGATTTATCTAATAAACTTTCAAATAAAATTAATATTATAAATACTTTAATAATTCCAAACAAAAAGAAAATTTACAAATAACAATAAATAAATATAATATAAATAAAATATTTTTTTTATTATTGTTTCAAAATTTGTTTATCATCAAAATTTGTACTAATTATTACTTTAACAATCTATATTAATTATTTAACATAAGAAAAATGTTCAAATTTAGAAATTTAATAATTCTAATTTTATCAATTTATTTCAGTAATAATTATGAATTCCTTTTCTAGCTTTATAAATAAAGATTTATATAATTCTATAAATAACAGTTAGTTACAATTTTAAAGTAGAACTTAGATTTTTTTAACGAAATAAAAAAACATCTGATGTTCACTTAAAATTTAAGATAATTTCTGATAGTTTAGTTAAAATATTAATTACAAATTTAGATGCTATAGAAGCTTTTTTATTTTTAATGTATTATTAATATCATTAAATATAAAACACTTCTTGCATTTTCTATAAAATATTTGGGCTCATTGTTAATGCTTCCAAAATATCATGAAGCTTTAATGAAATAATAATGCCGTTTATTGGTTTCTAATTGTTATAACCCTAATTGTTTTGAAGATCTATCCTTCTAGAATCAAAAGAAATCGAGAATTCTAGAATAAAATTGATTTATAAAGATTGCCAAGATGTAATATGCATAATTTAATCAAGTACTTGTTTTTCTTTTGGATTCTCTTCTCTAAACTATGGGATTCTTTGTAATGGCATAAGGAACTTGAGAAGTATGACCTAAATTTTATTCCTCTAATTGAATTGGTAATTTGATTTAAGTTTAGCGTGAATTGTTTTATGGATTATTTGATTACATGAAATTTTTAATAAAAATAATAATTAATTCATAAAAATAATTATCATTGTCTATTATAGAAGAGAGCACATATTATTTAGACTAAAAAAAATAAATTCAAAAATTCTGTATCCTATATTTTAAATATAATTTAAGTAAAATTATTAAATAAAATTATTTCTTTTTTCTTATAAACTTTTTTTATGGCTTCTAATTAAGATTTATATGACGTGTTGTAATTATATAATATAATTTAATGAAATTTTTAAGAATATCTACATATTTGATTCAGAATAAAATATTTATAAATAGTTATAATGATAAAATTATGAATCAATATCAACATTTAAATTTTAAGAAATCGGATGACTATTTATATAATGCTTATTAAACTAAGCATTTATCTCTCTTTTCATATGGACTTGAACTTATTTTAGAGGTTATACTACACTTTCTTTCACTAGGTTAATTCCAAAATGATTAGGTATCTCTTTTAATTGGCATGACTAAATTTAGTTTCATGTTTGTATTATTTATTTTGCTACTAAATGGTTATTTTTTTTCAATAGATGCTTATCTAGAAAATAGCTTGTTTAATTAAGCAAGCGGAGATCTTGATGTTTGAGATTGATATTGTTATTCCTATCCATTAAATATTTCTTAACATATTTTGGTTGTTTTTATATTTTGTAATAATTTTACTAAACGATTTTTAATGTCTTTATTAAATTTCTAGTATAATTATAGATTTGGATTCATTTAATACAAAAATGTATATGATTGTTAAGAAGATTGCAATTATAGTTTTTGTTTCTTTTATTAGATTAAGGAAAGTTGATATTCTTGTTGCTTATAGAACAATTTATTTTAATCAAAAACTTTTTGCATTAAAAAGTTTATTTCTTATATAAACTAGCTTTGAATATGTTCTAGTTCAGCCTAAAAATTCTTTTGTTCTAATCTTAATTCATTTAGAAGATAATTTAGGTCTTAATCTTCTTATAATTCATGTTATTTTTTCTAACTGTTTTTATCTTTTTTCTATTCAAGCATTAAATTAAAGTTGAACTTTTAAGGTTTTTTGTTTTATTCATTTGCTTATTCTAAATCAAATTCAGATTCCTCAAGAAGTTCAGAATTTAGAAACTTTTTTATAATAGATATGCTCGATACATCAAGCTAATTGTCATCGTAACTCATAACGACAATAAAATAATAAAATTATCATTAAAATTATTAGAGCCAAAAATAACTATATATAAAGAAAATATGAATAATAAAATCATTTTGTTTGATTGTATTTGTGATCATTGATTAAATTGATAATTTAATGAATGAGAAAAACCTAATAGATTGAAACTTAAAAATAAATAAATTAAAATTAATGGGATGCAATATTCCAAAGATAAGAGAAGTTTAATAAAATAAAGGTGATCCTTCATTTGAATAATAATTATAAGAGATTGATAAAAACGAATTCTTTAAGAATAGAAAGGGTTTTAAAATAATGTTAAAACCAATTCTGTACTCTTTTAATTTAGAAAAAGGAGAAACAGATTCTTAAGACTATAATTATTGAAGAAGTTTGTTAATGCTTTTTGAGAATATATATTCTTATTTAAATAATAAATAGAAAAATCTATATTTAAATTGTTCATGATTCATTCATATCTTGTATTTTCTTAATGTGAAAGGATTATTAGTTTAATTAGGTTTTAATTTATTCTGAATATAAGAGAGAATCCTGATGAACTATAAAAAAATATTAAAATGTTTAAAATTTATCAAATAATTTTTTTGGAGAACTTAAATTGATATGATATCTAAAAATAGAAAGAGAGAAGATTAAAATTGAATATATTTATGATGAGGAAATATGTGTTCTCAAATAATAAGATTGTCTAAGAATGATAGAATAATAATGATATAAAAAACGATTTTGTAAATATTTAAGAATAAAATATTAATAAAAGTATGTTTTTTAATGAAGTTGTAGATGAATGTATTAAAGATATAATAAATGGAGTAAAGTGTTTTATGAATAAGTTGAAATGAAAAGTTGAAAGAGTAAAAGAGTGTATTTTAAGATAGATGATGATAGTTTAATAGATAATGATGAAATTTCATAATCGTTAATTTGATAAAATATAAAGTAAGTAATTATAATTTTGAATGAGAAAAAAGGTTGAAAAAATAAAAAAAAGTATTTGATTTAATAAATGTAGAACCATGGAGTGATTATGAAGATGCATAGGTAATGCAATTAGTGGAATAATATGGGCCACATAAATGGACATTTATAGCATCTAAATTATAAGGTAGAATAGGAAAGTAATGTAGAGAACGGTATGTTAATATTGATCAATTTAGATGGCATAATCATTTGAATCCTTTGATAAAAAAGTCTCCTTGGGAATATGAGGAAGAATGGATATTATTTTTATATCATGAAGCTATTAGTAATGAATGGGCAGAAATAGCAAAACATTTAGAAGGAAGAACTGATAATGCAATAAAGAATCATTGGAATTCTGGAATGAAGAAGAGAATGAGTGAATTTAATGAAAAGTTATAGAAAATTAGATAACAATTTTAATAAAAAGGGTTTTTAATTTGAATTAAAGAAGGTAGGCATACTATTTTAGATTAATTTGTGAACCCTTATGAAAGGAAAGCAATTGAAATAATATTTTTAAATAGAAAGTATGCAAGTTTGATAACAGATACAGAGGATGAAGATGATGAGATAGATGAGCCAGTTATAATACAAAATCAAAATACTACATTGAGAACAAGAAGCAATTTAAATAATCATGTATAATAAACGTATATGAAGTATGAAATCAGAAGCAAATACATCAGCAAACATCCAAGAAGAAATAGAATGCATAGAAAATATTTGATATATAAAAAAAATTAATTGAAGGAAATAGAAAAGGAAAAAGAGAACAAAAATGTTAATAATATTATCCCAGTTTAAATAGAATCAAGGCAAATGTTTTCAATGTAATAATTAGATTAAACACCATCAAAAGTATATAAGTAAATAAAAATGAATTTTTATTTAGTGATGATTATTATTAAACACCAGCAGCATTCAATCGAATACAAAGACTAGCGATTAGTAGTTCAAAATTTAGTTAGTTTAAATGTTCAATCTAAGTAATATTAAATATATCTAAAAAGAATGATACATTCCAAAATTAGTTGTAGGAAGATGTTAAACAAAATCTATTTTTATGATATAATTTATAAATTATTAAAATAACAAGAGATTAATCAGTTGTTTAGATATACAAATAAACTAAATTAATAACATCAATTTATATTATCAAATAATTATTATTAAATAAATTCATGAAACTTGGAACTTGTACTGAGTGGTTATTCTTTCATCTTTGGAAAAAGAACCCAAACTCTGGTCATAGTTGTAATGGAGTCTTCCTTGCAGATACTGTTATTTATAGATGGGCATAACCTTACTTTAGTAATATACATATTCATAATAAAAGGATATTTCACAGCGTAGAATGGATAAATAATTAGAAAAACTAAGGAAAGAGTTTTTATTGAATAAGTTGAATAGGCTTTTTTATAAGATAACACTGTTGCTGTTTTACTAACTAGTCAAGTATTTATATTTAACTACTTTAGGCATAATCTAAATAATAAGAAATAATCAATTTTGAATACTTTGATAAAGAGAACTTTGGTAAATTCTTATATTAAAGAGAAAAGGAATTAAATTCCATTCTTTAAAAGTAAACCATTTTACTCAAAATTTAGGTTCATCTATCCTAAAAGTGATCATAATTCTATGATTAAAGTAACTTGGTCTCCTCAATTCTGTCTAATCAACAGAAAAACTAATATCAACAATATGAATGATTATAAAAAACCATTATATGAACGAGTTAGTACTTTTGATGGACCTGAATACTTGTCTGTTTCAGATTCCATTAGTTCACCATTATTGAGTTCTGATCTAGAATAGTTATGTGTCAATATTGTTAAACATGTTTAAGAAGTCTCAGGTGGAAACATATAAATTATTAGAATGGTTTTATATTTCAAAGTTGATTAAGATAATAGAATCTGGTTGATGTTTTGTACTGGTATTAAAGTTAAAGATAAGTTTTCAACTCATCCTGAAAAAAATAGAACAGATTCACCATTATTTAAAATTATTAGAAGAGATCTTGAACCTGTCATTACAGGTACTGAAAATGTTCAAAAAGTCGTTAAATATAATAGTGAAGGATAAATTGAAGAGCTATTGTATTAAATAGAAAATGTCTGTTCTAATTGCGATTTATTTGCTTCAGAACTTTATCAATTATAATTTGAACAAATTATTGAAAGCTTCGAAAGAGTAACAATCAATTATATATTAATAGTCATTAGTAAGTAATGAATTCACTAGGCTACCAGAAGATTTGTAAAAAATTAAAATAAAAAATGATAAAAAAAGTGAATTACTTAAATTGAACTAAAATATTAAAACCAGATCAAAACAATTTATACATAAAGGTACTATGGTTCAAAACATTTAGATTATTAATTGTCCAATTATTTTGAATAATAATCAAATTAATAAATTTCTGGTACTTAAAGTCAATAAGAAATTTTGGTTGAGAAATATAAACTTGTAAATAATTAAAAAACTTATGATTAAGTTCATGCTGAAATTTAAGAACTTTGTCGATATTTAGATGAAGAATAAGAAGATTGTAAATTAAATTTTAAAACTGTCCCTGCTTTAATCTTGAAAGTATGGGGAAAATTATCAGAAGATAAATATAAATTATTAAAGTTTAATCCAAGCTGGAGATAATTAAAAACTTAAGTTTGTTTGGATTGCTATCTCAAATATACTGAATGCTGTAATCTTACTTAATTTGAAAGAAAAGTGTATAAATATTCAATCTAATTAAAATTAGTAAGACAGCTGCTCAAAATTTAAAAAAAAAAGTAGAAGATTAATAAGCCAATAATATTCTCTTGCAAAATACCTTACTTGAGATTAATAAAAGCAATTTTACTTAAAATTTTCATTCATCGTTGCCTCCTGTAATTGAATAAAGAACCGTTACAAATGGTGGAAAAGTAAGTGTAGCTAAAACAGCAAATACCTAATAAAGATCAACAGCTTTAAACACTCCTCCTTAACCACATCAAAATACATTAGAAGCCATGCCTTAATTTTTTAACAAATTTATGAATTAAGAAGTTAAACCTAAAAAAGTTCCAACAACTCAAAAAGTATATAACTAATATTATTTTAGATTTACCAAAATCGATAAGGATTGTAAATGTCTTTAAATCATTCAAGTCAATCAAGATCATCTCGTTCTACCTAAGATTAATCAAAAATCTCTTTTGATTACATGATTACAACTGTTTCATAACTCAAAAAGAAATTATAAGAATTGGAAGACGAAGAATAATCGTAAAAAAACTAACAAACTTAAAAATAACAAATTTTATAGGATTAATCAGAGTAAGCCTCATTACTATAAAACAGTAAATTATTTCAAATGAGATCCCAACCAAATCAATGATGAATATTTTTAAAAAAATATAAATAAATGACTCTGTTTGATAATAAACTCTTTTGGTTGAATAAAATTTTTAACATAGAGTAATATATTCTGTAATTTTTTATCGTTAAATTATTTAAAATGGACTCACTTTTTGCTCTATTTGATTAATTCTTTAGAATAAATCTGACACAATATCCATAGAATTAATAAGCTTATTTGTCTGAAAGTTGGGAATAATTTTTATGCTTATTATAAACATAACCATTAGATTATGGAAAAATTTACACATTGATAAACAGGATAAATTATGAGGATTTGAAAGTAGAGAAGAATGAAAGATAGAGTTCAAGTTAAAGATAAATAGCTAGAAATATAACAGCTGCTTCATCTCCTAGAATTATCTCCTCATCAGTGTCAAAAAATAGTAACTAAATTAATCATATATTTTAAAAGGCACTAATGTCTTATCCAAAATAGCTTAATTAGATAGTGTTACCAGTCCTAAAATAGCTGTTTCCAATCTAGCTAGTTAATAATCTTTAACAAATAAAACATCCTTATAATAAAATGTTAAATAATAAGTAAAGACTATACCTCAAATTAGTAAATGACAGATGAATTTAATAGACACTTATTGTTGAGCAAAATTAAAGAACTTTAATTTAATTTCTCTGTTTCAACAGATAAATTGTATGCAATTGCTAGAATTACTCATTCAAGAGGGGAAAATCAACCGACATCCAAATCTCCAATTAAGTACCCATTATCATAATATATAAATAAATCAAGGGGAAGTAATCATTCAGCAGAACATTATAAAATTGTTGTTTGATTAAATTTAATTCTTTTTAAATTCCTTCAATATTTTATAACAATTATATTTATTTTTGAATTCTACTATTGACTTTACATCATAAGTAATTATAGAATTTTATTCAATGTTATTTTTCTCTCTTGAAATTTTCATGTTAATTATTATAAATTCTAATTCTGCAATAATTACAATAATATGATAATTAAAATTTTACTATAAAAAGATTTATTAATGAAAGCAATGATTAAAATATTTTTACAAATCTAAAAAAACAAAAGATTAATCATTTATCAACAATTTGTCGGATTAATATGATAATATTCAGTAATATAAGCTATGCTATTTTTAGTAATTTTTTTCTTTATTTAGGATTTTAATAAACATTGAAAAATTTAGACTCATGGCATAATCATTTAAAGCTAGATTAAATTATTTATAACTTCAATAAGGTTTTTCAAATGAATTCAATAGTTATCAATAATAATAAATTAAAAATAAAAAATCACTTAAAAACTAAGACTTTTATTAGAATTAAGATGATCATAATATTGAAAAGAAGTAAAAGGTGTTGACGAATAATTAAAAAAAAATGTAACTTCCTATTGCTATGCTGAAGAAAAAATACAAAATTAATTGGACATCAAAAACTATTAGACTAAATTAATTATGATCAACAAGTTAAATGATTAAAAAATTTATTCTAATCTATACAATAATGAAAAGAAGGATTGCAAATATTGGAGAGCCTAATGAAGAAGAATATGAAAATTCTAAAAAATAATTCCAAAAATTAACTCATTTAGCTGAAAATTGGGTTGATAGAAATAAAATTGAAAATGAGAAATCGAGAAAGGAGTAAATAGAAATTAATTCTAAGTATAAAATTTTAAATGATGAAAAATGTTTGATTTTCATAAATTTAATTAATTACAAAAGGTCGAAGAACTTAAAAAATAATATGAAAAAATATAAAGAAATAAAATTTTCTCTAAATGATTTAAAAGACCCATCAAACTGTGTCAAAAATTCTTTCATTTAAGAAATTGAAATATGAAAAACAAATTGAAAATCTAAAAGGTGAAAAAAGGAAAAATGTTAGAAAAAAAATTGAAAAAGTAACAAATTCTTAAAACTATTATAAAGTTTAGACTTAATTTTAACATAAGATTACTTAATTATTTTTAAAAGATTAACGAATAAGAATAAATTTCAATGTTTAAGAATAATTTCAAACTTAAAAAAAATTCACAAAGGAAAGGCGAATGAAAGAATTCGTCAAAGAAAATTTCCTAAAATTATAATCACTATCTATAAAGATATCAAATATCAATTTTCAAATGGAATTAAAATATACTTTTATTCAAATACTAATTCTACTAAAGCTTAATTACCTCTGTAAACTTAGCATTAATAATAATAGATCATCTATTTTAGCAATAAATGCCTGGATGTTAAATTTGTTGATGGTACTAAATAGATATTATTTCAAGATAGAGCTAAAAAATATAGTACTTACAAAGGAGAAGAAGAGGTTCGTCATTCCGATGGTGCTAAATAAACAATAGATTATGATGGGATTAAGAAATAAGAATACTTAATGGTGATTTGAAAGTAATAAAATAAAAAAATGAATTTATTTCTGATAAAATATGTTAAAAATTTCTTTATTAAAATTGATTTCACGGTATTTAAAAAAATAATGAATTTAATTATCAAAGACAAGGAGCTTTAATTATATTATTCGAAAGAACAACTCAAAAATATGGTTGGCAAAACAGCAAATTAGATATCAAATGATTATTAAGACAAACATCCAATTTTTATAGGAGTCTTGAATGGTGCATTTATGTTTATGTCAGATTTGATCAGGGCTATTGATCCTTAACTTAAATTTTAAATTGACTTCATCAAATTATCTAGTTATGAAGGTAATTAGTTATTCAAAAATTTTAGGGAGCAAATCTACTGGAATAGTGAAAGCTTTAAGCGGGTTAAAAAATGACATCAAAGGCAGAAATGTTATAGTAGTTGAAGATATAATTGAGACAGGGTTAACAATAACAGCAGTTATAGAAGAGATGAAAAAATTAGAGCCTGCAACAATTAAACTATGTGCTTGCTTTCTGAAGACTGGTAAAATTATTATTATATTTTTAGGAAAATAAAAAATAAATATTAAACCTGATTATCTATGTACAGAAATAGAAGATAAATTTATTATTGGTTATGGATTAGATTGGGATGAATTTGGTAGGGGATTAGATCAATTATATTATATCTAGTGATTTTTATTAGTTTATGATATTCAATTAAATAAAGATTGCATATAAATAANAAAAGATTAACGAATAAGAATAAATTTCAATGTTTAAGAATAATTTCAAACTTAAAAAAAATTCACAAAGGAAAGGCGAATGAAAGAATTCGTCAAAGAAAATTTCCTAAAATTATAATCACTATCTATAAAGATATCAAATATCAATTTTCAAATGGAATTAAAATATACTTTTATTCAAATACTAATTCTACTAAAGCTTAATTACCTCTGTAAACTTAGCATTAATAATAATAGATCATCTATTTTAGCAATAAATGCCTGGATGTTAAATTTGTTGATGGTACTAAATAGATATTATTTCAAGATAGAGCTAAAAAATATAGTACTTACAAAGGAGAAGAAGAGGTTCGTCATTCCGATGGTGCTAAATAAACAATAGATTATGATGGGATTAAGAAATAAGAATACTTAATGGTGATTTGAAAGTAATAAAATAAAAAAATGAATTTATTTCTGATAAAATATGTTAAAAATTTCTTTATTAAAATTGATTTCACGGTATTTAAAAAAATAATGAATTTAATTATCAAAGACAAGGAGCTTTAATTATATTATTCGAAAGAACAACTCAAAAATATGGTTGGCAAAACAGCAAATTAGATATCAAATGATTATTAAGACAAACATCCAATTTTTATAGGAGTCTTGAATGGTGCATTTATGTTTATGTCAGATTTGATCAGGGCTATTGATCCTTAACTTAAATTTTAAATTGACTTCATCAAATTATCTAGTTATGAAGGTAATTAGTTATTCAAAAATTTTAGGGAGCAAATCTACTGGAATAGTGAAAGCTTTAAGCGGGTTAAAAAATGACATCAAAGGCAGAAATGTTATAGTAGTTGAAGATATAATTGAGACAGGGTTAACAATAACAGCAGTTATAGAAGAGATGAAAAAATTAGAGCCTGCAACAATTAAACTATGTGCTTGCTTTCTGAAGACTGGTAAAATTATTATTATATTTTTAGGAAAATAAAAAATAAATATTAAACCTGATTATCTATGTACAGAAATAGAAGATAAATTTATTATTGGTTATGGATTAGATTGGGATGAATTTGGTAGGGGATTAGATCAATTATATTATATCTAGTGATTTTTATTAGTTTATGATATTCAATTAAATAAAGATTGCATATAAATAANGGAAAAATGTTAGAAAAAAAATTGAAAAAGTAACAAATTCTTAAAACTATTATAAAGTTTAGACTTAATTTTAACATAAGATTACTTAATTATTTTTAAAAGATTAACGAATAAGAATAAATTTCAATGTTTAAGAATAATTTCAAACTTAAAAAAAATTCACAAAGGAAAGGCGAATGAAAGAATTCGTCAAAGAAAATTTCCTAAAATTATAATCACTATCTATAAAGATATCAAATATCAATTTTCAAATGGAATTAAAATATACTTTTATTCAAATACTAATTCTACTAAAGCTTAATTACCTCTGTAAACTTAGCATTAATAATAATAGATCATCTATTTTAGCAATAAATGCCTGGATGTTAAATTTGTTGATGGTACTAAATAGATATTATTTCAAGATAGAGCTAAAAAATATAGTACTTACAAAGGAGAAGAAGAGGTTCGTCATTCCGATGGTGCTAAATAAACAATAGATTATGATGGGATTAAGAAATAAGAATACTTAATGGTGATTTGAAAGTAATAAAATAAAAAAATGAATTTATTTCTGATAAAATATGTTAAAAATTTCTTTATTAAAATTGATTTCACGGTATTTAAAAAAATAATGAATTTAATTATCAAAGACAAGGAGCTTTAATTATATTATTCGAAAGAACAACTCAAAAATATGGTTGGCAAAACAGCAAATTAGATATCAAATGATTATTAAGACAAACATCCAATTTTTATAGGAGTCTTGAATGGTGCATTTATGTTTATGTCAGATTTGATCAGGGCTATTGATCCTTAACTTAAATTTTAAATTGACTTCATCAAATTATCTAGTTATGAAGGTAATTAGTTATTCAAAAATTTTAGGGAGCAAATCTACTGGAATAGTGAAAGCTTTAAGCGGGTTAAAAAATGACATCAAAGGCAGAAATGTTATAGTAGTTGAAGATATAATTGAGACAGGGTTAACAATAACAGCAGTTATAGAAGAGATGAAAAAATTAGAGCCTGCAACAATTAAACTATGTGCTTGCTTTCTGAAGACTGGTAAAATTATTATTATATTTTTAGGAAAATAAAAAATAAATATTAAACCTGATTATCTATGTACAGAAATAGAAGATAAATTTATTATTGGTTATGGATTAGATTGGGATGAATTTGGTAGGGGATTAGATCAATTATATTATATCTAGTGATTTTTATTAGTTTATGATATTCAATTAAATAAAGATTGCATATAAATAATCTCAATTTTAAGTTTTTAAAATTTGAGAAAAAATATAAAATTCAAATTTATAATAACCAAATATTTGTAAATATATATAATTAATTATTATTTATAATTTTTATGATAAACTGAATTTATCATTTTATAATCTATTTCTTTATTTTTAAATCAAATAAGAATCTTGAATGAGTTCGAATAGATTTAAAAAATTGTTAAATAGTGCTTTTCAAAAAAGGATGTAAAAATGAAAACTAAATCTTAATTATTATAAATCTCATACATTTAAAAAAGCTAATATTCTTTAAAATATATAAAGTAAATAATGAAATGCGATTATAAATATTTATTTATGTAAATATCTTCTATTACTAACCAAAATTAAAAATTTATTTATGAATTAAGATAAAGAATGGTGTATAGATAGTTGGAAAAAGTATTCAGCATTATAATTGCCAATATATTCAGATGCTCAACTATAGTAATGATGTTTTTGAAATTAGTTAAGATACCCTTTCAAAAATAAAAAATCTTCCAGGAATCCTAAATTTTGATGAGATTAGTACTTTTAAAAACTAAATGATTCGAGTAAGTAAAGGAGAGAAATTTGTTCTGTAATTAGGAGATTGTGCAGAATTATTTGATGAATGTACTGAAAAGCATTGGAAGGAGAAATTTAGTTTTTACGATGTAAAAAAAAAGAAATAATGTAGCGAATGGGTTAAATCTTAGATGCTATAGTTATTGGTAGGACTTGTGGATAATTTGCAAAACCACGATCTTAACTACATGAAAATGATGGCACATTAAATTATAGAGGAGATTTAATTAATTCATTAAGTAGAGATGAACGAGATCCTGATCCTTCACGCTTATTATTAGGAGCCCATTATGCCAAGAAGGGTATAGAAACTCTAAAGCAATATGAGGGTTAATAAATTTGGGTTTCACATGAATGTTTACATCTAGGATATGAATCAGCATTTGTGAAATAAAACTAAGATAAACAGTATTATTTATCTAACACTCATTTTCCATGGATTGGAGATAGGACTAGATTACATGATCATGCTCATTCAAATTTTATTAAAGGCATTTGCAATCCTGTTGGCATTAAGGTAAATCTTACATCTATATAGATTGGATAAACAATTAACAAGACAGAATTTATTAATGTGTTAAAGTTAATTAATCCAAAAAATGAAGATGGACGAGTTTTTGCTATAATTAGATTAGGGAAAAACAAACTTGACAAATTGAAAGATATTATTTAATGGAAATAAGAGGAAAAATTAAATGTTTCTTTCTTTTTAGATCCTATGCATGGAAATAATTAAGATAAAAGTGGACGTAAAATTAGAAAAATAGAAGATATTATGTATGAAATATAATAATTCTTTTCCATTCTTCAAGAATAAAATGAAACTCCTGCAGGATTACATTTAGAATGCACACCTTATGACGTTAGTGAATGTATAGAAAATGATGAAGATATAAATCCTAAAAAATATACTACAGCTTGTGATCCAAGATTGAATTTCAGATAAACTAGAAAAATTATAATTTTTGTTAATACTCTTCTTAAAAAAATCAGAAATAAATAATGACTCACTATTTACGATTTTTTAAATGACTTGTATATGTAATAAATATAAATATCAAAATGATATCAAAATTTCATTTTTCAAATACCCCAAGAATCACAACTCTAAATTCTGGCATCACTTTATATACTAAAAGTTTAGACCATTCTTATGGTAGTTATTGCATAATGTTCAAAGGAGGTACTCGAACTGAAAACTAGAGATAACAAGGATCATTATTAACTCTAAAAATAATGCAACATTTATAAATAAAGTATATATATTCTTATTTTTAAGCAAATTTTTATTTGATTCATAATGTCTGGCTGATTTTACAATAGGACCAGAATCTCATAATGTTAATTGTAAGTTTTTGAATGAAGATTTTCTGAATGCTGCTGAATATACATGTAAGGTAGCATTTCAAAAATAAAAAATCACATAATAATTTTAGAAAATTTCAAATTATTTTAGCGTCTCTTAGTAGAAATACCATGGCTCATTAGATTAAATTTTATTAAAGGTTTATCTTCCATAAATAAGTTTATTATATGTAGTACCAGAAAATGATCAGTTTGAAAAATATTAAACTACTTAAATTACAAAAAATAATTGCATAATAGGGTATTAAGGAAGAAGAAAACATGAAGAAATAGTAAATGTTTTTGAAGATTTGACAAATTAGCATTAAGAATGTATTTATAATTTTTTTTAATTTAGTTATACAAAGAGTCTTTGATCCTAACTATCATTAAATAGAAAATTTTAAAAGTAAAACTATCAGAATAGAAAATCAAATTAGCAGTGATTTTGAAGTGATTCTTTTATTTTAAGGTCCTAATTTATAGGATGAAAAAACCTTGCTTATAAATACTATTCTAAGGGAAATATTAGGAAATTTAGGTTTTTATATTATTATATCTATTAGAATAATAGGATGGAGAGATTGGATTCAAAGTAAAATCGAGATGTTATGATAAATGTAATTGTATATTTTATTTTAGTATTACAGTTTAACAATTTTTTAACAGATGCTGGTTGCGTCTCCTAAAGTTTTACTGATTTTGGAATTTTTGGGCTTTATTTAAAAGGAATGAATACACATGTAAATTAGAATTTTTACTAATTAGAAATAAGAAATTTATGATTTAGCTATTGAAGAAATGAACAAATTAAGATCTCTAAGTGATTGGGAAATTATTAGAGCAAAAAATATAGTTATTACTAAATTTTATACTAATTTACAAAGATAGCATGATAAACTTATTTATGATTTAGAGAGTGTATTAAATCAATTTATAGTAGATCATATACTAAGGTAAATTAAATTATTTGGATGAATTTAAAAACAAAATAAATGAAATTACAAGAAAGGAAATTATGGGTTAAATAGATAAATTAATTTGTTTTGATAAATTTGTGATTATTTATATAGGTAAAGGTTCTAATTTAATGCCTGATGAAAAGCTGACTATGATGAGAATGAAATGCTGAATCTATTTAATATTTATTTTTATTTGAATAGAATAAAAACTCATAAGCAAGTTACTATTACAATATTATGGTACTCACACAGTATCCAAAATTAAACCAACTCTTTATCCGAATTCTGAGCTTTTAATTTATTAAATAAGATCTGGATGCTGTTTCAATAAATTTTTCAACAATTCAACTGATGGATCTCCGCTGATTAGAACTTTTTTTATAACATAATTTCCATAAGGATGGATAGAAAGGTTAAAAAATATATATCTAAAATTATAAATTATTGAAGTTGTACTAATCGGTTTATTTATTACAAAGGTTCCTTATTATTTATGAAGGCCCCATAAGATCAATGTATTTTTCAACAGTATTGCTACCAAACTTATTAATACTTAATTATTCGAAATTTTCTTTTATAATTTGGCAAATTATTAATTTTTCCTTTTATGGTCCTCTCTTTAAAAGGAATTAAATAATATAATTTCCGAATTCCTGATAACATAATTAATATGCGAAAGAAATTAACTTATCTAAAATTCCTTAAGTTATTTCTAATGGATATAGCTCTAATACTTTTTAAATTAATCTACAACCATAAGTCTACATTGAGAGATTAGTTATCTTAAATTATTAAATTAATTTACAAATTATTCAACATATGGAATAATAAAAAGTAACGTTGATTTGTCCAAAATTTCGAAACAACACAACAGTACATAATTGCCATTTACATCATTAAATAGTTAATGAAGGATAGGATATAAAGTTTTTAAAAATGATTTCATTAAATCAGGAAAATCTCTTTTGTATAAAAATAAGGTTACTTTACAAATTTAATCATCTTTGAAATAACTCTGCAAGAATATTAATTTTTTGATAAATCTAAGAGATGACAGATCAGGATCGAATAAAACTTCTATTTTTCATCATAATCTGCAACATCAAATATTTTTTAGACTGTATAATTACCAAACATGTCTTTTGCTGCTTTTAAGCATATTTTTTTAACCTAATAAAAAATAAGTCTTTTCTGATTAAGATCATTACCATCCAAAGCATTTTATAATTTTCTATTAATTAATTAATTGCCACATATTTATTCCTAAGAATTTTAAATAATTATATTTTACAAGATCCAATTAAGTAAGTTATAATTTCCCAAGACTTTAATCACTTTTAAACTATAATTAAGTGTGTTAATATTCTGATGGTTACATAGTCAGATGTTTTTTGGCTTTTTATTTCAGCTACAGTTTCTCAAATGAATCAAATGCTATTCAGATATATATTTGATTTCGATACATTAAAAAGTATCTGCTGAACAATTGAATTCTTATTCTCCAGTTTAGATCAAAGCACTAGATAATTAGGACTATCTACATTTAGATTATTATATATAAATAAATACATTTCTATAGATGTTTATGTAAGAAAAAATATTCGCTATTTCTATTATGATACTTATCCTGTTGAAATGATGCTACCATTTGAAGTGGGAATATCTTGGTACTTGGCCAGTTATTCAGGATTGAATTCTTTTGATTTGAGTGTTAAATTTTTTCTTCTTATATATGTAGCTGGTCTCAATTTAATCTCATCATCTGCTATTAGTTAATTATTAATACCACTTAAAATAGATCCTATTAGATCTTTTTCTTCACTTTAAGAAGCCATATTAATTAAAATTTTGATTATAGAGTGAATATTTATAATATCATAATATAATGCAGTAGATAATTATTTAAATCCCGCTCGTAATATGTTTCATCAAATTTTTGATTCTCTATTCTAGATCTTACAGTATTATACCTACTTTATTTATATTAATTATATAATTCAAAATTAATATTCCAATAAGTTGGATCAACATTTAATACTGATATTTTAATTATTAATTTTTTATAATATTCTTAGCATATCCTTCTCCAAAGATTACTAGAGTTTTGAATCTATGCATAGTTCATGATATTTAAGTTTTTATCAATGATCAATACGATAAACTCTTATCGAAATATTTTTGATTTATAGGAATTTTAATTTTGAATTAAGGCTGTAAAAAATATGTAGAAGAATGTAGAATCAGTTAAAATAGAGAGATTACAATATCAATTTCTATTTCAATTTTTTTCAGATATTGCTTTATTAAGTATTTTTTGAAGTAATAAATAATATAAAAATATTATCAATACAAAATTTAAAAATGATTTAAGTTTAGTTCTGCTAAGAATAAAATTCAATCAAGACTGATTGGACTTTGTATTTTTAGATTGGATGTTATTCGTTTACCATTTTAATATTTAATTTGAATATGTTAGCCATCCAATCTAATTAATTCTCCTTCACCATCTTGAGCATCATCCTTCCATTATCCTTTGTATTATTTTCCATCATTCCAAGTGTACACTCCAAATCCATGCTTTTTGTTTTATTTAAAAGATCCTTCATAAACTGATTTATTGGAAAGCGTTAACTTTCCTAAACCTTCCATTTAATTATCTACCCAAAAACCTTCATATCTTAAGCCATTAAGCCCTCGATAAACACCATATCCTTTCAAAATATTATTTTCAAATTAGCCTTCATAACTAGTGCCATCATGATATTGAACATAACCTTAACCGTGCTTTAAATTATTAACAAATTATCCTTGATATTTATAATGATCTATAATAGTGTATAAAGATACTTTTTACTAATTCTTTTCCAAAGCCTTGTTTTTTATTTTTAAACCATTCACCAATATAAATGTTATTATCAATATCTGTAAATCTGCCAAAGCCATGAATTAATCCTTCTTTGTAGTAACCTTCATAATGGCTGCCATCATCAAATGAAATTATGCCATATCCTGATAATTATAAATTGATCTAAATTTCTAGACGATCTTTACTGTGCAAAGTTATAGGTTTTTTAGACTGAAATATTGATGGTTACAATTTTGTAACTTGTAAATTTTGTATTTTATTCTAAATATCACATTATTCGGAAGCAGTATGTAATCTGATATTCTCATTATTTACAATTATTGGTGGTTAAGAAATATTTTGAGTTTCTTCATTTTATTCATCACAAAAGAATTATTTTGCAACAATCATATTCTATTAAATATGCTGCTATTTGAGTGCACAAGATCCCATATAAATAATTATATATGAAAATAATCAATTTAATAAATAATATTGTTTTATTTACTAAATTAGATGATAACGATTATTAATTTTAGATAAAAGAAAGTTAGTGAAGAAAATATAAAGAAAATAGGATTTAGAATAGAAAAAGAAAAATAAAGGATGGATGTGAAATATAGGTTAGATAAGTAAATATAAATATTTATTATATATAATATTAGTTTTAAGTAATCATTTCTTGAATCGGAATTCATCAATATTTATAATATTTATTAAAGAATTATGTATTTTAATTGAAAGATATAAATATATATTTTTTAATTTAAATTAAAAAAAAATATCCAAATCAAAATGTAATCTGAATGTTAGAGTGAATAAGAATCTTTCAACCAAAATTACTATTAGAAATTAGGTTTTTTTAAGTGTGATTCTTACAATGAATATAAAGAATATGAATACAAAGAAAATAATAATGAAGAATGTGAAATTGATTTTGAATAAGCATCAACTTACATTGTTAACAAGAATTAATTTGATTATCAAGTAAGGAAGAATATTAATGAAGACAAATAGAGTTTAAATAAGAAAATAAGGAAATAATCAAAAAAGGATAGGAATTTAAAGGATTATAAGAAGAATATTTGTCNATTATTAACAAATTATCCTTGATATTTATAATGATCTATAATAGTGTATAAAGATACTTTTTACTAATTCTTTTCCAAAGCCTTGTTTTTTATTTTTAAACCATTCACCAATATAAATGTTATTATCAATATCTGTAAATCTGCCAAAGCCATGAATTAATCCTTCTTTGTAGTAACCTTCATAATGGCTGCCATCATCAAATGAAATTATGCCATATCCTGATAATTATAAATTGATCTAAATTTCTAGACGATCTTTACTGTGCAAAGTTATAGGTTTTTTAGACTGAAATATTGATGGTTACAATTTTGTAACTTGTAAATTTTGTATTTTATTCTAAATATCACATTATTCGGAAGCAGTATGTAATCTGATATTCTCATTATTTACAATTATTGGTGGTTAAGAAATATTTTGAGTTTCTTCATTTTATTCATCACAAAAGAATTATTTTGCAACAATCATATTCTATTAAATATGCTGCTATTTGAGTGCACAAGATCCCATATAAATAATTATATATGAAAATAATCAATTTAATAAATAATATTGTTTTATTTACTAAATTAGATGATAACGATTATTAATTTTAGATAAAAGAAAGTTAGTGAAGAAAATATAAAGAAAATAGGATTTAGAATAGAAAAAGAAAAATAAAGGATGGATGTGAAATATAGGTTAGATAAGTAAATATAAATATTTATTATATATAATATTAGTTTTAAGTAATCATTTCTTGAATCGGAATTCATCAATATTTATAATATTTATTAAAGAATTATGTATTTTAATTGAAAGATATAAATATATATTTTTTAATTTAAATTAAAAAAAAATATCCAAATCAAAATGTAATCTGAATGTTAGAGTGAATAAGAATCTTTCAACCAAAATTACTATTAGAAATTAGGTTTTTTTAAGTGTGATTCTTACAATGAATATAAAGAATATGAATACAAAGAAAATAATAATGAAGAATGTGAAATTGATTTTGAATAAGCATCAACTTACATTGTTAACAAGAATTAATTTGATTATCAAGTAAGGAAGAATATTAATGAAGACAAATAGAGTTTAAATAAGAAAATAAGGAAATAATCAAAAAAGGATAGGAATTTAAAGGATTATAAGAAGAATATTTGTCGAAATATTTTAAGACATGCCATAAAATCAATGAATAATGACTAAGATTGTTTAACTTACTTATCAGAATTGGTAGATGATAGCAAATAATTCAGTTTATACTATAACAGAAAATTGGAACAAATTACTGGCTTCAGAGTGTTGAGAGATCATTTATTGGAAATGAAAGAAGATAATTAAATAGTAAAGAATAGGAAATTGGCCTTTAAGTATTATTTGATATGGTATTTGAAATCTAAAGCAACAGGTATGATTTTAAGAGGGGAAACCCACAATCCTTAAGAATATTTACGATATAAGAATGAAGTATTAATGTATTATATACATCGACCTCATGAATGGATATCGAATTCCCCAGAGTGGGTAAATGTAGCCACATCAACAACTGGTTAACAGTTCCAACTTAATACAGAAAAGTAATGTATTTGAGATGTCTTGGGATGATTGCTAAATTATAGATGCGTGGCCTTTGACCACAGAGAATGAAGACAACTGATTAAATATTTGTCTTTATTTTTTTATATTAATAATTCATTATATGAAATAACAAATAGATCTAAAGTTATTGTAACAATAAAGAGAAGAGCGATTTTAGAAAAGTTTATTTGGTGCCCCTTAAGTGGATTAACAAATAGAAGACAAACCAGCAAATTCAAAAGTGCCTTAATTGTCCAATGAGAACTTTGTGTAAATTTATGTGAAATGCACTATTACTCCAGAAGTACAATTTTATTTATTGACATAGTTTGTGGCTTAAAAAGAGTTAAGAGATGACAATGTTGATAATGAGATTGATATTGTTTTTGATGATGTAATAGGTATATTTTACATAATATTAATATAGAAAATGAGGAATTAGGTATGAAAAAAGAGTATAATGTATTTGTGGAGAGACAACTGGTTTAATAGATTAAATTATTGAAATAGAATTACATAGAGAAACAAGATTTGATTAAAGTATCTGTGAATTTAAATTAAGATGCCTGTATGTGGATCCAATGGCATAAGATTACCAGAAGAATAAGATTTGTTATTATATTTTGAATTCTTTAAGATTAGAGAAAATTAAACTGAATGTCAATTATTGATTTAGTAATAAGACCTCAAGAATCAATATGGTCTCTTGATTTGTGGATGTCTATTTAATGATGAAATTGCTTAAGATTTAGCCTTTAAATTTTTAACAAAAAAACCTACATTAGAAATTATAATGAAGTTATTACTTGTTACTGTTCATTATGAATCCAAATATTAAATGTATATGTACAAGTAAATTTTTGTTTAATTCATAGATTAGTCAAATAAATATTATATTATTATAATGGGATCCTAAAGGAAATTACGGATCCATTATTGACAGAAGTTGTTTAAAATCTAAAATAATTGTAAATAGAAAAGCCCAACATTATTCGAGTTAATAATAAGAATTTCTCATTGAAAATTAATACAACTTTTCTTTATCCATTATATAAATAATATGAGAAGGATCGAGGTTAAGTGTTTAAACCTATTAATGAATATACTCAATTTTCAGTATTGAGGAATGCAGATATTCCTGATTAAACCGAAGAATCAGAATATCCACATATCTATATTATTAAAAAATAGAGTGATTAATAACAATATTTATATGGAATATAATTAGAAGCACATGCAGAAATTCATATCTATGATAACAAATGCGAAAAATATCAAAAATATAATGATTCTTACTTAGGATGTGTAGAAAGAAACATTTGGGGAACATCTATGGTTGTTTATGATGATGGATATCCAGAATCTCTTTAATCACAATTTCCAGATTGGATAGGTTAGAAAAGAAGGAGATTGATGAAAATTGAATATGAGACAAATATTATGGCAAATGAACCTAGATATTTTGATACAGTTTTTCTTAATTTAGATACAAAATCATGGGAAGGTATTTACTTAATTTATTATTAGAATTAATTACATTAAGACCACATTATAATTAAGAGAAAGATTGTTATTAGCTTAATTTTTTTGGGTAATTTAATTAATGATTAAATATTAGACGAGCCAAGATTGCATCTGCTCGTAATTTTTAATTAATCAAAGCTGGAGATGACAAAACAATTTAATTATTGCATGGAAAGATGGAACCAAATAGTTTCAATTTAGATTTCAGACCTCCTCTCAGCATCTTGTAAGCATTTGCTATATCAATGGTATCTATAAGTTCTAAAGCACTCGTGTCATGAATATTAAAATAAATATAATAAATCCCACACTGATAATTCTCTCTATTATATTTAATTCAATATTGTAATAAGGTATCATCTGGTTCATCATCCTCACCTTGAAGAGCTCTTTAGCCTTCAATGAAATAATTGTATTGCCTAATAGTTTGATAAAGTGTAGACATATCTGCATATTTCATATAGAATGTCCTTTCCCATCCATTCACTTAAAATTATTAGAATAATATACCAAATTTTATTTCCCATTTACTAGAAATACATTCTACTGATTCTCTATATGAAGATTCAAAATTTGGTTGATGTAATTTCTTATTTAAATTCATTGTTGAATATTGCAAATGTCTATGGATAATAAATCTAATATACCTTAGTAATCTTGTTCCATGTACATCTGTAGGGTTAGCAATGAAATTCATCTTTAATACATATCTAAATATTGGATTCAAAAGAGATCCTGCCTGCATTATCACTCTCTTTCTTTTTATTCCCATTTATTTAATTAACCGTATATAAAATTATTTAAATCGAAATGAAATTAAAGAACAGAAACTCAACCTCTGTAGATAAATTGTAAAGTCTAAAACAATAGCAAGACAACATCATCTAATCTCTTAATGAATTGAATGAAAAAAACTAATCCATCATTAAAGACTACATGAACAAATAGTAATAATTAACAGATTAATTATAAAAACAACATCAACTAATTACTATCCAAGAACTAAAGTTAGCATTGTAAAATAATATTTGGACATAAAAAGTTGGGTTCTTTTTGAATCCATTGTCTTAATAAAATGGATAGAAGATAACAATCTAATAATAATAAATCTTATTAAAGCATTCAGAAACTAAGTTAATCTTGATAGAGAGAATCTTCTAAACAGAACTTAAAATTATTCAATTCTAAGAGTAAAAGAAAATGATCCAAAATGATATTGAAGGAAGAATCTTATAAATGGATACACTCCTTATAGAATATGAGGAATTGGAATAGATTATAGATTCATAGTAAAATAAATCCTAATGCAATAATGTCAAAACCATTTTTGAAATTAACAAGACTTTGAGTCAACTTAAACACAACTATATATAATTAGCTAATTAACGATAAGAAAAAGAAATACTGTAAAATGATATATAAAAAATTATTAACAATCTAGAGACTCAAACTAAATCTTTTTAAATTGAGAAACAAATGAAAGGTTTATAATCTTCTTGGTTCAATGTAGATTAGCTTTTCAATTTAATTATATCCAAAGCAAAAGCAGAGTAATAACTGGATTTATTTAACAATATAGTATTACTAATAAATGAGAGAATTGTTTAAGGACTCAAATCTAAAGCAAATTAGAATGATATCATTGAAAATATTCTATAAATAGAAAATGATAATAACTTTAGAGTATTCAATAGTGCCATATTTGGAGAATACTTGGATTAGGCCTAAATAACAGAGTATTCTTAATTTCTGATAATTGAATTGCCAAAGAGAATCTGTAAATTCAAAATAGAGTCTAAACTTAAATAGCATAAGTACAAAAATAATAAATTAAGAATAGAACATAACTTGTAGATGTACAGAGACAAATTCACCAAATAATGTATGAACAATCAATGATATAAACCCAATATAATCGACTTGAATCAAATCTACCTGTTCTAGAATAGAATTAAACTGCCTAAAAGTTATAGTAGATTTTAGATAGGATGAATCACATTGAATGTTTGAAATCTTAAAATAAGACCCTTTTTGAAATCACATTTCCAGCATAAATCAAATAAATACAAGATCATCTATTTTAGATGGAATAATAGTTGCACTCTCAAATAAAGGAATTGCAATATTCAATTTCTATAGAATAAGACTACTATTATAAAATATTTACCAATTAATCTCTGAAATTACCAATTTTAATTCTCGATTCAACGATAGTTCATAATAACATAGAGTAATAAATAGAAGAAAATAGAAAGTAGTATCAACAACAATAGATCTTGTATAATTAAAATATAGAAAATCATAGATAAAAATTGAAACAATTGGAAGAATAAGAAAGTATAAATGTATCTAATTAGATAAAATATAAACAAGGTATTTGATTGAATTGAATGAATCAATTCTGAAGACTAAAAAAGAGAACATTCCTCCTTCTGATTCTCGAGACACAAGTGTTTAAGGGACAATTTAAATTGATATGTCTTAGGAGAGAACAACTCACAAATACTCAGTTTTCAGATCTAAAAAATAGTTATTTATGAATGAACCAACTGATAGAAGTCTTTCTACATATAGTTTTTTGGGACATAGATCATCTGATCCATTATGTTCAAAAACCAAATTAGCTTTGAAACAACAAACTAGTTTATCATCTTAAGCATCTCAAAAAAATCCATTGTTATCACCTCAATCGAATAATCACCATATATCTATAGAACAATCATTAAGTTTACATGTATTTCTTAATCTAATAATTAATAGTCTTCTGCTAGAAGATTTCCAGAATATCAAATGGAAAAATCTCCTCCATCTTAAGTAAAAGGAGAAAAGATCTTCAAAGTATTAAAAAGAGTATAACGACAATAATCCACTAATAATAAGAATGGATTTTCAGCATTTTCAAGCAAATTTGTTAAGTATAATTAGAAGATGAAGTTTTTGGAATTCTATAATTCAAACAAAATGATTCATGATTTGGGATAAAAAGAATCTGCTTTATGTTTGAAACAGATTAGAGAAGTTAAATAAAGTTAATAATCGTTAGTTTTAGTGATTTCGAAACATCAATCAATAGAATTAGTATTTAGTAAGTATGAGCAATTGAATGAGTTTATGAAAATGATAACATAGTGATTTTATTAATAATTTATTTCCGGTGAGCAATGCAAGCTTTTACAAAACATATTTTTAGGAGAATAGCATTAGCCCCCTCTCCTTTTTTTGCTTTCTCATCTAAAAAGGATTTGTATGGTAATTCTCTATTTAAACATTTAGAATTATTGGGAGTACCTAGAAATGCATCCTAAAATGATATTAAAAAAGCCTATTATGGTTTAGCAAAGAAGTATCATCCTGATGCAAATCCATCAAAGGATGCAAAAGAGAAGTTTGCTGAAATAAATAAGTAAGAATTATCTTTTCTAATTTAAGTGCATATGAAACATTGTCTGATGAGAATAAAAGAAGAGTTTATGATTAAGTAGGAATGACAGGGGATGAACAATAATAGGCTGGAGCTTAGGATCCTTTTGCAGCCTATAGTAGTTTCTTTAGATAAGGAGCAAGAGGAGGGAGAGCATAAGATTTTGAATTCGATGAATCAATATTTGGTGATTTTGCATCCTTTTTTAATATGGGAGCAGAAGGTGAAAGAACTTTAAAAGGAGCTGATATTCATGTGCAATTGGAAGTTTCATTTATGGATAGTGTTTAAGGATCTCAATAGACAATTTAATTTGAGAAAGTAGGTACTTGTACTACTTGTAATGGTACAAAATGTAAACCTGGAACTGCACCTGGAAGATGTACAAATTGTGGTGGAAGAGGGTCAATTAATTATAGATAGGGAAGTATGACAATTTAGATGGCATGTAGTAAATGCAGAGGAACAGGGATATCAATTTAAAATCCATGTATTCATTTTATTTAATTATTTTTAAAGGTACATCTTGTAAAGGAATGGGTATTTAAAAATAATCTACAACTGAAACTCTTAATATACCAAAAGGAATAGCTGATGGTTAAAATCTAAGAATAACTGGCAAAGGAAATGTTGGAGAAAATGGAGGAAAATCAGGGGATCTCATTGTAAAGGTATCCGTCAAACCTGATCCATATTATAAAAGAGATGGTTATGATTTAATTACAAATACTTATATTTCTATTGCTTAAGCTGTTTTAGGAGATACAATTAAAGTTAAAACCTTGAATGGAGATAAACAAGTCTCTATTAAACCAGGATGTTAGGATGGAGAGAAAATGAGACTGAGTGGCTTAGTATATGATATTTTAAAATATTATAGGGTATTAACAAATTGGCACCCAACTAAAATTAAAAAGGTGATTAAGTCTTAAATTTTAAAATATAAATACCAACCAAATTAAGTGATAAATAAAGAGAGATATTCTAAGAATTAGCTAAAGTATTTAATGTTACTTATATTTATAGTTGGAAAAAACATAATCTTAAGATCATGTATCATAATAATAGGATGGAGTCTTTGATAAAGTTAAGAATGTTTTCCATAAATGAGATTGTTAAATTGTTTATAAAGACACTTATAACTCTAAATAATTATTATTAATATGTCTGCTTAGATAGATAATCGCTACATTGCTAAATTCGAAGAATTAGCACAAATTAAAGAAAAGTTAGCCTAAACATCATAAAGAACTCGTAATCAATCTTCAGACAGATAACAAACTAATGGAATCAATATACCTGAAGTTAAAAGTAGCAGAAATAGTGAAAGATAATCTTAATCTGTAGAAAAATGTATTATGCTATTCTTATTTAAGTCTTGAATCTCAGACAATAAAACTAAAATGTAGACAATTTGATAAATACATGGAAACAATAAAAAACTCATTCTATTTCACTCAATTAAGGAACATTAACAGGAACTATAATACGTAATTAATATTCTAATAATAGAGGAATCTCCTGAACATGAAAGTCCTCAAACGAAACCAGCCATATATCCTCATTTAATTTTAGAAGAAGATGAACAATAATAATTTTAAGAATCCATCTCTCCAGGTCCAGCAATCAATTAGTAAAAAGGAATTACAAAAGTTCCAAGTAATACAAAATCATCTCTCAAAGATTAAGGTATTCTTTTAATTTTTATTAGTTTAGTGAATAATGAAAAAAAAAAATCAGTAGTGTATTCTAAGGATGCCAATTTATTTTCTAATACAAATTAATAAACAAATTCTTAATCAAATCAAGCTGTTGCTCAAAAAAAGAACAATGCAGTTGTTAGACCTTAAACTTCTAAAGTTTAACCTCAACCTACTCCTAATCAAATTGCATAAAAAAAAGCAGTTTAATCTAAATAAATTAATATGAAAATGTCTCAAGAATTTATACCAGAGGGTTATAATATCTATTATTTTAGTTCCTTAAACTCCATCATAATAAAAAATGAAATAAAGTTCTTTATTGGAAAAAACAAGATAAGTTAAAATGAATCAAACAAATAACAAAGCATAAACTAAATAAAATCAAATCAGTTCAGGCGAGGAAAAAATATTAATTTCATAAATTTAAAAACTTAGAGAAACCATTTTAAAAATATATGAACAAAAATTCGATAATTAATTGTCACACTCTTCAACTAATATAGCCAAGTACTATAATTATTTATCATATTTTTAGAAATTTTGATTTAATTGTAAATACAATGAAACTCGATTTTCGTTGCTTAGAAAATGATTGATTGATTGATAATCATCATCATCGATTATTTATTAATAAAAATTATAATGTCTTCATTTAGCATTTTTAAAGTTTATTCTTTTAATTATTGCAAAAATGGAAATTCTATTCAAACTGATATAATTCTTTACAGCTCTGTAAATTGAAAAGTTTATTAAATTTAAACAAAAATATTTTTCCATAATAAACATCAAATAATGAAAGTTAGATATAACTGAGAAAAGATCACTACATAATTATTAGTATTTTTTAAGGTTGTAAGAATATAAAATCTTGGAGAAAGATTAAAATATTAATATGAAAATTTCTAAGCTATTTCAAAACATGTAATAAACATGGTTATTTAATATAATTTTGTGTATGAGATAACTAAAAATAAATAACCAATACTTTACACAAAAACGAATTTCATAGGGATCGTTTGGCATCGTTATGCAAGGAATTGATTCAAGAAATAGTAAATTGGTAGCCATAAAAATTGAAAGGCCAGAAAACGAACATTTGCATTCATTAGATCGAGAAGTGGAAATTTTATAAAGGTTATAAAATACAAAGGGTATACCAAAATTGTTGTATTATGGATCATAAGAGAATTATAATGCAATAGTGATGGAATTATTGTAAAAAGACTTGTCATCTTTAATAAAGTAAAGGAAGAAATTTAGTTTAAAATCTACACTTTAAATCTCGATTTAACTGGTCTCAATTCTAGAAGAAATACATAAATAGGGTGTATTGCATAGAGATTTGAAACCTGAAAATATGATGTTGGATGAAAATAACTCAGTTTATCTGATAGATTTTGGGATTAGTAAAATATTTTAACGTAAAAATGGAAGTCTAATGTATAATATTCCATTTAAAAGTAGACCTTATAAAGAGAAGGTGCCATTTGTTGGAACTGCTCGTTATGCATCAATTGCAGCTCATAAAGGATAAGAACTAAGTAGAAAGGATGATATTGAATCATTATTCTATGTAATGGTCTTTTGTATAAAAGGGTATTGAAGGTTTTTGATCATTAGATTAGCACTTTGCCATGGCAGAATTTAAGGCACATTCCAGATGATTAAAGAACCTAAAAAATAGGGGAATTAAAAGAATCTATAGATCCGAAAGTACTTTTTAAGGATTTGCCTATTGAATTCATAAAAATTTATGAGTAATTTATGATTAGATAATATTTTAGTTATTTAAGAAAGTTAACATATAATACTGAGCCTGATTATAAAACCATAATAAAATTATTATTATAAGCATCAAAACATTCAAATATTATTTTAGACTATAAATATGAATGGGATCAATTAAATAATTATTAAGATCTAGTTGTAAATCGATTTGGATCATTATAACCAGAAGAGACACAAATGAAAAATTATGAAAAATTTCAATCGAATGTTAACTACAATAATAATTATACTACTCAATAAAGAGCAAGTTAATTATAATTGCCAATTATGAAATTGGAATCTAATTAAACAAACAATAGTAATTATGGAAGTGGCAATTATAATAATAGTATTTATAATTCAGTCGGTATTATCTATTCTCTATCAAATGATGAAATAAGTGAAGAATTACAAGAACCTATTCCAGATGAATAAGAAAGCTAAATCTTTATTAATGTTTAAGTTTTTCCTGATCATTTGAAAAAGCCTAATTAATAGAGAAATATTAATCAAAGTGAGGAAGAGTTTTAATTTATTGAAGATAATTTGTTATCTGAAAAATATCAAAATTTAAATGCACGAATTAATGGTAATTTGTAGAGTCATAAAAAATGATTTCTTATTTTTATAAATTAAAACTACTCTATTTATTCTATATTTTGTTGAAAATTTCTGAAAATAAATAATTTGTTAAAATAAACATCTAAAGTTCATCAGCAACATTAAGATTTCTATTTTTAATTAGATTAATTAATGAATGGTTATAATTCAGTCAGTGTACCTAATTTAATACCATTTTATGGATCATTCAAATCTATTTCCTTATTCTTAATTTTCATATAAATTTTCTATACTAAGGTTTCAAAAGTGAGAATAACATTTTCTCCTGTTTTTGCAGATGTTTCAAAATATAAACATCCTGTTTATTAGGCTAATTATTAACCTTCATCTTAAGATACTTCTCTTCCCCATGAATCAATTTTATTTCCAACAATCATAATATCTGCTGATGAATCTTACTTCACTTCATTTAACCAATTAATAAGATGATGAAATGATTTTTTTTTAGTCACATCATAAACTAATAAACATGCAATAGATCTAATAATTAAATTTATTTTCTATACCCTCGATAATATGCTCTTGTAATTGATCTGAATGACTCTTAACCTGCCTAAATAATATTAAGAAGTTTACAGTATCCCATATATTTACTCTAATCACACTATCCTTATAAATTACATCCTTTTATCCAAATCCTATTCCAACCGTTGAATCAATATTATTTTTAAACTAACCTTCAATGAATTATTAGAGTAAACAACTTTTTCCAACTCCAGAATCACCTACCATGATAAATTTGAAACTATAATGGTAATTACACTGTTATTTATTCATAATAATACAAATAAAATTTGTTAATAAAATAAATAAAATGAATCCAAATACACCATTCAACGAACGATTTGCTAAAATTTCTGAAAAACTCAGCTCTATCTAATTACATCATGATAGTTCTAAAGCTCATCGTATTGATGTTGTTTGCAGCCGAGTATCAGGTGTTGAAGAAAGAATTCAAGATACTATTACATCTTATAACAGAAAATTAGTATTAATTTTATCTTATTTTAGCATTCTCTAAAAGATGAAATTGTTAGATTATAAAAATAAATTGAAGAAGAAAACAATGCTTTTGAAACACAGTTTGAACAAAGAGTCAGAGAAATTGCTGCTTTTGAAAGTCGTATAACGACTAAATTAGAATAAGAAATTTCTATTAGAAAGGATGGAAATCTTAAATTATAAGGCTATTTAGATGAAAAAGTACAATAATATTTAATAGTTTTAGGTTGTTTATTTAAAATCAGATATTTAGACAGAAAGTAAAATTAGATAAGAATAAATTGAGAATATAACAACTTCATTAGAAAATGATTTACCTAAATTATATGATTTAGTAAAGACAGAAGGTTAAGATAGAGAAGATAGTGATAATGGTACTTTAAGAAGAGCAGGAGATGAAATTAAGAGATTAAATGAAGGATTAGCTAATTAAAAGAAATTGAGGTATTATTTTATTAAAGATTTTTATTAGAGAAGAATCAGAAGCAGCAATCTTTGAAATGCTTAAGGATTTGGTTTCAAGAGTAAAGAGTGAGATTGAGGAAGAAAAGAAATTAAGAGAAGAAAGCTAAGAAAATTTATTAGGCTTGCTTGAAGATGCATGCAATAAAATTTACAGAGCTGCAAAAGATTGATATTTTTATATTATCTATTATTATTATAACATTTTAGATTTTTGATAATATCTTATAATTTACTATAATAATATTGTATATCTTATATAAATTCAATTGAATCTTAAATAATTTCAAGAAAGGATTACGCTTTGGATGGAATAGATTAAATAATAAATATTAAAAAAGGATCAAAATAAAGACTTCCACCATGTTTTTGATGATTTTTTTTCTTCACTTTTTTTTTCAAAATTAAAATTAGTATCTTAAGAAAAATGAACTCTTTTTTTCTTAAATAATTTGGTCTTAGCCATTCTTTTATTAGGTAGACTTTTAGAAGTATGAGGATGTTAAAGTTGATTTCGTTATTTAAGAATTCCTTTATGTTTACTATAATAGCTTTGATCTTCTAAATAACAATTACTTATAATTTTTTCAAATGCTTTGATTTGATGAGGATTGTTCGTTGAATATTTTAAAGGATCTGTTTTATTTTTAGAGGATTGAATATTTGATTATTTTTCAGATGATAATTATAAGGAGTTAGATTGAAGGGATGCAAATTAAGAATCTTTAGATTCTTTTGAGGTATTTTTTTTTGGTGAGTATTAAGATAATGATAATGATTATTATTATTATTATTATTATTATTATTATTATTATTATTATTATTATTATTATTATTATTATTATTATTATTATTATTATTATTATTATTATTATTATTATTATTATTATTATTAATTAAAATAGTATGGATTTTCATATTATTAATTAGTTTAAGAGTTAGATTTTAATTATGATTTCATTTTTTCAAATTCTAATTATTATTTAACAATTTGTTAAATAATTAATCTCTATCGTTCTTCTTATTCTTGTTGATTTCTAATTTTTTTTATTATGATATATACATTTGTAGGATTCTAGCTCTGACTTCAATTTCTAAATCATCCATAAATCTGTTCTACCTATATTAAACAGTAGATTCATTGATTTATTTTTTGGTTACAAACAATGGAAGTAACTCTACTTCAATATTGCTGGCAAATAATTCATTTTTAGGATCAGATTAGGTTTGTAAAATATTATCTGAAGAATATTCAAATTCTCTTCTAAAATTAGTGGCAGGTAGAGTGGCAGATTCACCTTAACGAGAACTGGATGCTGATCTATTTCTATCTTTATTTCTAAGAATTTTGTGTTGTTATTCAAAGTTGAGTTCTAATGTACTTCCTTCATATCTAAAACCATTTCCACATTTAACTTCACATTTAGATGGACATCCTCCCATGTTTATAAATAAATAATTATTAATTGAAACATGATAATTATTAATAATTAATTATAATTATTCATTACAACCCTTTAAGTATAGTTGAAATGCTTTTGTCTCTAATTTCTAAGACTGCTAAATAACTTGCACCAGTAGCAGTGATAAATCCACCAAGAAAAGTAATCAAGAATATCTCAGTTGGGAATATGAATTTAAAGGAAAACTCAGTAAACATTAGAATTTAAAGAGTTAAAGTAATAGCAACAACTAAACCAACTATAGTACCAATCAATCCTGATGCTGTAATTAATGAAATTGCTTCATATATATAGACTCTAGTGATTTATTACTATTATAATTATTATAATAAAAATACTTTATTTAAACCAACAGCTCTTAATACACCAAATTCCCATGAATTATCTTTAACATTACTAACAAAAGAAACTAATATTAAAAAGAATGACAATGTCATAGCTACTATGGCTACTAAAACATAAAATATAGTAATAAAATAGAAAGTATCTTCTGCTTCTTTCTTCAAAGTAATTACATCAAATAAGAGTGTTTATTCATTTAAGAAATAATTTCTAAGTGCATTACAGAAATCTACTCTTTCTTATTCAGTAGTTTATCTGGCAAATCTAATTTATAAATTGTCTTTAGGTAAACCATAAGTTAGATTTTTAGGTAAAGATTAAAAATATAAATTAGCTCTCTAATTTGATAGATTGCCTTATCGAATATCACCTCTAAGAATATGATATAAAATAGTTACTAGAAAAAATCATTAACAATATATAAAGCATCCTCCATACTAATTAATCCATTTCCAACTAATGATCTATAACTTGAAAAGAAATAACCTGGAACTTTAGTTGCCATATGTCTTACATTAGTTCTATATAATCTTCTATCTACATATAAAATGGAAGGAGTATCCACATTTATACCAGCTTCATAAATATATCCTTAAGGAACAACAATGTTTATTTCTCTATCAATAGTAGAACTATAATAATCAATAAAATAAATACTATAAATTTGGTTTTTCATAACTTAAATCTTTATACCATTGTTTTCTAATCAATTGTGATCCTACTAAAGAATATGGATCATAAAATGCTTCTCTATCCTAAACATCTGATCTATCATATATTCCAGATACTCCGTCAATTGCTCCGTCAATCAAAGTTCCATACTTTATGTTTTAATCATAACTATTTGGTATATAAAATGCTTCTAAACATGATCTAAGATAATTCTCTTCAACTCCTCCTAAAAATATCTTCTTAAAAGGAAACTTTGCTAAAGTTGATATAAAATGACTATTCGGCATCTCAGGAATCTAAGATAACATTAAAGTAGTAAATGAATAATCATATAGAAAAGTAGGATCTTCATTCATTGTTTTATTTAAAAACATTCTTAAATTATATTCATCTAATCCTCTCTTATCAGATTATAAGGCTTAAATACTTATATCAGCTCCTAAAAAAGATTATAATACATCTGTTATAACACTTGTTTATAATGCAAATCCTGCTCCTGCAAATATTAAAAATGCTAATGCTATTGTATACATTAATGTAGTTTTCCAATTTCTACTATAATGTGCTTCTAAATTTTTGAAGATTATTTTCTCTAAATTCCTATCCTTCTTAAAAATACATAATATTAATTTTAAAATAGCTTTCTCAAATGGTTCTTCCAATATATTTGCTAATAATGTAAAACCTATTATCATCACAATTAATATAATATTTATGACTGCAAGAGCTAATTAGATATTACTAAATATAAATGCCATTGGTATTAAATAATAACTCACAAAACCCATTATTACTAAAAGGGCAGCTGTGAAAAACTAATCAATAGAAATTCCCATCTTCTCTAATTTTATTACATTGACCAAAATATCATTAATTGTTCTATGATATAAATCTAAAGAATCTCTTAGTGTTTTTGATAATGCTCTAACAATTGGTAAGATATTGCTTGCCAAAGGAATAAATAATCCTAAACCAATTGATAAACCTATTGCTGACTTTGCTATATCATATGATGACATTAAAACAGCTGAGTCAAATATGAACATTGATATTAAAGAATTTAATATATAACATGTTATTAATCCTAAAATTAAACCTGGTATTGCAAATGTAAATGCTTGTAATAATAATAGTATTATTAACCACCATTTCTAAAATCCTAATGCTCTTAACATTCCAAATTCATAAGTCTTTTCTTCCACATCTCCAATCATTAATGAATATATTAATAATACTGATAACATCAACAATAAAAATGTAGCTGATACTACTAAATTATCAACAAAATTTCCTAAAAGCAAATACTATTTAATTGCAGTTGCCAATGGAACAGTAATCTTAACTGGAAAATCATATCCAACTTAATCAAAAAATTAATTTGAAACATCCAATACAAAATTATCTATGTTATCTTTACTCGTGTATTTTGTTACTCTATCCTTAACTAATAAATTACTAGTTAATGTATATTCCTCCAATTTTATACTATCTGTATAATTTCTTATAAAATTGAATAGATCTTCTACAGGAATATTAAAAGCAACTATTTCCTAAACACTATTTGTTGGACTATTAATTTTATAATCTTCAATTGTATTATTTAATGCTATTAGAAATGCTTCTCTTAAAATTATAGTAGCATTTCTATAGTCCATCACTACTATATTACCTAAACCATCTGCCCATTTCCCTTTTGGAGATTTTATACTTTCTTTCACTTTTAATTGAATATCAAAATCTAAAGAATCAGCAATAATTTCTGCCATTATTTATTCAACTAAATAAATAGAAACAATATCATTATCTCCTAATTATTAAATAAAACCACCTAAAATTCTAGAAAAATATCCTAATTCTTAAGCAAAAAGGATATCAAAAATTGTATTAGAAACTTCATTTTAATCATTGGAAACACCTGCTTAATTTATTTAATTTTTAAAATTTTCTCTAATTTATTCTTTTTAATCAGGATTATTATCTAAAAAATCTGTAAAAACAATTAACCAAGTAGACCATACTTTTAATTCTAAACCTGTGTATTCTTACTTAGTAAAATTTTATCCATATATTAATTCTAATGGTCCATTTAAATAAGTATCAAAAGCTGCCATTATAAAACTTTCTGGATCATTATTATTATTTTCAGTAATCACATATGTAGATAAAAATTAAATAATATCTATATTTAAATTTAAAATATCTCCTATTGTAGCATTTAATCCTCTTAATCCACTAGAAGTAACAAGAACTTCATTATTATTAATTATATCAGTTTCTAATCTCCTACCTAATCCTATACTTATTTCTTTCTAACTATCAATCAATAAAAAGAATGATCTTATTGTATCACTTATTTTAGATATATTTTCTTTTGGATTTTCCAAATTTCCTATCATTAACCATCTTGGAGTAGTATCAAAAATTTCATCTATATTTTTTGTTATTCTAACTATTTCTGTTTAATTTACTAAACTAAATCCATTTAATAAATTTTATGATGCTTAAAAATTAGAATTTTATGGTCCAATATCTGTATTTGATTTTGTTCTATTCTCTGATGGTATTGGAGTGAAAACTAAATCAGTATCACCAGCAGTTGTTTCTGCTAATTAAATAAATATTAAAGGACTCAAAGAAAAGGCACTCTATATCAATGCTAAAAACATAACAACCAAATATATTGTAAATAACCCAATCTTGAATGACCTTGGTTTCTTTCTTATATCTGAATAAATATATTCTACAATGATTCTTATTGTCACTGTAATCTTTTGCCATAGTCCCATATACAAATAAGCATTATTATTCTCCTCCTCAAGTGTGTCGTCCATTATTTTTGTAATTTATTATATTATAAAATTAATTTAATCGACCTCTAATATAAATCCATATAAATAGATAAAAATTTAATTATTTCTATTATTGTTATTAATACATCTCTATAACAATAAGGTATACTGAATAAAATTGTATTTTATTTCTTTTCCTAAGATGGCAATTATGTTTCCATTTATGATAATTAAGTTTTTTTAATCAAATTATTTTTTAAATCATTTAAATCATATTTAATGTTGTAATTCTTCTTATCAAGTCCTATAGATGGCATGTCTTATTATATTTGGTTAAATAAGCCAATAAAGGCATCACTAAGTGATGGAAATTATATGGCTCCATTTTATTTACTCTTTCCTTCATTATGGATAGAAAATAAAATTAACAGAAATGCTTATCCAACTAAGTTAGAATGCATTAAGAAATGTTTACTTCATATTGCCTTTTATCCTTTAACAGTTATTTTAATCAATGCAATAGCAAAGAATTTATTTATAACTGATAGTTTTAAGGATATTTTTCAGAATAAAGGATTTTTTGGATTTTTTTCAGGTCTTCCATATTAATTATTGATGCAAAGCTTATTAGTTTTTTAAAATTATTTTTTCATAGAAAATGAACATGTTGATAATTTCAGAATGGGAGTTTGGATAATATTTTAAATAATAAATGTTCCATTACAGATTTTATTTTCATCTTTACGATTAAAATCAATAAGTGGAATATCTGAACTATTAAATATAGGATCTGGTTGGTTATTTGGATTGGTGAGTTAATGTATTAAATAGTTTAATTCTTTAAAGTAAGAATTGGTAAAAGCAAAAGATCCAAGAGCAAGAAAATTTATAGGAGGATGAATATAAAAATATATAGATAGATATATATATATATTCATAATAATTACAATTCTAACATTAATTGATTAATATGACCATTTCTAAGATTTTAAGCCATTATTTCAACATATATTAATTCATAAAAATATCCTTGAAGTATAAATATAAATGGGGTACTTAAGTTTTAACATTAGGAATAATATTTCTAATAAATTGAAGACAATGTTAAATTTTAGGTGGTAATTAATTTTTAGCAAATTCTAATCCTCATGCAGCATACATTAATTCAATAGCAATAATATATTCAGTATTTTAAACAACTTAAATTGCTTTTCTAGCAGTATATGCTCCCATAGAGACATGATCTTCTATATTAGCAGAAGTAGGAACAGTATCAATACAACTAGGATGACTAAGTACTTTATTTTCAGAGACTAAAGCAGCACTTGTATACTAAGGAATCATATATCCATTAAGTAATCCTCCTTTAGATGTTAAAAACATAATCACCAATTTCAGAATTTACTAATCTTTCTTATCTTCTCTAATTTACAATACAGATAATTAGAATACTTCACTAAATATACATAGTCTTTATAAAGCTATACACATATTATCAGCCAATATTCCCATATATTCTCCATGAAAATTACCACCTGATCTTGCAGATTAATGTTCATTATCAATAATAGGATTATCACTGGTTGAATTTATTTCTCTTTCTAAGATTTTTAAATTCTCTTCTATTGATTATCTTATTGTTTAATGAATAGTAAAAGTACTCTAAATACTTTTTGGATTTGTTTTATTTTATTCTTATAATATCTACTATGTCTACCATGTCTCTCCAATTAAATTTAAAGTAATATTTATTGTTTTATAATAATTATTTTCTTAATTACATTTTAAGAAATTATAATTAACTATTTAATTTAATATATAAAAATAATATATTACTTTATAAAGCATAACTTGTTAATCCTAAAGCTAAATCTGCTGCATTCATAACATATTATGATCTCATTAAAGTTTCTAAATTTATTGCTGCCATCATTTATGTTCCATTATTCATAGCTAATCCTTCTTTCTCCATATATTCTAATGGTTCAAAATCATTCATCTTTAATGCTTAATTTGCATCTATATATTATCCATCTATCCAAATCTCTCCTATTCCTATTAATCCTAATGCTAAATGTGATAAAGGTGCCAAATCTCCAGATGCTCCAACTGAACCTAACAAGGTACTTTTGGAATAAGTTTCTTATTTATTGCTTATTATAAAGATTCTATTAAACACATTGTCTAATCAAACAATTCAATCTCAAAATCATCATTACCAATACTATATTGGGTTTTAATGCTTCACCTACACATGAAGCATGAGATATAATTAAGTTCTTTTATAAATCTACCATTTCTTAATGAGGAATATAAATCTCATTATATTTATATATTTTTAATACTTCTTTAAATTTGCCAAAGCCTGTACTTATACCATATATTGGAATCTTCTTTTATACTATCATATCAACTGTATTTCTAGATTAAAGTATATGCTAATTTATCACTACAATTCATACGTTCTTAACTTTATCTAATATTTCTATTACTATATCCATATTCCCCTATATAATGTCTTTCAAATCATCCATTTATAAATTTTATCCATCCTATCCATTAAAATAAATAATACAAGCGTTAAAACTTTTTCATTCAAGATTTTTATTATAATAAATTAAATGATAAATGTTTCATCTACTTTTAGAAGTCCAAAAAAGAATAAGCAAGACTTAAATGACTTGTTAACAATCATTGAAGTATTTAAAAAAAACTAGAAAATTTATTTATCCTAAAATCCTAAATTGATTTCAAATATTCAATACGATGAACCATCGTAACTTGTCTCTATTAATGAAACCTTATAAAACAAAAGCAAAAACAAGAAGAGTCGATCTACTGAATAAATGAATTTAAAATTAGTATTAGAAACATGGTAAGCTAAATAAATATTTATCAAAGATAATATTGTCTCATAAAATATTTCTAAAAATATTATCATTGATCCTGCTAATTTGTAATCTGTAAAATATTACTATGGAAAAAAGTAATAATTAGCAATAAATAAATCAAAATAAAATTAATAATTTCATTCTTAAAGAACTAATAGCGTTAAAAATAATGATACATAAATCAAATTGCCGCCACTAAAATCTATATATAAATTACTTGTAACTGAATCTGAAAATAAACCTAAAAGTACTTTAGGTTCTATAACCAAAAAAATGTTTTCTTCTGATAAAGCCTTATCTCAGGATGTTTATATGCCAACTGCAATAAGTATGTACCTATTTTTATTTATTTAGGAGTTCCTCCAATAAATCTGCCAAAAATTTTATTGAATAAAACTTAAGAATGATTATAATAATTATTTTAATGAGTTTTATATTGCCTATAGTGTCTGTTTTTGGATTTCTTGCTTCAATAGTTGCATTTGGTATAAGTGTGGAGTAGAAACATATTCTAATAATTTTAGTTTAAAAATTCAATTGGGATCAATGTCTTTGGACATTAGTAGAACAGCATTTTTTAGAACTAGAGAAATCTATGCTTCTTAGATTCCTTATTTAGAAGTATATATATATATTTGAGTTGAAATTCATAGGCAATATCCTTTTGTATATTTTTATTCATAGCCATAATAAGAACGATAGAATATTTTAAGATGTAATATGCAAACAAAAAATAAATAGAGATTACAAGATGGTTGTAAGTATGAATGATGGAGAGTCTGAAATGTATTATTTAACTAGAGTTAAATTATAATAAGCCCTTGAATGGAGTAATATAGCTGTCACTTAAGCATTTATAATATTAACTTTAGTATTATCTAATTTTAATTAGGCATTAGCTTTAATTATTGGAATAGTATTTTCCATAAATGGTCATTTCTATGCATAGGAATTGATTAAGAAATTTATAAATATAGAAAAGTTATCAGATTCAGACAAGTATGAAATTTTTATGATAGATTTTAGAAATACTTTATCAGAACTTGATAGTTAATCTTTAAAATTTACAGTGATTGTTGCTTTAAATGCATTAGCTTTGGCCTGTGTATTCTTCCAATTTTTAATAATTATAATAAAAAAGTTGAGATTATGAATTAATATTCAATAATTACATATTTTTATTCTTATAATAGTAGAATTGAAAAGAATATATAAATAAATATGTTATTTATTTATTTTATCTGCTATTTTTATTCATTTTGAATATAATTCTCTATGAAAAACAAATAAAATTGAGAGTATAAATAATTAATATTATAAAAATTGAAATAATGTCAACAAGTGGTGAGTATCCGCCTGTTAGATAATGTTTCAATCAATACTGCCCCAGTTCTTTTGATTTAAAAGTAGCCAAATTTTCAGATTCAACAATCCTATTATGCGGTACTTGCTATGAACTTTACAAGAGAAGAAAATGTTGCTATTTTTGTGCTTAAGTTTATAAGGATGATGAATAAAATTTTTTAGATGGTAAAAAATGGGTTTAATGTGACAATTAACGTTGTGGAAAATGGGTATAAAAATTATCAAGATATTATTAGACACACATTGATTGTGAAGTATCTGACATTGAATCGTAATTATAACATAAAAGTTTCAAATATAAATGTCCTTGGTGTAGAATTGAGAAAGATAAAAAGAAAAAATAGTCACAGCTTACAAAATCATTAATAAATTAAGATTTAGCAGATTAGTCAGATTAAGATCCAGAATATATACATTCTTCTATTAAAAAAATCTACTTAGAAGAAACTAGTATTTAATAGATCTTCGAACCTTGGTTGAAAAAAAATACTTTCTTAGAAGAATTATTAAAAAAAAATGGTTTCTTATCATTTTATAATTAGGTGAATTTACTTAATGTATAAACTAAGAAGAACTGTAAAGCGACTTAAGCAAAATGAGGACTTTACTAAAAAAATGATATAAATTATTATAGATTGACTAATTTAGTATACTCTATTCTCCAATATAGTATTAATTCATATTATTCTTGATATTTTTAATATTAAGGCATGGTTTCAAAATTATTCAAATTTAAGATTATTATAGAGTTTATTAACTAAATTTAAATTACCAATATAACATCTTATTTTATTATGAAAAATAAAAGTAACTAGGTTCAAACTTGATATAAAAAAAAAAAAAATAAAAAAAATTGATAATATATTAATCATTTTTTCACCATTTCTTAAAGAAGCCTGCCATCTTGCTTTTAATTCCATTATCTTCTTAATTAGATGATTATCCTGTAATTTATTTTTTAATTACAAATCCACCATTTTTATTTTAATTACATTCATCTTATTAATTTCCAGACTTTTCTTCAGTTTCATTTATCTACTTAGATAAGTATTATTTTAATTCAGCCAAACTAATTATCAATTCTTAATGATTTTAACTAGATTTATAATTATATATTATTACCTTTCATTGCTTTTTTTAATCACATTGAATGCTTCCTCTATTGTTGAACATATATCTTAAACAGCTTTTATAGATAATTTTATTGATTTTTGTTTACTTTCGTTTTCTTATTTAGATTCTTTTTATTAAACTTTTTCTTCAACAATAAATTATGTTCTATAAGCTTTAGTGTTTGTTTGCATAATCTTTTCATCAAAAAATACCTGTTATGAATCTTGTTGCTTAATAGGTTATTTTTCTATTATCTATTATTATTGTTATGTTGATTAAGATTATTCATCATCATTTTGGGAAACTTATTATTAAATCACTTAAGGTTTTCCTTAAATTGGTTAGGATTATTATTCACGACTTTTATTTTTGGTATCTGATTCTGCTTTTTCAGAACCAATAAAACAAGCAGGATTTATTAATTTTTCTTATTTTTCAACTATCTCAACATTGTCATCTAAATTATTTGAAGATTTTTGTAATATCAATATATTTCTAATTTAAGTAGCTGTATCTAATAAATTTGAAAGATTTTCTATTTTTGGAAACTTTAGAAATCTTTAATAACATTGACTTGATTCTTCATTTTCCATTACTAAAATACTAGTAATATTGTCTTACACTGATTTTTTAAATAAATTATCATTGCAATAGCTATACAATCTACAAAAAATAGAGTTTCAGTTTATTATGTAAGGAAATCCTAAAATATTGCATCCCATGCATGAAATGATTCCATTAATGACAATTCTCTTGTAAACATACATCTAAAAATATATAATAAATAAATAATTACCTTATCCATTTCAATAAAAATATTTAGAATTCAACTTGAAGAAGTTTAAGATGTCGAAATAATTATAAATCAACTTATTTTAATAGTATATCTTATAACTTTGCAACTCTTGTTAAAATTGCACTAGGTTTTTTGCTTTAAAGTTTAATTTTCTATTATTCCGTATAATTTGGTCTAAACATTTCCATATGTTAAGCATCATTCATTAAAGCTGTAAATAAAGTATAAATATCAGGTTCAGCATAATCCCAAGAATTGAATTATAAGAGAATATTAATTTCTTCTTCAGTTGCCTAGTAATTTTATTGTAAGTTACTTCTTCATATTTTTCAACTTCTGCCTTGTATAATGCTTCCTTAGTATAAATATATATTAATGAAGCTGCAATCTCATTCATACCTTGTCTATAAGATATCTCACTATTCTCCTTACACCAAATGAATAATACTGTTGTAAGTATCTATTAAATTCGTTTTGAAGAAAAAAATTCAAATTCTTAATATGTTCTTTCAACATCTTTTCTTATTTCATTTCTTAATTCTATATTATCAATTGCATTTGATGACTATTATTTTTATTTACCACCACCTAATGGACCTCCAAGAGGACCTCCTAATGGTCCTTTTTTTGTTGATTCTTCAGTTTTATTTTAAGTTGCTGTATTCTAATTTTTCAAATGTTTATTTTCTAATTCTTTATAATTTTCTCTGAACTTCATTAGCTTTTATATTTTTTCTTAAAATGAATCTTCTTTTGAATATATTCTAAGTTATTCATTCTCAATTACCTTAAAAAAAGTCTCCAAAGATTGAATCTTTGACCTGAACTCTCTAATCGACAATCTTTAATTAATTAATCAACATCAGAAAAATCATTGCTTATCATATATTTACTAAAATTCACTGCATTAAAATCATGGCCACTATAATATAAATATATAACTGTACATCAAGCTTTTTAAATCTTAAATACTCTCCATCAATAAATTGATTTAATATCTAATTTTATTTGAAAATAACAGATTCTTAATCAAAAAGTGTTTTAAATATAAAATTATAGATCAGATTAATGAGATGCCACTCACTTAATTGAAAATAAAAATATATTAATATATATGAAATCCTAATATGAAAAGCTATTTCCAAATTTTAAGCCACCTTTAAAATTTGATTCAGATATAATCTTAAAAGCCAAACAATATTTATAATAAAGATAAGGGAAAATTTGTTTTACTCCAAGAAAACTCTGTTATTAATCTAAGCATACATTATTAAGTCAAAAACAAACCATTCACATACCTTCTATTATCTCTGTTTCATTATCAAATTAATTATAATATCAAACACCTTTAAAAAGCTATTAAAAATCAAGAGTATCTACTGCAAGATCAACAAAGAATGTTCCAAAACTTAACATATAAAGTTTGAACTCCAATAAAGCAAAAATGTTTTTTGAATAAAAAATAGAAGTAAGAAGCTAAAATAATTCAAAAAATGATGTTTCTTTGATTTCACCTTGGTCAAATAGATGATCATGTAATATTTAAATAGTTTTTTTTAACAAAATCACATAAATAATCATTAAAGAAAATTTTCTTATAATTGATGCAGATGAACTTACACTAAATATTAAAAATAAGAAATTTTACAAACATGAAAATCTTCGCAAAATAAACATCTATAAATTGATGTAAATTCATCAATTTTTTATATATTAACAAAAAAATAATCACAATAGAGATTGTTTTCATCAATTAAATTTTTATCATTTTAATAATTATTTTCTATATCATCCGTCTAGTCTTCAGGAATTTTTCTTGTATTTATACTTTTTAGTATCTATGTTCATAAATAAAGATAAATCTAAATTTAAATCTAACACAAGATTTTAATTTAATACATCTTTATTCTATTGATCTTAATATAATTTTTTATCTAAATTTTATTTGCTAATACTCTTGGATGAACCCTAATTTCTTGTATTAATTCTAAATTTATTTGCTATGAAATTTGTTCTTTTGAATACTCTTGACTCTAGTTTGATTCTTGTCCATAAAAACCAAACCTAAGTCAATTTTCTCCTTAGTACTATTTTGTTTAAGATTACTTCTAAGAAAGACAATGCATTTTTGAAAAAATCTGAGTTGATGATTATAATTATGCATGTTATTCATTTTAATTATTATAAGGTATCTAGAAAACATAAAAATGAAATGATTAAATAGTAGTTAGACGAGTTTTGAGTTCATTTTTAGTAAAAATAAACCAAATCTAATTTCTTAGATATAGTAATTAATCATCTTCTTGATCCTTCCATTTAAATTAAAAAGCTTTGTTAGTCAAAGTTTTGACATATTCGTTCATTTCTCTTAAATCAATATTCCCTCAATATATATATAGGCATATTCTTCCAAAAATGTTATTACTTTCATAAATCCTATTACTAATTTATTTGTTTGCTTTATCTTATTATCACAATAATAATTGATTTGAATATCTGAAAATATTTTGTATATCAATTTAAATAATATTTAACAACCATTTACGTATTAAAGTAACAATAAATCAATTTAGATGAAAAGAACATCAAATTGTTCCCAATAACAAAATTGTATTGGATTCTTAGAGATGAGACAAACTTAAACATAAAGTGAGTTAATTTATTAGATAATATTTTAATAATTATCAAATTTTCATTTAGGAGGATGCTGTTATGCCTATTTTTACATTTCATGTGTTGCTGAATCAAATTAAGTTCTCTATAAATAATTTATTTAAATGAGATACTTCTTAAGTTTTCTTCACCAAAGCTCCCTTCTTTTTAGGCCCATCTTTATATTTCTCTGCCATTAATCTAGCTTGTTTTTCCAATTCATCTTCATTATCCTAATTTATAATTAAACATAATACCATTATACTTCTCTAAAAATTTAATTAAAAAATTAATTAATATAAACATTAGATCAATATAATCTCTAAAAGCTATATTTTATACAATAATCAAATCAATTTTTAATTATAAAAATTATAAACTAGATATACAATCAATTTCAATGATCAAACACTCTCTCTGTAATATCTAAAAAGATAAATCATGATATTTTGTTAACTATCATTGTAAATTAAAGAGTTAAAAATTTGAGTAGAAAATATTCTTATGAATTAAGATGACAATTTTAGATTATTAATTATTTGATAAATTTTAATTAGACTGAATACTTAATGTATATTACTGCTAGTCAAAAACTGGTTATTATTGTTAATTGTAATTGTAATTATTATATTTTTAATTAATTAATATTCTAAACATTTAGCATTGAATTATTAGTTTTAATGATTAATTTTTTTCAAATTTACGGAGGCTTTCTAAATTTATTAAATTTTTCATATTTTATTATTAGTTTCATACCCTAGAGCTTTTTTATAGAAAAAATGAAAATTCTTCTTTACTTAATTGTCTTTGTGAATTTTAAAATTATTTTAAGTTGCCTATTTGATTTATTATTATTCATTTAAAGATAAAATGCATTATATACATTTAATTTAAATATCTCAATTATATGCTATGATTCTTCAATAATGCATATTATAATTAATACCATTTTATGGATATAGTGAATAACATCTTTTAAAATATGATATGATCAAGTATATTTTCGTTTACGCTTTTATATATTTTCATTATTATGGAATATTAGTTTTAAAATAATTAAAGAAATATGAATTATATCTGTAGGCCAAATATATTCAAATAAATGAAATTTGATAATCGAATTAAAATTTCCATATTACTAAAGGAACTTTTAATTATAGTTCTATTTATCGTTTCATAAATAAAATAAATTTAAAAATTATTACTATTCTTGTATTGATTCTTTACAGAATTAACTTTATATAATGAAAAAAGTTTTCAAATAGAAATGAGAATTTTCTAATAACTCTAATTCTTTCTTTTAAATTAATTATTACTAATACTTTCTAATTATATTTGCAATTATAATAATTGAGAATAGTTGTTAAACTTTTAAAATATATTTCCGTATAGGTATCAGCATATTTTAATTGTGATTAGCAATTTAAGGAATTAGTATAATGAATAGTTTTATTTGTTTTAAGTAAATTTAATAAAATTATTCTAAAAGGCAACACTTTAGATTATGATTACTTTTAAAAGTAATTGTATATGAGTTTATTTTAATAGTTTATGGCTCCAAATTGCAATATAAAGTTTTTGAATTTAATATAATTAAATATATAAATTTAAAAATTTCAATTATTATTGATAGCTGCATCAATGAAGTAATTCCATTCTATTGCATTATATCTTTATAATTCAATAGACATTTATCGAATTTTTTACATTATATTATCTAATTTAAAATTTTGAAGTGCAATTTATTCTTTTTCAATTAATGGTATTCCTAATAATTATTTTTCCAAAATATTGTAGTATTCATATTATTTAGTATGTAAATTTCTCCATTCTAAAAAATCATTTTTAAGTTGAGCATATTATTAGTATAATTCCGAAGTTTCTTCTTTTAATTTTGGTAAGAAATAAGTACATATATTTCTATCCTCATTCTCTAAATATTTCAAAGCAATCAAACAAGGTATGGTTACAAATATATCAGAATCTCTGCATTCTAACTATTCTTAAAATTATTTATATTTTTCGGCAGTAGTTTCAATTATATGTGAAAAGTACATTAATTATTAACATTTAGTAGGATCTAATAAATAATACAATCCTTTTTCCCATTAAGATTCATATTCAACTAATAAATCTACAAGTTCTTAATTATTTTTTAATTATGGATCTACCATTTCAATATTACCTTCATATTTTCTCATTTATTCTCGAAATTTTTAGAAACTAATTTAAAGTATAAATTTACTTTGCTTTGATACTATCAGCTAACATACGAACAGCACTTGATTACTCTTTTGTTACTCTTCTTGTTATTCCTTCTGCTTCTAAAAGAATGTTTATACCCAAATCCTCTCTACCTTTACCTTCAACATTTGCAACAGAGTTAATTTAAGCAATAACTTTACAAAACTAATAATAATTATTATAAAAATTACTTGTTCTTTTTTTTATATGTAGTTTTCACTAGTAACAAGTATTTTACCTCTTAACTTTTCTCTAATTTCAATAGAAGTCATCTCTTTATCAATCTCAATTGCCAAAAGAATATATCTTCTAGCCTTAGCTTCAATTTCCATTAATTCTTTAACATAAAGCTAAAAATTATTTTATTTAAATCATTACTTTTTCGAAATCTACCCAAATCTAATCAAAATCTTCCAATATCTTTGTAATTTCTTATTTTAATTGTTTTGATGAGAATTCAGGACTTTCTTTAAGTGTTCTAGAATATGAAAGTCTAATAACATGTTAAACTTTATAAAATAGTTCTATTAATTTAGATCCTTTAGATAGTACATCTGAGGAAAAAACAAATTTCTCAGAATTGACCCATAAGTAAGGAAATCCTATTAATTAATTTTTTAAAAAACCTTCTTATGCACTATCTAATATTTCAGTAAGATAACACAATCTATCTTCTTTATATAAAATTTTGTAAGCCTTAGAAAAAGTATTTCGATAATCTCTTGATAAAGTTTATACTTAATAAATCTATAAAGAATATTTAAGTATGTAAATACTATGCACATTTCCTCTAATGTTTTTAAGTATTTTTTACAACTTCGTTAACCTTCAGGGTTATCTAGATCATATTTATGAAACTCTCTTTAAATTAATTAATTTTAGTAATGTTAAGCTTTTTCTAAAATATAAAATTCGCGTTATCTATAATATGATTGGATGAAAACCTTTTGAATTCTTCAAGTTCTGTAATTGGACTTGGAGGCGCTGTTTATGGTCTTTAATTTAGACCATCAACTGAAGTATTGTCAGAAACTAAGATTACATATTTATCAAATTTACAGTCATCATCAGTGTCTTTATCATAGTAAGGTTACATCAATTTTTTTATAAAAATATTTATAACCAAAACAAAATATTTTAAGTATTGATCAAATTAATCAATCAAATCTTGAGGATTATCAAATAAATTTTAAACTAAAATCAACAAAACAAATATATTTCACCTTCTCATCTATTTAGAATAACTTTCTTTAACAATAATTTATGTAATTTGTTAACTTATTCATTATAATCTTGTAAAATAAATCCACCAAACATATAAGAAGATAAATTAGCTTTTCGTCTGGTTCTTATTTAATCATCGACACTATAATTTTGACTAAATGAATTATCTGAATCCAATTTCTTCCTAATCCTTCTATTATGTTAGATTATTTATTCTTTAATAAATTCTTTCTTTGTCCATGTTATATTTCTTTCCATTTCACTTCTTTAAGTAGGATTTGATTATTATAAACATTATTTTTAATATTTTTGCAATTCAGGTAATGCTATTCCTATTCTCCCACTATTATCATTATAATATTATTTATTCTGATATTTTTGAGTTATCAATTTTGAATTATTCATGTTGGAAGAATCATATTCACTAAATGATTGTTTAGTTCTTTACATTTTAATGTTATTCTAATTTTTATAAATTATTATGTGTAATGAAAATTATTTAAAAGAATCAACAAGGCTAATCAAAAAGGTTTTATTTGTAATATTATTTTTAGGGTTGTCCTAGAAAGAATATATAATTGTTAGAGAGAGTAAAAAATAATAATTTTGGTTTAAATAAATAATAAGAAATGGAAATTTTGAGAAGATAAGTTTATTCTTTAAACAAGATTTTAGAGAGTTATCTTAATAGAAATGCTTCCTTTTATAAAAAAACTGCCTTAATAGTAATTAGTAAGGCAAAGTAATTCTTGCATTAATGGTATGATTTGATAAGATTTTAATTTAAACATAAAAAGCCAAGTAATATAGCGTTTTAATTTATCAAAGATATTAAAATGATACAATTTTTTTTATATGAACTTCTTAAATATACTTAGAATATGAGCATAAAGTTTTATAGAGAAGAAACTTATCATTTATCATATTTTTATTGTAATGCTTCAAAATAAATGTTAGAATACTTAAATGGATTTAAATTTTAAGTAATTATTTTTAATATGATTAGATTTGGTAATATTCATCAAGAGAAGTTTGGACTGATATAATAATGGGAAATATGCTATTATAAAATTAGAAGTATTAATTTGATTTCATTAAACAAAGTTTTGAATTAGCAAGTTTAGAATTTGAAAACAGTTTAATGAAAATTCAAAAAAATATTTTGTAAATAATTAGTTATAAAATTGAAAAGAGTTTAACTAAAGAGGAGGTCAAAAAGTTTGCTAATAGATAAGTAATAAAGTTAAAAATGAATTTAGATGATTATGCTGTTTCATATATTTTTTTTACTTTGCATGTCTTATCTATATTCAGATAATTTATCAAAGTATTAAGAACTTTTAAAATTGCTTTATTATTTAAATAAGCATAATTAGTATAATGGTGAATAATCTAAATTACTAAAAGATTTTATTAAGTAACATAATCACAAATTGTAAATTTACTTATAGGAGTTAGGAGAGATATAAAAAATAATGTCATTAATGTATGATATTCCAGAAACAAAGGCAGAAGAAAAACCTAATTATATTGATGAACATTTCTATAAAAAATATCAAATTAAAGANATCATTATAATATTATTTATTCTGATATTTTTGAGTTATCAATTTTGAATTATTCATGTTGGAAGAATCATATTCACTAAATGATTGTTTAGTTCTTTACATTTTAATGTTATTCTAATTTTTATAAATTATTATGTGTAATGAAAATTATTTAAAAGAATCAACAAGGCTAATCAAAAAGGTTTTATTTGTAATATTATTTTTAGGGTTGTCCTAGAAAGAATATATAATTGTTAGAGAGAGTAAAAAATAATAATTTTGGTTTAAATAAATAATAAGAAATGGAAATTTTGAGAAGATAAGTTTATTCTTTAAACAAGATTTTAGAGAGTTATCTTAATAGAAATGCTTCCTTTTATAAAAAAACTGCCTTAATAGTAATTAGTAAGGCAAAGTAATTCTTGCATTAATGGTATGATTTGATAAGATTTTAATTTAAACATAAAAAGCCAAGTAATATAGCGTTTTAATTTATCAAAGATATTAAAATGATACAATTTTTTTTATATGAACTTCTTAAATATACTTAGAATATGAGCATAAAGTTTTATAGAGAAGAAACTTATCATTTATCATATTTTTATTGTAATGCTTCAAAATAAATGTTAGAATACTTAAATGGATTTAAATTTTAAGTAATTATTTTTAATATGATTAGATTTGGTAATATTCATCAAGAGAAGTTTGGACTGATATAATAATGGGAAATATGCTATTATAAAATTAGAAGTATTAATTTGATTTCATTAAACAAAGTTTTGAATTAGCAAGTTTAGAATTTGAAAACAGTTTAATGAAAATTCAAAAAAATATTTTGTAAATAATTAGTTATAAAATTGAAAAGAGTTTAACTAAAGAGGAGGTCAAAAAGTTTGCTAATAGATAAGTAATAAAGTTAAAAATGAATTTAGATGATTATGCTGTTTCATATATTTTTTTTACTTTGCATGTCTTATCTATATTCAGATAATTTATCAAAGTATTAAGAACTTTTAAAATTGCTTTATTATTTAAATAAGCATAATTAGTATAATGGTGAATAATCTAAATTACTAAAAGATTTTATTAAGTAACATAATCACAAATTGTAAATTTACTTATAGGAGTTAGGAGAGATATAAAAAATAATGTCATTAATGTATGATATTCCAGAAACAAAGGCAGAAGAAAAACCTAATTATATTGATGAACATTTCTATAAAAAATATCAAATTAAAGAATTGAATAATTAAGCATTTTTTAGAACTAATTTTTAATGTAAATAAATTGTCAAGAGATGTTCTATTATTTTAAAAGGGAGAAATAATAGATAAAATAGTCCAACTGTGTAATAAAATTAACCAATATCCTAATATTATGATACAACAATTAATATCAATTTGAAACCATCTCAAAATCATTCTTAATCTCCAAACTTAAATAGTAAATAATTGTCATTCCATAAAAAGAACATCAAGAAAGAAAGTTTTTCATATATAAAATCAGATAGAGAATCAATGAAATATTTAGATACAAAAATATAAGGATCTTTAAGAAAAGAATCTTTTTATTCTTATAATGAACTTAGTAAGGATATGGAAACTAATATTTCAATATATAGTGATGAATAGAAGTAGTTAAAAACTGATAGATCATTATTAAGATCTAAAAGCACTAGAGACAACAAAAGAGAAATAAATTAATAAACAAAAATGGCAATATTTAATTTAATTGAGGCAAAATCTTTGTATTATATGGAGGTTTAAAAGGCAAATTCTAAATTAAAGAATATAAAATCATTTAAAGATTAATAATAAAAAAAGATGATATCTGATAATTTAATATCTAATATGAAATATATTTAAAAGTAACCATCTATGATAATTAGCACAGAATAATAAGAGGAGAAAGATGAAAATCAAATTTATAAAGAAGTTTTTAATGTAATCTTATTTTTCATTTTTTAATAGGACCTTAAAAAATTAGCTGATAATTATGTAAGCAAATTATAAATGTATGAAAAGTCTTCAACTCGATAAAGAATATATACTTAATAATAATAGGGAATTAATTAATAATAAAATGGGATTGCAGCTATTGCAAAAGCTAAAGAATTGTCAAAATCAATTCTGTAATAAAAAGAATACTTTTGATTTATATTATTTTTTTATTATTAAAAACTATTGTAGGTAATCCATATCCTTCAGACTATAACAATTCATTTTTTATTGTAAAGATTGTTAAATTACTTTGACATTTCCTTAGTAAACTTTGCTTTTAAATCATTTTCATTGAAAAAATAAAACTTAAATAATAAATATTCCATTTTAAAAAATAAGGAAATGAGTGTAGAGAGAGTATAGAGAACATAATAAATATTTAAAATAGATTTAGTAGGTAGGATAACTTTATGCAAAAATAAAACTAGAAATTCTAGTTAATTTTATGACAGAAATATATTATTTGAAATATTTCTCATATAATATTAGTAAACTCATTAGAATGATAAAATAATATATTTATTTAATATGATATCTCATTTGCTATCTTTCAATTGAAGAGGATAAATGATAGTCCCTTCTGATAGAGAGTATATCTATTAAGTCTGCCCATTTTGACTTTAAGGGAGAATATAAGATTCTTCCTTGTTTTATTCAAATAGACAGGCAAAACTATTTCATCATCAGCAATAACTCCTTTTTGGGATGTCTTTGACCATTTTAAGATGATAGGTTTTAATGCAAAGGATATTTCATTAACAATGGAGACTTGTAAAGTTTTGGAATCCAAATGTCCTCCTTCCATAGAGACACCCTCAATAACAAAAGAATCATCATCAACTCCTAAATGTTCAGGAACAATCAATAGTTCTAATTCTTCTAAGGACCATTGATTTCTTTAAGCTACATATTATCTAGTTGCTGTTAAATAAGCTTCTGGAAATAGTAATCCTCCAAACCATACATTACCTTACTAAAAGTTTTTAGTTTTTCCTAAATGATTAAATTAATCTATTCTTCTTTTAAAATCACCAACCCAATCATTCAAAGGCATTGTAATAACATTATATTTATTCCATTATGATGGTATAATATTGTTAAAAACATCTTTGGCTAATTATCTTAATAAATTTGTCGCTAAGATTTTGCCTTATGCTAATTATGTTAATTCTTCAATATTCTATCTTACAGCTTTTAATAATTTAGATGCAACAGTAATTTCTCTATCTAAAAATCTAAATAATGGATCATTAATAGAATCAGCAGTTCTTTCTAAAGGTAATATTTTTTAAGGTAAAATAACTTTGAATTTTTCTACTTTTTCTAAAAGATCTTAAAGCCATTGAACTTAATCAGATTTCTTATTTTCTTTCTTTTAAGTTTTCTCTGTTTAA